ACTGAGGTGACTGTGCGTTGGGGGAGGGATTGCGGTAGGAGGACGCATGTCGAGGGCTGGGGGGGTAAGTGCCAGTCTGTGAGGAAGAGCCGCAAGGCGATGCTCCGAAGCGAGATCGCGCCGTTGGCGAGCATGTTGACGACCGCTCTTGCGTGGGTTCTTCGGGTTGCGTCGCTCTGTTATCGACTTTAGCAACGCCGTTGCGCCTCAAGACGTGTGCAGCCGGCTCGGGCCCAACCCTCAGCGGGAGGAGGCTGGGCTAGGTGAGAGGCCAGGCGAGCGACCCATCGACCCAATGGGGATGGAATCGTGATGTGATTGTCATTTATGCCATTTGACCTTGGATGCCGCCTTGAGTAAGAATATTATGTTAGTGACATTCGGGAGGAGTGAGGTGAGGGTACGTGTGCCAGGCATGACAGGCCTTGTTAATCCGACACAGTTTCAAGCACACCGACAAGTTGGGATCTGGAACCGGGGAATAAATTTGGTGCTTCACGTACCGATTTGACGTTGGATTTGGTCCCGGGCCCAGCGAGCGGTTGTAGTCGTATTTCCATGATACTGTCGGTCTTTCCTCACAGCTTTCACCATGTCCTGGAGCCAATCCTGTCGGAAGTATTCGGCGAACTCCCCATGAGGAAATGCTTCTGCAAGATCACTGTGGAGGCGATTAGATAAATTCATGAACGAGATATAGTATGCCTTACCCGACCACACCCATGCTTGAGCGCATGAGACCCTCTCCCCGTAGTTGCTCATCCCATGTTGACTTGATGAGCCCGAATATCGATTCAATGTGAGCAGATAGCAATGGTGCTAATTGATCAAGGTCAGCGAAAATCCACAAAAGCAATGGAGCTAGACTTACTTTTTCCGCTCTTCTTCATGGCCTCAATAATTCCGGACCAAGCGTCCATAACAGCCTCTCGAAGACTGGTGATATAGTCTTGCTGCTCCACAAATAGCTGCTCTTCATACCTGACTGTGGATGCTTGCGTCAAAATCTCCACCACTGTGGACATGTACTTCTCAAAATCGCCCAGAATCGCACTAGCGATATCACCGAAGCAGTTGACTAGTGGGGGTTTATAGTGATTGCCGTGGATATTGGACTGGACTTTGTTAGTCTGGAAGCCACGCGTTGGGAATCCCATTTCACTTACTTTGAGATTTTCAAGGAGGGAATTCATCAACGCGTCGCAGAAAGGACTGATCGCAGGGCCGATAGCGCGGGTGATATCCTGCACTAAGCCGATGGACATGGAATACAAATTCTCTTCCTCTTGCTTGGATAGGCCGTTGAGCAGGTAAGGCGCGAATGCCTCCATATATTTGGCAAAGTCGCCCTCGATGGACGTCGCAAGTGCGCCGACCGTGGCGAATACGGTGTCTGGGACGGTTGACTTAGGGCCGACAGTGTTGAGAAGTTGAAGCAGAACCTGCATGATGCGATCACCGAGAGGGGCCACTTCCACCTCCAGTCGTTGGATGATGGTCATGACCACGCTGGTCAAGCTCGTCTGCATATCCTCTAGCGTCAGCGTGTCCTCAACGCTCACCACCTGCTGTCGGAATGGGATGGTCTTCTCCAATCGATCCAGAATGACGCCGGACAGATTGGCGACCATTGCTTTCGAGTTGTTGCCGCAATTGGCGACGTAGGCGTTGAGAACCTCATACGCGGCTGTACGAAGCTGGCTGTCCGCCCCAGAGCGTTCCGTCACATCGAGCAAGCGCTGCACGTTCTCCTGGAACTTAGGTGTCATTGGGTTCTCATCGCACCCGGGATCGCCGGCAAAGCGCTCCGCGAGGTTCATCAGAGCCCAGCAGCAGGAAGAAGCCATCTTGGGATTGCTCATGAGGCCGTTGAACAACGTTTGGATCATGATAGGCAAGTGCACGGCCGGATCGATGGCATCTGGGACTGCCTCGGAGATGCGTCCGAGTGCGTATGCCGCGGAGTCCTGGACGTGGACGACAGGGTCCTCCATCATGCCGATCAAGATTTGTAGTGCTTGCCTCACGATTGGGTCCAGTACCTTCTCGTCGGGACCTTCCATGATTGCCCCAAGAGCAGCCACGGCAGCGTCGCGGTAATGCCAGTCTTCGGATCGAATGTGCTTCTCAACGAAGAAAATGACCGGTCCTGTCACAGCATCTCTCGCGGCTCTTGACCAAAGCTGAAGGCATTGGTAAGCGGCGCGGGAAACGTTATACTCGTCGTCGGCGGCATCTTCATCTTGATGGGCCATAAGCTCCAGAAGGACGGGGACAATCTCTTGTGTGGCGATGAGAGCAAAATTGTGGAAGACACGGAGGTCTGAACCGTGAACGGCGGCCTGTCCATGGAATTAGTATATTGCTGGGTTTATTGACCGGGAGATATCGTACCAGAGCGTTGTCATCTTCGATGTTCTCTTCCTCCTCGCACACCGTGCACCAAAATTCGATTGCAAGCTTCGCAACTTCCTCATCCTCGCTCTTCATGCCCATGATTGTCAGACCGAACAAGGCTTTTTCCATGTAGAATCGCATCTTATCGTAATAGATGCTCATGATCCGTCCGAGGCAACCATAGGCAGCTTCTTGAATCCTCGTTTCTTCGCTTTGTGTGGCCTCGCACACTACCTGCATGATGAAATTGCGCTCGCCCTCGTTCTCGAAGTTGGACCGTACAAACTCCAGGCAGTCACTAAGCGCCGTGACAGCAGTGAATCGCACATCGGCACTGCTTTCCTCCTTTCTTGCGCCTTGAACGACGGCCGTTAGGATGGCATTGCTGTGCAACGACAGGGAGTTGCGGAGCCTGGGATCATCTGCCTGGCAAATGTACCCGATCGTCGTGAGAGACGCCATACGTTGATGGGACTCGCCGCTGCTGACATTTTCCACGAGCTTTGGCATCAACTGATCCCATTTGTTCAGGGGTATCTCGATCGATGCAATCGCGGTGATAAATTGGGCGGCGGCACCTCCAGCACGGCTATCGTTCGAAGAGAGAGTCTTCAGGGCAAGCTCCTTCACCGATTCCTTCACCGCCGGCTCGATTTCGGACACCCATTTCGCCTGGACTTGCTGCAACCGCGTGATCTCTCGAGCAGCGAAAGCATTCTTCAGCGCCAAACCAGCCGCCACTCGTATGTCCGCTTGAGCATTCTCGTTTGCGAGTTCTTGACCGAGGGTGGTCAAATATCCAGCCTGTTTCCGTAAATATGACGTAAGAACAACAACGATATGGACGACGTACGAAATCGGCATCGGCCGCCTGACTGAGTTGTGTTTCCGCTTGATTCCGTATATTGGCATCTGTTTTGTCTGTCAGCGTTTGTTCTCCATGATCATATCAGGGACGGGACGGACCCGGTGAGAGGGTGCCACGGAGGACCTCGTTCACATCCATGATGGGCTTCGTTTGGGGGATTTTTGGTCTTGGCAATGAGGATTCGGTTGGTTTCCAACCTTGAATGGGGGGATTAATAAAAACCAAGGAGTGGAGGCCAAGTGCTCGATAGGCTCAAGGAGATGTAAAGCGGGAGTGGAAGCCTGTGACGCGACGGTGAGGCTCTGATAAGGAACTGCACTCCAAATGGCAGACAGGTTAAGGTCGGGGCACGAGGGGAGCCTGAAGGCAGGAATATTGGGATCAAATGGGGTAAGAGAGCGGTAGAAGGGAAGAGAGGCAGTAAAGTGAGCTCCTGGATAGTGAAGTGATGAGAGAAAGCGTAGTTCAGGGAGAAACAAGAAGACGCAGGTCGTCAACAACAGTGTCGCTGATTGGCTCGCTTGGTTTTGTCGCATCCCACCTTTGATACCTTATGGCCTGGCTGCCTCAGTTGCATGTGATGTAATCACGTGTAACATGATCACGTGAGGGATTCTACTTACTTAAGCCTTGGCTGACTTTGGAAAATCACGTGCATTCATATCCTTGATCACCCATGCATGAGCAGAGTAATGAGTGCATGTCACCACCACCAACGACAGCACCTACTGGCACGAACCTTGACGAATACAGTAGATTCTCTTAGCACCCTACTTCAAATCGACATATACGTGTTATTCAAAGCCTAATTCAGATACCTTCAATCAATATCAAGAGGCTTTGAATTCGTCGCTAACCCATAACTGTTCCCTCAACTCTCCGACAAAACACCACAGTGGTAACACCATGGTAAAGAGCACTCTTTCTCCATGCAATCCATTCTATGATCTAACATCTTCAAGCTTCCTTTAGGGCTATTAAATGCGGCACAGGGCCATCCAATGCTCGTTGAGTTGAAAGACGGCGAGACCCTCAACGGACATCTAGTCGCCTGCGACACATGGATGAATTTAACACTGAAGGAGGTAGTACAGACGTCACCAGAGGGCGACCGGTTCTGGCGGCTTCCGGAAGTGTATGTGCGGGGAAACAACGTCAGTCAAGGCCTCTCCTGCAGTCCTATGGAAGGTGCGCTAACCCAGGGCGTTTCAGATCAAATACTTACGGGTACCGGACGAAATCATCGATGTCGTGAAGGAGCAACAAGCTGCTCAACAAGCCCAACGTGGTGGCCGTGGAGGATCGTCGCATAGAGGAGACCATGGAACAAGAGGTGGTCGTGGGGGCTCTTCTCAGATCAATAGAGGGACCCGGGCTCGAGGGAGAATGCGAGGGGGGGCATGATGGCCTTGATTATTCAGGATCCTTCTTTCATGGGATGTTGTATGTGGGGATGGGATGCGTCTCCTGCTGATGCGCCAGCCATGGCTTTGGAGTACTCTCGCGGAACAAGAGGCATCACGTTATGATCCAATCCCTGGCATTGGATTGCGCTCTGCACCACGAGGTTCGGCCCGGAGGCTCTGGCTCTGTTTGGATGAATTCTGCCGGGAGTCCAAAGTCACGGTTGCACAATACATTATACCCGAGCGTGCGTTGACATTCATCGTTACAGAATCAATCAAAGGACACTTAAATGCATCCAGGCCATCGAACTCCCAGCTCGTGTACTACTCAATGTTTCGGCGAATTTGGCCATTGAATGCGTCCTCCTATCACAGGAAAGGATACCTCTGGACGGAAAAGGAATAGCCGAGTACGATTGGACATGGCAATCTCTTTGAACCGGCCCGCCATCGACCGTGTGCAGCTGGAGCAGTTAGACCGCAACGCTGAGCATGACGCTAGCGTTCTCTTTGGGATCGTCGAAGAATGTGGCCCCTATCGAGATTCTACAGAATACAGTTAATGAACCGGCATCTACACGAGTCTCATGATTGGTTCAACGATGAGAAGATATTATGCACAAATGACTGCAACCAGCGGCTCAAGTACAGTGAACGTCTCATTGGAAGATATCGCGTCTCTGAACTACTCCACGCTAACCACCAACGGCGGGCCCTACGATGCGGTTCTGTTGACCCAATCAATAGGTTATCTGTAAGTTGATCCTCGCCATATTACGAGTAGAGAGCTGAGAGGATGCTAGAAACGTAACGTTGCTCAATATTCTAACTTAAAAATCTTACCATAGGGGGAGCTTGCACCTGCAATCGTCAGTCAAAGTCCAGACCCTATGCCAGGTCATGGCTCGGATCCATGCACGTGATGGTCCGGCGACAGTGCCTCCTGCCTCCATGGGGGAAGAAATTGATGGCCCATACAACGTTTTCTTCCCGCAAAATCATAACCATCAAAAAGGATAATTTAATTCAGACTCTTACGGTAGGTAGATCTAACTCAAAAAAAAAAGTTGACCTTTAAATCTGCTTTTATTGTAAGGGTGCGTCATTCTGTGTGGTACGGCTGTAATTATGGGCATCAATTTCTTCCCCACGAGAGGGTGGAATATTATTATTTCAGCCTTGGAGCCTTTCATGATTTTCAGTTTGCCGACGTCAAGCCATCGATCAGCGTTTGCCCCGCAATTCAAAAACATTCTGACTCCTCACACTGAACCACTGAACTGCTGCCACCCCTACATATCACAACGTCGAAGTGGAATTGATGACTTCTCCAGTCCTCCTCGAATTTTTACAGTATATATACTAAACCTGCCCATCTTACCACTCGAATTCCCTTTGAAACCCCCAACTTCATCCAATTGGCTTGGTACTGTGCCCTTGCTGTCCTCAATCCCGGTCGTATCCCATCCCACCATCCGCTACCATGGGAATGCTTAAGGACCCCTCGGTCAAATACAAAAAGTTCAAACAGTTGAACCTCCCGGATCGCCAATGGCCATCTAAGACGCTCGATCAGCCTCCTCGATGGCTATCAACCGATTTACGGGATGGCAACCAGAGCTTGGTGGACCCAATGGTAACTTGTCAGACCGGATTGGATTCCTGACTCAAGTACAGGGCTAACCTCTGCCTTTGCAGGATGGCGACCAGAAATGGCGCTACTTCCAGATGTTGGTCGAGCTTGGGTACAAGGAAATCGAGGTGTCCTTCCCATCCGCCTCGAAAACCGACTTCGACTTTACCCGGAAATTGGTGGAGACCCCTGGCGTCGTACCGGACGACGTTTGGCTACAGGTCTTGGCTCCATGCAGGAAGGAGCTTATCAAGCCGACAGTAGACTCTGTCGCTGGCTCCAAGAAGGCTATCATACATCTTTACTTGGCCACGTCGCCATGCTTCCAGCAGGTGGTGTTCAACATGAACAACGAAGAGAGCATCAAGCGGGCGGTGGAGTGCACCCAATACGCACGATCGTTGACCAAGGATGACCCGACCCAGTCGGCGACGGAATGGGCTTTCGAATTCTCCCCTGAGACCTTCTCCGACAGCGATCCAGACTTTGTCCTCGAAATCTGCGAAGCGGTCAAAGCTGCCTGGGAGCCATCCGTTGAGAACCCGATCATCTTCAATCTACCTGCAACGGTGGAGATGTCGACTCCCAACGTATATGCCGATCAAATCGAGTACTTCTGCCGCCACATCACCGAACGGGAAAAGATCTGTGTCTCCCTCCACCCCCATAATGACCGCGGCTGTGCTGTAGCAGCAGCCGAGCTAGCTCAGATGGCCGGAGCGGACCGAGTGGAAGGGACCCTGTTTGGAAATGGTGAGCGAACCGGAAACGTGGACCTCGTTACCTTGGCTTTGAATCTGTATACTCAAGGCATCCATCCTGGAATCGATTTCAGCGACATTCGTTCCGTGATTGACATTGTCGAAAAATCAAACAAGATTCCGATCCATCCACGGGCCCCTTACGGCGGACAGCTGGTTGTGTGTGCCTTTTCCGGCAGCCATCAGGACGCGATCAAGAAAGGCTTCCAAGCTCGCAAGGCTTCAGGGGCTACGGACGACTCTCCTTGGCAGATCCCATACCTTCCGCTCGACCCGCAGGATATCGGGCGCACGTACGAAGCCATTATTCGTGTCAACAGCCAAAGCGGTAAAGGCGGCGTTGCCTGGATCCTTCTCCGGAACTTGGAGCTGGATTTGCCTCGGGGTCTACAAGTTGCATTTAGCAAGATTGTCCAAAAAGAAGCTGATTCCGTCGGACGCGAGCTTCTTCCCGGCGAAATCGTACAACTCTTCGAAGAGTCATATCATTTGAAACGAAACCCTCGCTTTGAGTTGTTGGACTACGATATCACAACCGAACGAGCTGCATCACCCGCGCCGCCATCAGTCGGTGGGTCGCAAGTCTCTAGGACCCAGAGCAGCAAGAACGCCAGGAGGGTGTTCGGCGGTGTTATTGAGATCGACGGGGTCGAGCATCGCATCCGAGGGGTCGGAAACGGCGCCATCTCGAGTTTGGCCAATGCGTTGAGAACTCTGGGAATCGATCTCGATGTCGCTGACTACAAGGAGCATGCCATCGGAGAAGGCAAGAGTGTCAAAGCCGCGACATATATTGAATGCACAGCCTCGAACAGCTCGCAAAGAGTGTGGGGGGTGGGTATTCATGAAGACGTGGTCCAGGCGTCCTTGATCGCTCTTCTATCTGCGGCATCATCTGTCAGTCACATCTCTCTCGCTTACAGTCGGTTCCCTTATACCGAAATAAATAACCAACCTCTACTTAGTTCCTCTCTTCTCGTCCAAGCACTCCTATCCCTTTCCGCCCTAAGCGTTCTGACACGAACGACATCACTCCACCAGAACTTACTCCAGAGAGGCATGTGCCACAGTCAGGTCCCGATGCTCGAGGACATGTCGGTGTCTCTGAGGCCGTGGAAATAAAGCTCAATGGTGTATAGTCATCCAGTCAATCGTCTTATTCACGATCACTTTGCGTCAACTCGCAATCGGCATGTCTCTTTGGAGGGCGGCAAAGGTCTCTAAAATATCTCCATTATTGCCTCCAGCTTGACAGGAAACCAAAACCTGGTGATAGACAAGACGCTAAACACGCATGTATTTTGGAATAGAACATTACGAAAATTTACATACATCACATCATGGCCCCGGGAAACGTGGCACTTTATTACATGACTCGAGACAAAAAACCATGTCCTACGCGTATAAGCTTCACATCGCGGGAATAACAATCGTTGATCGAAGCTTTTCTAACTGCGACATCATTCTTCATCGATGGGATTTCGGCTTCTGGTGAGACAATCCGAAATCGTACCCGACACGCGATAACACCATGCTATCGTCTATGGTTTCGGTCATATCTCATTTGGGTTGGCACCCCTCCAATTCATATGCATCAATGCATCTCGTTTCCACTCATCATCCAAGTCCTGGCCCTTGGTCGATTCCTTTCCCGGGGCTGGGGTTTGGCCTTCATTTTGAGCCGAAGACTCCGAGCTAGAACGAATGGGATCGTCCTCGCTTTCCCGGTTCATGACTCTCAATGGCCCCACACTCGCCGACGCGTATCGATCGTCGTCATCATCGTTCCTAGCATCCCGGTAGTCGTAGCTTTCAATAGGGCCATAGTCGTCACCCTCATAACTCGGATACTGAGCCTTCGGGCCTTTGCCGGAGTTTTCGAATGGTGCCTGGTAGCTTTGCTCCGATGCGAATGGGCCGGCTCGATCAACCGGGCTGTAGTCTACCCCAGCGATTCCCGACGTCCCGGCAGCAGTCGTTCCTGACGGGTTGGTAACACTCAACCGCGGAAATTGCGGGCGTGATGATAGATCCGTTGGTGTACGATCGTCGGGACCCAACAGGTCCTCGCCGGGCAACTCAGCACGGAAAGTTGCGGCATCGAAGTCGTCCGACGTTCGAGAAGCGTTCTCAGGCAGCTCAGCCACCGACCAATCGCCGCTTCGATGCGAGACAGATAGGGGAGCCGGCGCCAACGGCGCTGAAGTGAGACTAGGAGGTGCGGACGGCTCTTTCGACGAGATTGCTGTGGATGAGCGCTGGCTCTGCCCGGTGCTATAATTTCTTGACTCAGGATCTTGCTCTTCGGCGACTTGATTGAGCGTGGTTTGGCCATCGGTGCTGCCGAAGCCCGGTCCGTCAATTCCCAATCCATCCGGATCCCGGATACCGAATTGAGCGATGCTGCGGATCTTCCGCTGGACCCACGAATTGAGGATTTTGCCTCGCTGCTTTTCGCCAAGCCGAGAGCGAGGGAAGTCGCCTTTGCCAACGAAAGCGACGATGTCGACGACGAAATGATGATGATTGAGGACCGCATTGACGATGACCGGCACCAACGCGGCGAGGAAGTTCTTGCGGAAGATTTCGACAAGAACGACAACAAGACCTCCCGCTTGAAAAACCGCACTAGACTGGCATTAGCAAAATATCATCAGCCAGATATCAAAGAGACTCACCATCCGCCCGGGACAATGTTCCGATGGCATCGTTCCACAGAGTATTCGATGTCCATAGGGAAATGATTCAGGCCGTTGACTTCGAACGTCTCGCCAATATTTCCAAGGATAAATAGGATCTGCATTTCAACCAGGCTCCCGCCGGGTCCAATGGGTCGTGACACGTTATGCAAGAAGCCCAGGTCGCCAGTTCTAACATACTGAGCGTTCGGGTCGCCATCCAGAGTCCTAGCATTGAATCGTTCGGCATCAAAGGCGTCTTTGCTTCCGTAAAACCCGAACGCATTGGCTTCCGAGTGAACCCAAATTTCGCCGTATTCGCCGACCATACACAGCCGACTGGTCTCCGGGTTAACGATGCTGATCTGAGTGCTCACCGGCACCATGCCCGAATCTTGGACCAAGAGGGCTGTAGGATCCGAGTCGGGGTCGACAGGAAGAACAAGACCTCGCCGCAATGATTCCATGTCCAACCAAAGCTCAATGGGCTCGATGCACATGTAGCTACGAGAGGTGACCATCGGGTTAAGGACATGCGAGTAAATGGTGTTGATCGCCGTCCGGTCCAGTCCCGCTTGGGCAAAATGGACTCTGACTTTTTGGTATACATCAACCCGTGGGCGTGCGTCAGTGGAGATCATCAGATTCTTTAACTCATGAAGTCCAGAGACTTTGCCTGCTCCAAAGGCCATGGCATGGTCAAGCATCTGAGACGTCGCATATGTATCCTTAATCTTGTAGCGAGAGAGCGTCTGAAAGAGGATCATAGGATTTAGTGCGAAATCCACAGGCGAAACAAGGTATGTAGGGGCAGCTGTATTGAAGTCAGCATGAAGCGGCTGTGTGTGAATCTAGTCAGGACCAACCTAAAAATATGCCCATTAAGCACGTATGGACGAAACCAAGTCCAATCGTGCTCCGAACACAACCGAGGACGGGTCTGGTGCTGGTCATTTGACACGTTTCCTTCTGTACTTTGCAGAGTGCCATAATGGTGTCATGGCCCATCTGAACCGCCACTCGTCGTTGGTCCGGGGTCCAAAACACCCAAACTAGCGCTGGATAACCCGGTTGCACCCATTGCGGTCTCAGCGTTAACTCGAGGACTCGGCATCCATGAGTCTGCTTTGGGGTTTTGCCGGTGTTGTAGATGTTAGGTATGTTGACTCGTAGGATCATGGCCGTGTGCTTCAAATGTTGTGAGACCGGCTTGAGCTTCAAGACATGGTCCACGTCGTGGTTGACGAGGAGGGCCTTGATCCGGAAATCGCTGATCATATGTAGAAGAGCCGGAGCGTCTTCACTGAGTCTGTTCTGATCAATTGGCGGCATCGGAATCGCTGTAACGCCCAGGCAAAAGCAAGCGTGTATGGCATACACGAACTCCTCAGAGTGTGTATACATGAGCAGAACGGGGTCTCCTGGCTTGAGCTTGACCTTGTTCCTGAGGTACATGGCCACTGCAGCCACCTTCAGATCAAATTTTCGCCAGTTGACTCCCTTCCCCTCCTTGCCCCGGCCATCTATCGTGCAATATGCAAGCTCTTCTGCCTGGCGGGACACGCGCCATTGCATCAGGTCATGAATGTTACTGAACTGGTTGAGAGGAGTGGACGTTCGATCATCAATGACCACCTCGCGATAATCCACGCCAGAATACTGTTTATCCTGCATGAGCAGGAGTCCAGCTCGGGATTGCGCCGACTGCATACTCCAAATGCCCCCGGCCGGGTCGTCACCGATTGGTAGATTCTGAACGGCCATTTCGACGCCAAATTTCACATGAACGCAGGCAAGACTGCCATTGTCAAAATCCCGTCGGCAGAGCATGTTGCCAATCTCACGACGGCCGTTTTTGACGATTCGAGGAAGAGTGTTTTGAGCGGTTGTCATGACACAAAACACACGAAGATGATGCTCTTGGTAGAGCGCTTCCATGACTCGTTCCGCAAGGGTATCTAAGAACGGTATGTCGAGTTGCCTGGGAGGCCCGCCTGCTGTCGTAGGTGCCGTTGATGCAGCTTGCGTTTCGATAAGGACAATAGGAAGATACTCGCCGTTCACATGAGCATCGAATGCAGAACAATCGTAGACGCGTGGGACTGTCCTCATGATGCTAAGCACAAGATGTTGTACGAAAAAGTATCGGTGCTCGTGCTCGGTGACACCGCTTTCGGTCCACTCGACCCGCTGTCGAATGCGGTCTTCATATAGACCTAGGACGTACACCTTCCCTTCGATGACCGTTCCCAAAAGACCGGTACGGAGGAATTCGGGTTCCACCATGACTGGAGTGGGGTTACCTTCCTCAAAGCGATACGGCCTCGCGTGGAAGATGGTTTCGGTATGCCTTGGTAAAGCCCAGAACCCTCCGCTCAAACTCGGAGAATCCACCCAGATTTCGCCAACAGAATAAGGAGCGCACAACAGATTCTTCTCTGGATCTACGACGGCGAGTGTTGCATCGGCGATCGGATAACCAAACGCACCAGCCCTCAAAGTACCTGGTTCAGATGCACGCTTCTGGGCTTCGCTTCCAGTGGCCAATACCACAACTTCGTTGGTCTTCAACGCTTCCTTGTCGAGCAGGACTTCACTGAGTTCGGTGCCTCGCTTCGCTTTCGTTATCGGTTTTATCGGTCCACCGGCAATCAATGAGGTATATCCATTGGGAGGGATTCCAGAATCGTCCTCTTTCTTATCGTCATCGGAGTCGCTCTCATCCTTCTCTTGCCCGAGGGTGCAACCCATCCGTTCCTCTCCACCGAGCCAATCTCGCACTGCAATCATCATCCCACCATGCTCTGGAAGGCAGAGCATAGGCGCGACAAGCTCTCTGGCACGGGGATTGCGCATCGGTCTCAGCCAGCGATCGGCCAGAACATCATGAAACTCAGAATCGACGGTCAAGCTATCAATGAGACAGATCTTTACGGTGGAGAAGTTTGGCTCGTATGCTTTCTTGAAGTTGCGGGTTGCCATGGGATCTTGCTGGTAGTTGTACGCAGACCGCTTGAGCCCGGGGTAATCTGCTACCATGATTGTCGTCCGGTATTTGGTGATCAGGTGGGCATACAGACCTGGGGTGTCGACTGTCACAGACTCGAACCAAACGGTGGAGTGGCCGCCATAGACACCGAAAAGAACACCCAAAATTAGGCCAATGCCTTCTCGGGGATCAAGGTACGACATAACCACCTCACCTGGCCTGCTGAACGGTTGCACAACAAGGTTTCCCGATTTATCACGCAGTCCAGGGTGAAAAGTGTCGTTGCTCTTGCCTGAAGGGACCGTGGATACAATGGCTTGGACAAGGGCCATCTGGTGCATAATCGTCCGGTGACTTAGAACCACACCCCTTAGATCGCCTGTTGGGGCTCTGGAAAACTCGATGTATGCTAAGTCGGGAGCTCCCGACTGGTCGAGATCTTTCCGCTTGGGATTGTAACTTCCAAACTCATTGGTCTTCCACCACTCGACCCCGGTAGGCCATTTCAAGCGCTGTGCGCTGATGTCGCGGTGGAAGGATTTGAGGTTGTTGTCGGTGGTCAAAGCAAGATGGGCTTGAGTTGTGGTTAGCAATAGCGACAGCGTCTGATAATCGTCGATGTTATTCATCGGCACAGCAACAACCCCTGCAAGAAAGCAACCCATGAGAGCTACCGCAAACTCGATAACCTCTTGGTCTCGATACACCAGAGCCACTCGGTCTCCACGATACAGATTGCTCTTGTCCTTGATGACTTGGGCCACCTTTTCGGCTCGGCTATGCAGTTTGTCCCACGTGATCGATGCAATCTCTTTCCCTTTCTGGTCCAACACCCAATATGCTGTCTGGCGTACGTTGGCCTTGGCCCGATGTCTTAGGACTGCGCCAATGTTGTCGAAATTGGACATGGGAACATTCCCGTTGTGGGGATCGAACACGTCAAAGGGGATTTCTCGAGGCTCCAGCGGAAGCTGGCATTCAACCGCGCCAGGAGAAGGCAGATCGTTTGCCGTTAGCATCGGTGGCGGGAAGAATGCGGTCGGTGAGAATACGTCACTCTGGGAATATCGATGTGGGCCACCATAATTGCCTGCGTCCCTCTGCTCTTGCATCTGTTGCCCCGCAAAATCGGAAAAGTATCCTTGTTGGGACTCGAGCATTGTGCTGTTCCTGCTATCCTCTGGCGGTCCCCGGGTTGCGGGCTCGTTTTCAGGGTTGAAGACATAGTCCCCAGTGGCCATTGTATCCAATCTGGTGGATCCTCCATAGCTTGGCGGTCGCTGCAGACGCTGCCCGTCTCCCGCGCTTTCCGGGCCTGCATTTCGTACGTGGAGTTGTCGCTCTTGGAACCTTCCAACATGGCTAGGTGGTTGCACTGTCGATGAACTCGAGGAATATGTACCCGGAGGATTCGACAGATAAGGAGGATGGGGCCCCGAGGTGAAGCTCGCGCGAGACCCATCAGGAGATCGAGTGTCCTCGTTAATTGATTGAAGGCGCCAATCGTGTTGGACTTGTTCGGCCTGATCTTGGCCAAGATATTGTGAGAGGAGTTGGGATCGACGTTTCTCGTAACTTCATGAAGTGATACCGTTAGTATATAGCACCAAGTACAACGGCGGAAGCGCGGCGCCTAGTTCGGAACAGATATGGAGAGCGTTACCCTTTCTGCGTGATATCCCCTTCCTGCGACAAATGTTAGCACTGCGAATGATCATCCCTTGGGGGGAGGATCGGCGCATTGCCGGCCTACCTGTAAATCAAGATCGAGATCCTGGAGTCGAGCCTGGAGCTCCGGATTGACTTCCGCCATTGTATCCGACACGTCGTAAAGTTTCGGGTGACGGCTCGCGCGGTTTGCGGTCACGATCGGTGGGAAGGCGACCTATACATCGGGCCAGGAGCCCTGCATATGTACCGGTACAGGGGATAAGGGCGGCAACAAGGCAGGAGAAGGATGTCAAACCCGGCGGTGGACAACAGGATATGTATGCAAGAATACCGGGGGAACTAGCTTCTACTTCATCAAAGTAAGTTCCAACGGGGAAGCCGGCGAGAATGAAGCTATGGTTCACTTGGAGCATGAACCTCACATCCGAGCTTGCATCATGATGTAGGGAAGCACTAGGGCTGGATTGGTGGAGGAGCGGCGGAGCGGAGCGGAGCGGATATGAGGGTAGGCAGTGAAAGCTTGGCGCTATTCCAAGCCTGAGGCATCAAATTAGGCCATGGCACGTGACATCTACCTATTGATCACGCATTCACGCCAGCGTTCCAAGCTCACAACATTCACAAGTCAAAGCAACATCCTCGAAACCTCGACCAGATGAACTGAACGGGAACCTACCAAATTACCACAGGTTAGTTACACGTATCCACTGTATCTGCAACAATTGCCTGCGAAATCCGCCCTCTAGGATGACTTTCATGTGAGAGTGCCATGGAGATATTATTATTAGCTATGGTCGACGAACTCTGCCCTAGGCTTGGCCGAAAAGGCTGACCGAAATGAAAGGTAGAATATCCGCCTACAATGCTCATATTAGAAACATTCATGCCAAGTCTGTTTGTTTCTTTTCGATGCCCTGAGCACTAAAGTCGAGCCCTAACTTAGCCTGGCATTTCTTGTTTTATTTCTCGTTTTCCCAGTAGAGTGAACTCAAGTTTCGTGAACTTGTCGTTGTCTACTATATACGACGCATTGCTCATCAGCCACCAACATTGGCCGAATCCCCACGGTTCTTGTATTATAATCACCTATCGCACCTTTAGAACATGTAGGTTTTTCTTGATTAATCTCCTTATCCTCAGTCTACAAGATGCATTGTATAGTTTCCGTCTTAGCGCTGGCAGCGCTCCAAGTTGGAGCGCAAACTACGGAACCCACCTTCCAAGCCAACAATGTGGGCGGAGGTGGAAGGGTTTCAAAAGAGTCGCCTCATTTCCGAATATTTGGTGCGTCTTCCACCCAGGCCGATGCGGCAGTCCGAGAACTGGAAGTTGCCTATACCTGTTTCATTGGGGACTTAGGCTGGCGGTCGACTGGACTCTCCTTCAACGATGCGTCAAACCGTGGACCGTACTCTAAGATGAACATCTATGGGGTTTCTTCTCTTGGCGCCGCCGCCGGTCAAATGTTCTCGGACCCTCGTACCGGATACAGCTACCTCAAAGTTGTCACACGGTATATTGCGGATCCGGCTGTCACGGTTCACGAATTTGGACACGCTCTAGCATACCATGAGAAGAATTGGGTCGATCAACAGCGAACCGGTGCTTGGTGGGAACCCATGGCAAATTGGGTAGCCGATACTTTCATGACATCCCCGCTTTGCGCCAAAGCCAGGGCGCAATACAACCAGCCTGAAGGCCGCACACAAATTGATTTGAACAAGGTCATCGGCTCCTCCCATCAAACCATTGTTGATGCATCAACGGGATCCGGCAACTATTATCAATCATGGCCATTGCTCACGTACGTGACCAACAACCCCGACAAGTATCCCAATCTCGGACCGACGACTGTACGAGAGATGATGAGGCAGTACAAGCAAAAAAGCAACGAAACGCCACTTCATGCTCTGGAACGGGTTGCGCAATCGACGCCTATTCAAACAATTATCGGACGATACTGGGCTAGAATGGCGTACGTGGACATCGGCCATACCCAAGCACAGCAACTTTTCCAACAGCTGAAGACCCGAATTAACTACTCGAATCTCGATTCCACTGGAAGTGGGACGTATCGAGTTAAACGGAATCGAAGGCCCCTGTATATGGGAGCGAGCATAATCCCATTGAAAGGTACTGGTGCAGTTACGGCGAAAGTCACGGCCAATGCTCCTTTTACTGCAACCTTGGCGATTCGATCTCAAAACGGAAGCGTGCGCTATGTGGATTTGGCCAATGGCGCCGGCGAGGCAACCCGAGCAAGTGGTGAGGAGGCGACCTTGGTTATTGCGAATACTCCATCCAGCCTGGCTTTGTATGATGCATTTTCTATCACCGGTGTTGTTGCCCAAGGCTTGGATTATCAGGTTCAACTAACCGGTGCAACTCCATGAGCTTGTTAAGATATCTTGAGAATCCTTCGGGGGTTCTGGACCCTGTTTAGAGTAGGACAAACACGTCAAAGCGCATTCTCTTCGCTGATATGCAATTTCACTTCATATTCGAGCAACCAATGCAAAGCCCTTTCCGAAATCTCCATATTATTCTTCTCCATGAACATCATGTGTCCATTCCCATAGATACCCTCCTGTGGAAGGTCGAGGAACGTTACATCCACCCCTCCCTGCTTTAAGTATTCGACCGTACACCATTCGTACGGCTGATGGTAGCTGGCTTCCCCCGTGACGACGAGCACCGGCACTTTGGAAAGATTTTTCAGCTTCTTCGGGGGTTCGGCTTGTAAAATGCACTCGGATTTGTTCGCCTCCCGTGGCGGAATTCTGACTGTCTTCAATTCTTCCGCGTTCGGGCCAGCCGGGGGGTCATACGAAATCTCAAGTATTGTTAATCCCCACGTTCTTTCCCTGCCCTCAAATGGAAATGCGTTCTCAAAAGGCGGCCCTGTTGGTTCCAGCGCAATGAGGGTCTTGACTAGCTGAGGTCGTGCGTCGGCCACTCGCCAACCATATGATCCGGCTTGACTATGCACGATGAGATGCGCAGGGCCAACTCGGTCCATCAATGCAGTATAAGCCTTCGCATTCCTTTCTTCTGATAGCGTATTGTTCCTCTGTAATTGCACCTGTGTCGCGTAGAAAGCATCAAACACCGGGTCGCCAATCCGCCCCGTACCTGGCCACTGATTGTGGAGATGAGCCTGGGGCCAGAGTCCAAAGTCACTGGGAGCAGTGAAACAGGACTCAATTACTCTTGTACCGACCGAAGCCATGATTCCATTACCGGGAAGCCATGGTGATCGGCCACTGCAAAAACTTGGTCAGTTGTGGCATTGATTGCTGGCTCGATGAACCTACCGCTCGGGTTGATCTGTCAAATACACCACGAAGCCTCGTTCAAGGAAATAAGATGCCCATCCAGGCCGCCCATCAGGTGTCTCCAAGAAATTCTAGAGAAAAGGTCAGTGCCTCGTTCCGTGTAGCGATTTCTAGCAGATCGCAACTACCGTTCCAGTCTGGCCAGCGCCTGCAATGAACACAATAGGATCATTATGAACGATTTGTTCTGGCGTGAGCCTTTCGACATAGATCTGGCCTACCATGTATTGATCCGTAATGTTTCCAGACTTGTTATTTCACTTTAGACATTGCCAGGATCGGAATCGCGGACGATAATTACCGTCACTTTGACATATTCTCCTCCACTATAAAAGTACTCCCGATGGACTACTCTCGCATTGGACCAGACTCGACTCCTCATAGAAGGACGCGAATTGATCGATTCCACGACGAAACCGAGGAGGATAAGTAAACCCACAAAGACTCGCATCGTCGGAAAGTGAGAGTGAAGTCTGTGCAGCGATGGTGATGGCGCGAGAAAAAAAATCGGTGACGTTTCCGTGCGCCACCTGTTGATGTGTACTTTAAATACCCGTACGGCGAACAAATCTGTCCCAAGCGTCGATCCTACCTCTTCTCGAGTACGGTGCTGTACTTGGGAGATTGTTGCAACCTGATGAGTAGCAGCTAGCCTTTAACGACTCCACGCTGGAACCATCAATCACAAAAAGCCTCTGCCGTAAAAATGCTTCATCCTTGCTACAGGCTCGCACCATCTATTTGTAGTTTCGGTGTCTATTATCCACCCTTGGTATAACTTCTGTGTAACCGATACATTGGCTGAAAATGCATGACTATGAAACTCGGGAGCCACAGCACTAGGCGCACCGCATCGCCAATGGATCGGGAACCGGTTTTCAACGAGCCTGTCCTCCACCATGATTTTCGTATCGGTGCACACAACCCACCCGGAACCAGGTTCTTGCCCTGGAGACTTGTGATCTATTACCACCCCTTCTTGGGGTAGCCCTACCATAATCTAAACAATAGTGTATAGAGTGTGTCTAATAGTTCCCTCTAAAACGGCACTCGACGGTCACCGCGTGTCGAAATGTTAGATGCTGACAGTGGACAGGTGAATTGGCCGTCAGGGTCTCCTCGAAATCCTTGAGCTTCTTTCATTCATCTACCACCGCCTCTCCGGACTCTAAAGATTGCTCCCCGGATCCAAAGGCTAACGGAAAACAGGGTCCATAACTGACGCTACTCCAACGTGGCCTCCTGATTGATAAACTTTCGGGAGCGGTAGCCACTCTCCTAATAGAGGGTTCAGCCACATGCGGAGTAGGAGGCATGGGTGTGCCCGTCGTGGAGAAAGTTGGAGCCTCCATAGCCGAAGTATCATTCCGAAACTTTTCTGTCTCTTCGCTGTCATCTTCTGCTTTTCGTGCCTCCCGTACAGCAGCGTTCAACTTCTTCTGGAATGCTTCTTCCTGCAACTCTTCTGCCACGAGGGAGTGGTGGCACCGCCGATAGACTCCAATCCCACTTGCAATGAAGCCCATGACCTCCCACGAGAATAATATCGGCAAAGCACGGTGGAGCTTCGGATTACATCCACCAGACCAGATATCGCCCAATATTTGGTATGTTTCGTATGCCGGAAGCGCGTAAGCCCAGCGATAGAAGCCTGGGGATAGTTCCAAAGGTATTAGGAGGCTGGCGGCATTACACATGACCCAGGTGACAAGCAACATCGGCTGGTAGGGAGGCGGAGTAATGGTCGTCATCACGTCCAAAATGCAGAAATTGACGTGTGCGAGGAGCCATAGAATCGTCCACGTCGCGATAAACTCTTTGCCGCCCACGTCCCAACCGTAGCGGAACGCCCAAATCATTCCAGTGGTGCAAAGACTCCCAACGAACGTGTAAGATATCGAAATCATGCTCCGTATCGTGATAATACGAAGAGGATGGATTCGTGGGTAGATGCGGAACTGTGTGCTCAACCCATTAATGGTTCCGAGGTAAAAGAATTCTTGAAGCATGATCAAGATGAACACGAGACTGTTGTAAATCAGGCGAGCACCATGAGTCGTGGGCTTGATGTTAACAGAGTTTAGCGTCCAAGGATTCGAAAGGATGGCGATGACCGACTCTAGAGTCTGTTGAGAGGTGGAAGAGGCGACTCCGAGCACGCTGGCGGCTATAGTTGATCTGTATGCGTTCTCCGCCACGCTGGATAACCGTTGGATATTCTGGAAGATGGTAGCATCGGAGACTTGTGGATACAGAGCCTCGTTCCAAACCAGGTGAAGCGCGTGGGACTGGTTGTCGTTCGGTGTCGGGTTACCCGCAGCGCTCAAAATCGCTTCCGTCGACGGACTTGTAAAGATTGCTCCCCAGTACCGCTGCTGGCAGACCTCCTCTCGCATCTGTTGCTCAATATCTGCATTCAGCAATGAGAATTCTAAGGCATCCCGCTCGATCAAGGTTGGGAAGCCGTCCCCGCGCAACTGGGAATATGCTCCGCGAACCGCATTCCCAATCTCTCCTCCACCGTAATCCACGAAAAGAATTTGAAGGTTGTGGACATGAACGGTTTGCTGAAATAAGGCCGCGAATATGTACGCAAATAAAGCGAAGAATACAATCTGCAATTGCGCGAAATTCAAGCCGGCCGCTCGGAAGAAAGGCCGTCGGTCGGGTCGAACCGTTGGATGGCTGATTGAAAAGCGACGAGCATGAGCTTTAGGATATCGTCTGGAGGGCAGCCAGGCTTTCAGCCACGAAACCATTCCCATGATTTCCGAAAACTCAGACCCATCTCCTATTAAACGTTGAATTCCTGTGCCGACATAAAACAGTCAATAAAATGGATAGGTTAATTTAAAGGGACGGACTCTGTGTAATACACCGGGATGCTAGCATGAAAAATTTCGCCGCCCGGATGAGTTATCCGAATAATGTATAACTCCACGGAAAACCACAGCAAAACCACTTGCAATACTCCGTACCTATTGTGTTCGAATCTACGCCGTAGAGTTGGGGTCTTCGCGGATAAAGCTCGTTGCAGATGTCGATTAATAAATACAACACCCTCAGCCAGCGCCTGGTGTCGTGGTGTCCACCAGTTCAGGCACAGGCTGGCGTGGCTGGACAGGATTGATTGATTGATTCCTGAGCCCGTCGGGCCAACTTCGGTCGGCCCATGTGTGACTGGACAGGCCCAAGACAGGATGGGAAGCCGAAGGATTGGACGGCATGTGGCTTGGTAGGAGGGTAATGTTTTTATGCCTTGTAGCCTGGGGCATCAAGCGCCTCCGCAGAACTCAGCCACATTTCAATGATTCAGCCACACACTGTGCTGACACTTGACAGGGCGGGCGAGTCTTGAAGTCCTAATCACGGTTGAATGTTGATCGCGTAATTAGCGAGTTACTTCAGTGGTGATAAGTACGGAGTATCCGTGGCCCTTGGACCCACACCATATTTTCATTATAGATCATAATTTCAATTTCGATATCAGAGACGTATTACTCGAATTCTGGCAAGTGGCAACGCATTAAAATTAAAACCCAAATTCTCCTCCTCCACGGGTAATTCCTGTATGGGAGATGTTCCCTTCTCTTTTTTCCCGCCCCCATTCCTGCTGTGCCTTCCTAATCTTGGCCTTTCGCCCCTCCTCGCCCCGCGCATCGATATGTCTCTTCGCCTGCCGGACATCCAAGGCACCCGTCTGGCTAAGGCCCATTTTTACATGCCGCTCGGTCTTTGACCTTTTCTCTTGCCTTTAGCGGCGTTGGATATCCGAAACTACGACCTGAAGCTCCTCCAGGAGCCTGACCGCCCGGATATTGGCCTGGATCGCTTGGCGGATGCGACGTTGGTATTTCCGGCTCGAAAATAGGGCCTCGGGCGTATTTACGATCTTCATCTGTCTCCGGCGTGCCGTTCGAATGGTATTGGGTGGAGATACGCTTGGAGTGGCCGTAATACTTGAGGTTGGTGGAGGAGAAGACCCATTGTATATTTGAAGATCAGGGCCGTCATCCCTCTGATCACGAAGTATTGATAGAATCTTCTCCGGATCTATCGGCCAAAGACCCCTCTCCTTAAAGGAATTTCGAACGGTACGTGGTTTAAGGGCGTTTTCGCGAATCTGAGGCATCTCATCGAGGAAGGATGCCTTATCGGCCGCGAAGAAACCCCACCGTGAAACCTTGGTATTCGATTGCCGGAAATAGTACTTCAAGGCAAGAAACGGCTTGTCGTCTAGAGGTTGAAGGAAATGTGTCGTATGAGGCGGAAATGGAAAGGGAATAATATCAACGGCATGGCAGAATTCGATGAAATCGTTCGTAAGATGCGACCCATGGTTATCCATAAGGAGAAGCCGTTTCCCGCCTAGGGTAACGCGGTGCTGCGTATGCCGGTGGAAATGTTGAATCCAATCGAAGGCAACTAGATCGTTTGACCAGCCAGAGGTTGAGATATTGATCCGGTAGTCGCCTGGAATACGAGGACTGTCGTACCACCGTTCAAGATGGTTCTCACCCTTAAGGACAAAATAGGGCGGAAGAACGAAGCCATCGGCGGCAATACACTCGATATCGGTAACCGATTCGCCTGTCTCCGTACTCGAACTACCTCGTTTAGCCTCCGGTTGGAAACTAACCACCTTTTGACGTTTTCCCCCTCCAAGGCGGAAGCCGCTTTCGTCGAAGTTATATATATTCCGGGCATCGATCTTATGCTCCACGACCTGTTCCGTTAAGAGTTGGAACCAATGGCGAACAACCTCAAGATCCTTAGCGTAGAGACGGTCCTCTTTGATTGGCTTTCGATCATTAAGAGGAAGAGAGTGACGTTTAATAAAGTTATATTTCCACATCTTACCAACCTGAGGCGGCTGGGTCGAGTCTGGGGCGTTCCGGCGGAGGATAGAATTGGCGCAATTTTCGATCTCGTTCGGTGTCGGAGGCGCTCCCCTTGTATCGAGAAGATGAATCCACTCGATAAGAGCCCTTTCTTGTCCTTCATCGAGTTTGGTCGATCGTTGGTAACGCGAGCGGTTGGAATATGATGTATGGGTGCCCTCAAGACGGCCCTTAATGACCAACCGACCGACTTGGAATTCGCGCTCCAAAGCCGAGAAGTTGACCTTTTTCCCCTCTTTTTTTTGATCTCTGGCCTTCTCAAGTGCCTTTTGAAGGGTTTCCTCTGAAAAATTGCCGCGTTTCGGCATGTTGGATGGTGTAAAATTGAAAGAGATGTGAAGATGGTGGTGAAATTGAAAATATGGTCTTTAATGAAAATACAATTCCTCTCCAGCTTTCTGATTCTTTGGTTCCTGAACTTGAAGCACGTGCTGTGACGGTGTGACCTACGCCACGGAGGCACGGACACCGCCACGGACACTTGACACTGCAGGCCTGGCACTACACACTTACACAGTATCCCCACCCAGGCACCGTCGCGGGCACTGCCGTGCTAGCTCCGCAAGTGATGATTTGGGGCAGAACGGTCGCCTTATGCACCACAGACCTATTTTATGAACCAAGACGACCTGCTTGATTAGGAAACGAAGTGGCTGAGTAACTGGTGACGATCGCATGCAACCTCCTCCAATGAAATGACGGCCCCCTAGGATTTTTCCTAAATGTCATGGATTCCCACTTCCCTAGAGCATTGTGCATAAGTGACGTTGAAGATCAGCGGGAGTTCGGTCTCCCTGGAGAATCCCGCAAACCAAGGCATTGTGAGACGGAAAGCGGTCATGATGGTCATGATGATCATGATGGTCGCAAAGAGACACTGGGTAAAATGCCATATCATTATTTAGTTACATGAATTTCCCACTTTTTCATGCTCCTAAACCATTCCCACCTCTATTCTACATCCTCATCTTCCACTAGATCGCTTCACATGGCCTCATCTCAGAGACGCTTTAGAGAAAGCATGGACAAATATCCTGTGAAAGAGAGGGGTTCCCACGATGAATTTCGTTCGCATGGAGATGTCACTGGCATTGGTGCTGCCTCAGCACGGAGGGCTATCGAGCCTCCCGCATCAATTGGAGCGATGAGCTATGATTATCGCGTCTCTTTCGAACGGAAACTTGTGCAGAAGATTGATTTCCGTCTGCTTCCTATGGTCATAATTATGTACTTCTTTGTCGTTGTTAGCTCACCCTCCCACTGACAAGAGTTAGGTATATCATGTACGCGCCTGCAATTAACTGGCTTTCACGCTTTCACTGACGCCATTGGATTAGGAATTATTTAGACAGGTATGTAGGGAGGACTGATAAAGCTGCCACTATGGTAGCTGACATGGACAGGAACAATATAGCCACCGCTAGGTTGGCCGGACTTGAAGGTCAGTCCAAAAGCGGCAGCGACTTTTTGGCCGTTCCTGACACACCACAGATGAGCTACAACTTACCAGCGCTCAGTTTCAACTTGCGGTCAGCATTTTATTCGTTGGATATGTCCTAATGCAAGGTAAAAGGCTTGACCCCTTGACCCCTTGACCCCTTCCATGGTCCTCCTCAACTGCTAATCGGAAACAGTGCCTTCGAACCTGCTGTTGAACAAGATCGGACGACCATCCATATACCTCTCAACCTGCATGGTGGTTTGGGGACTTGTCAGCACTCTGACAGGTACCGTAAATAGCTATGGTGGCCTTGTTGCGGTTCGATTCGCCCTGGGTTTCGTTGAAGCTGCGTATTTCGTATGTATCACGTCTTCAGTGTACTTGGTGAGCACAACTAATATGAAAACAGCCAGGTTGCCTGTATTTCTTGTCTTGCTGGTACACTCGTAAGGAACTAGGATTCCGCACTGCCATCCTCTACTCCGGTAACCCCCCAAGTATCCTGACACTGTAAAAAAAGGGCTAAGAATTTCCAGGGTCCCTCATTTCAGGCGCATTCTCAGGTCTCATTACCGCTGGTGTAGCAGACGGTATGGACGGGGCTCGCGGTTTACGGGCATGGAGGTGGATCTTCTACATCGAAGGGGCCATCACAATCGTCATAGCTATTGCTGCCGCGTTTATCCTTCCCAACTTTCCTCGAACCACCAAATGGCTTTCGGAAGAGGAACGAGAGCTTGCGATCTATAGGCTGGAGGAAGATATAGGCATGGATGACTGGACCGGTAGCGCCGATCAGACATTCTGGCATGGCTTCAAGCTAGCCATAACTGATATCAAGGTGTTCATCCTTGCAATTCAGCTGACAGCAGTCGTGAATGCCGCCTCGATCACGAATTTCTTCCCCACCGTGTGAGTAACCCCTTCACTTCCCCCTTTCCACTCCAGTCATTGAATCCGGCTTACCAAAATTAGAGTGGAGACGTTGGGCTACAACCCTATTCCCACATTATTACTTACTGCGCCGCCGTACGTCCTAGCCGTCATTACCTCGTTTCTAAACGCATGGCATGCAGACCGCACTGGCGAACGATACCGCCATATCTCTTTACCCCTACTAGTTGGGATTGCAGCGTTTATATTAGCTTCGGCTACAACGGCGGTGGCGCCTAGGTGAGGTCATCAATTAAGGACTACTTGATAGCATAAAACATTTCCATCTAACGCGGGCTACAGATATGTAGCAATGATGCTCATGTTATCAGGAATCTATCCGTAAGTGTTCCAACTTGCCTATTTATTTAAGTCTTGATTGACTTGTGAACAATCACTAACCTGACTCAAGCTCATACGGTTAGTTGCCACTGACCAGACTGAACGGATTCCATTTCTGACCTCTACTATTCTAGTCGTCATCTTGGGGTACATCTCCAACTGTATCCCCCGACCTCCCTCAAAGCGCGCAGCAAGCCTCGCCTTCATCAACGCCGTGTCCAACTGTGCTCAAATTTGGGCCTCGTATCTCTACCCGAAGTCGGCAGGGCCGCGATACGCCGTCGCGATGAGCGTCAATTGCGCCACGCTGTTTGTGGCGCTCGTGATGGCGACGATCCTTTATTTCATGCTGCAGCGGCTAAACAAGAAGCTGGATCGCGGAGAGCATGTGGATGGGGTCATGTCGTCGGGTGGCGCCGTGCCGGAGGAGGCGGCTGGGAAAGGGTTTCGCTTTTTGCTCTGAGATGAGAACACTGCTTGATGATTTCGTGGACGAGTATCATGTCAAGTTGAAGTCTAGTACTTACTATTATCTTCAAATAATGTAGCAGAAACGAACAACTAGGCGGAATAGAAGCCGTAAGTTAGCTGATGAGTCAAAAGGAAGGAGTTCGGTACTCTGCACGGGATGTGGGGGATGTGGGCAACGGATCGGTCCATTCCGTCTGATGAGATCATTGACCCTATGACGACAATAGGAATCGGATTACCCTTGAATATTTTGTTTCCGAATGACGACGATTATTCGGTCCTCACTACTTTGCGCTTCGTGTAGTGGAGTCGATTAAAATTTAGCTATGCTACAATGAATTTAAGACTGGTCGTACACGCACGGCCTTGCGGACCACCCCTTCTTGATGCATCATCATCGCCTTGTAGAGCCGCTATGCAGCACCGTGGATCTAACATGAAATGCACGCTCGACAATGCCTCCCAATGCTGTTTAAAAAAGAGAAATAGGAATTACTGTTCCGAGGGTGCTCGACATGGCAAACAGTAAGACCACATATTCAGCGCTTGCCGCCCTTCTTCTTCGCTGCGACCACGCGGAAATTGTTCGGCTCCTCCTTGGTCGTGCTAACACTGCCACCCTTCTTCGCGACCTCGCTCCAGCCGCCGCTTTTGTTGTCGCTCGCAGTGGAAGGGGACGCCGTGTTCGTTGTTTCGACGATGCCCTTCGCAGCAAGCTTGTTGCGTCGAATGAATTCTTCGGCGAAGTGGCGGCTGTCCATGGTTTGAGACACGGAATGGACCGCCTCGGTGATCACGTCCATTTCGGATGGGAGGCTGAGGAGCGTTTGAACAAAGTCATCAACTATTTCATGTTAGCTGACATCATCATTGACCAGAAGTAATTTGTCAACTCACCATTGATACCCTTATTAAGATCATGGCGAAGCTCGGCAACTCCCCACTTCTTGAATTCTTCGTGTGCGTTCACTTGGCCGATAGGTCCGGAACCTGCGGTCGTGCTTCGTGAAGCGATGGTGACCGGCTTAGGCCTAGCGGCCGCCACATTCGCCGTGCTATTGGATCGGATCGCAGCAGGAGCTGTAGGGGTAGTTGCTGGAAGCTTGGGCTTGCCTCCTGCACCAACCGTCATCCAGGCACCACTAGCACCACCGACACCACTAGCACCGCTGGCACTTGACGGAGCTGGAACAACTTTGCTGGCAAGGTCGGCATACCGCTTACCGGTCGACAAGGAGGGGGATGGGCTGCTGGGGCTCGCCGTACTCGCTACCGCTGCTGCTGCCGCCACGGCCGCTCGTTTCCGCGCCTCTTCCTCGTTTTGAATCTGCTGTAGGGTCTTCTTTGGTGCGTTGTTCTGCGGTGCCGCCTTACTGACGGTCGGCTTCGCCCACGGTGGCACGGCTGGGGCTTGAGGAGTCGGAGGTTGCGCGTTGCCCCAGGTTGAGCTAGAAGGCAAACCCGGAGCTGGCACGGGAGCTTGGTTTTTCTGATTAAGCATCTCTCTCTCCAGGATCGCACGACGAGCAGCCGCCGCGACCTCCTCCTGTTGGGCGGCTTTCCTGGCCTCGGCTTCCTGAATTTCCTTAAGTGACGGGCCTTTGATCGGTTCCGCCACATCTTTTGCCCAAGGCGCGAGCGAAGTGCTTGGTGTATCAACGGAAGGAGTCTGATTCTGGGAACGCGACTCCGCGTGTAACGCTTCGGCGACGTTCTGTTTACGTTGAGCGACGGGCGCAGGCATGGGTGAGTTGGACTGTGGCGGCGGCAAGGGCTGAGAATGTGATGGGTCCATCCGTTGCCAAGGCGACTGTACAGTGGGGGTCTGCTTTGCAGAGACGACCTTCTGGACTTGCTCGGACAGAGAAAGCATACTGTCCGCGATGGTTTCTTCCACGCCGTAGTCTTCATGGGACGAGATCTGGCTCGGAGCGGTCGAGGCTTCAAGCTGGGCTTGGTGAATCTGATGGGCAAGGGCTGCGAGTTGCTCATTATGCCCTTCGTATGAGGGATCCATGCCGGCCTGCTGTTCATTCTCGATCTGTTTTCGAAGGTCATGGAATTCCTGAAGCCGTTCGAATGTCAGCTGAGCTTGCTGGTTTGCTGGACCGGGTCGCTGCTGAAGGGAATCGAATTCCGACTGTTCCCGTTGAAGGCGCGCTCGTTCGTTCGCGATGGCAGCAGCCTGGTGCGAATGTAGATCGGTTTGCATTTGGTGCCACTGGGCTGGAGGTTGTTGGCCTCGGCCGATCGACAACCGTTCCATCATTGCAACCTCATTGGGACGATGGGCATCGGGCCCACTGCCAATAGGAGGGATTTGAGTGCTTGAAGATGTTCCTGGAGCGCCAGGTCCGCGATACATTCCTTCAAGGGAGCCAGATCCTGGAGGTCCAGGAACGGACCCTTGAGCAGACGGAAGTTGATATCCGGTAGGGGAAGTGATGGATCCGAAACTGGGCTGGCTCTGAAGGCTTTGTGCACTGCCATGGTGGTTCAATGACGGCGGAAGAATGCTCGATTGGCCCTGCATCATCTGCTTGGAAAGCAGCTGTTGTTGAGCGAGGTGTTCCTTTTGGCGAGCCATCAGGTACTGCTCCTCTTGCTTACGTCTTTCCAAAGCATTCTGCTGCTCAGCAGTGAGGGTGGTCCCAAAGCTAGGGAAGCTATTGGCGAATGGAGGTTGAGTTCCCACCGAAGCACCTGTTCCGCCAGCGTAGTGGCCGGTAGGGGGCCCGTGTGGGATGCCGATTTGGGGAACGAGAAATGGCTCGCGAGAATTTCCTATACGCCGAATGAGGCTTGCGAGAGGCTCGTAATCTATATCCTCCGCTTTCTTGACCAGAAGCTCGGCCGTGAAGTAGCCCGCTTTGTACCACTCGTGCATTTCCAGGCCGGACCATGGCCCCTGCGTGTTGCCTTGCGGATCTTTGTAGATCCATCGCATTCGATCGGGCATCACCATGGTTCGCTGCTGGGCCGGAGGAGGCTGGCCCGTTCCAGGAGTGGAGGCGGGCTGGGCTTGGGGAGCGATGCCACGTTGAATACCCAGATTTGGAGGAATCGATGCGGATACGCTGCCAAGCTGCTGCAGAGGAGAAGTAAAGCCCGGATCACTACCAGCATGCTGCGCTTCTGGGCGGATCCCAGGTCCAGGGACCTCGTCAAAGAAACTCCGAGCGGTTCGGAGAGGGCTTTCCGAGTCCCGGGGTGGACCCGAAAACCCGAATCCAGGCTTTCCGATGGAACCAAACACGGACGGACCACCATCATTGGCATTCTCCTCGCCCAGTTTAGGGATCTCACTTGCACGCATTTGGTCTTGTAGAGCCTGTGGGAACAGGGAACCAATCTTCCCGCCACGTCCGATGGTCCCCGTGGCGCCCCCGGGGGTAGCTCCAGGACCAAACATATTGCTTGATCCGAGCCCTGCCAAATTGGGCGATTGAAGGTCCGCCATGGAACCGAACATCCCATCTCCGAAAGACGCGAATCCAGCGCGCTCTTTTGAGGGTGTGGAAGTGCCGGGAGCATTGGACCATCCCGAGGGACCCCCGAGTCCAGGGAGCCCTCCAAGTCCACCCAGGTTAGGGAATCCGCCTCGCGAAGGCCCTGCGCTAGAGGTCTGGCTCCTATCACTGCCGGCCGGATCGAATGTGACTTGGGTCCGTCCGAATCCACCAATTGATCCAAGGCCAGGTAGAGTTGTCATGTTAGGATCGGCGCTGAATTCGCTAAGCCGGGGAAGCCGATTCTGAAGAATATCCGAACCATTCATGGCAGCTTCATCGTGATCGGTACGCTCATGATCGGGACTCTGGTATGGGTTGGTATCGGTAGGACTCATTGGTTCATGCGTCCCTTGCGGGGCCTTCTGTTTGGCAGGCGTCTCGTGCTGCACATCGCGAGAGAAACCAGCGTTGTCCGCTGTCATGCCGAAGGCAGCCAATCCTGGACCTCCTCTGGTCTCAACTCTGCTCGAAGTGCCGACGCTAGAGACTTCATGGGGCGAGCTTTCCTCGAGTAGAGCGGCACTTCCGCTTTGTCCATCGTCGTCAGGGAAAGGGTCGGTGATATTGCTCGTTGTTCGGCGAGTGCGCGCCTCCATCCACGATTGGATGCGGTCCGTTTCTAGCTCGGCCTGTCGATCGTGGCCCCCGCGCGAAGACGGTGGGTCCTCCGTGGCATCTTTCATCAAACCTTTGAATCTGCTCTCGCCTCTCATACTGCCGAAACCTGGTCTTTTGTCGCCTGCGGCAGGCTGACCGTGACCACCAAGCCCGAAATTCCCGAAAGTCCCCGTAGGGGCGAATGCGTTGCTGGGCGATGACGCTGGCCATGGAGACCCGGAGCCGGGTATCGCGTTGCCATGTCCGCCGGCGCCCCGTTTAAACCCACTGATCGGTGTAGATAGGTCAGCAGCACCCTCCCGCTCGCGCAGGTGCTCCTTTTCTTCTCCGCCATCCTTGAAATCCGTTAGCCGTCGAAGGATCGATGGTGGGGGCGTGACGTTAGCCGAGTCGTCTTTCGAGAGCCGGGAGCCGAGAGTCGGGTTGGAAGCCGAAGGGAAGGGATATGCGTCGCCGGCCTCACGACGCCGGTTGGGGCGAGCAGAAGTCGGAGAGGAGAGTCCATATTTATCGGGGCCATTCTGACCATGGGATATTGAGGTCTTGCGCATGGACATGCCATCTTTGTTGCCCGAGTCTTTTCCTCCGGCTTGTGTCGGTGGTTTTAAGGGGGAGTTGACGGTACTTGCGAAAACTTCGCGTTCTTCCGCAGACAACTCGACCAGACCCAACGGTCGCACATGTCCACCACTATCCCAGCAAACGTCCGCACCGACCGTAGTGCCGTCTGTGGCATCGTTTGGATCCCATCCCGACATGAACAGGCCCGAGGCATCATGTATACCTCCGTCTTGGTGTCCACCGTAGAGGGAAAGCAGCTCGTCCTTTGAATATCTGTGCTCCGTGGCGCCGTTCCTTGACATGTGAGGCGGAACATAGACCCCGGCTACGGCTGGAGGATCGCGCTGAGCAGAAGGATCGCGTGAAGTAGGTTGCGGATTCGTTGCGGATGAAGGGCGTCGCATGGTGAGGGTTGCGCCATTTGGTCGTCGTTGCCTGTTCAAGAAGCGTTAGAAAAGTCTCAATTTGATAACCTGGCAAATATGGTGCTTGGAATCGTGGACTAGCGCTGGTGGCGGTTTGGAATGAAACAATGCGACGTGAATATGAGATAAAACAATTGGGGGGTATATTTAAAAGTGTGCGGGCGATGCGAAGTAAATTCATGTCGGGGGCAAGTGGTGGGAATCGAGGTTGTGAATCCAGACGCGTCCACATGTCCAGTGTAAAAATAGGACGGAAAGAACGCATGCCACCAAAATGGGTGGGATCGGCTTTCTTTTCGTCCTAAAGCCTGACATTGCAGGCGATTTCATCGCAGCAATATCGCGGACTTGGGACCGAGGGCGCACTCCCAAGGCGAAACTGTCGAACCCGGTTGTGATACAAAGGATGGAAGAAGAGCAAGCAAAGGGAGGCAAGCATGGCAATATACATACCATTCGGCGCTGTCTGTCCTCGAAAGGCTTGAATTGGCTCCCGCAGCTGCTGATGCGAAAGTGGAGGGTGCCATATTTGGAGTCGGATGGAGGAGGCGGTGGCTAGGGGAAGGTCTAGCAAATAGAATTGGGAGAGCAGAAGTTGTATGGAGGTTTCGAATGTCTGAAGATCTCTCAGGGAAAAAGGCTGGTGGTGTCACAAGAGACACAAAAGCGGCGCAGGAAATGGAGGGTCAGAGAGAGGAAAAGGATCAGTTAGATGATGTAGTGGTGGTTGCAGTGGTGAAGATTGTGTAGAAGAGAGAGAGAGAGCAGAGTCTCCCACGCACAAGTCACAGCTCGCGCTGGGGAGGAAATTGGAGACCAGGCATCGGTCTTGTCACATGACTATGTTGCTGACAACTTGGGTTTTATCGTTCGCTGGAGCCAAACTTTGAACTGCCTGACAGCCTCAGGTGTCCAATCAAGTTCGCGGTTCCAAGTCCCCTCTCGTCTCAACCATGGTCCATCCATCCATCTCCTCTCCAAGTGTCCAATATCACTCCCTTCATCGCTTGCTTATCTTTCAGGTTCACTGGGTAACTACCCTCAGTTGCTAGATGCTGTACCGAACTGTTCTTATCCCCTCCTCTTCATTCCTGTGCTTAAATTACTATGTACATTGCCCCGCACACCATCACCCCCCCTTTCGTTAATCCCTCCTTCAACCATATGATACACCACTGAAGCAGAGCTGGTCCCTCTCCATTTGCTATAACCCCCATTCTTCTCCTCTTGTCATTGGTAGTCATATCGCCTTGGTAATTTGCTCTTGATCCGATATCTGTTCAATCTGATGGCCTAGTCGTTTCTTTCATGCCTACGGAATAGTTTCCGCAAGCTCAGGACTGGCATCATTGTTTGCTACTCCATGCTGTTTGCTCTTCCTGTCCTGTGCTGAACCCCAGTGGTACCACAGAAGCGCAACTGTTTGCTACAGACTTGACACCCAGGTTCTCTCAATCCTAAAATCCCGGGGACCACAAGCTGATCCACTAATGTCAATCGAGCGTAATCGCTTGTCTCGCCGTGACAAAAGATGTAATGTCTACCACTCATCACATGCTAGTGTACATCATACCGACGGCTGTGCTCCACATTCCCTCTTTGCTCCCGTGAAGCAGCGAACAGCCACTCCTGATCAGGTTTGTACTGAACCCCTCTCCACGTATATGTAGCCCCACCGACCCTTGGATCCATTCTTCGTCCCGCAACAATGGACAGCATCTGGAACAGACCTACCTCCCTTACCACCAAGGCTACTCAAACTGCTCAACTGCCTTTCAGGGGCATTGACTCCTATCTCACAACTTCCTTGCTCAACTGCAGAGCATTCATAGGAACATCGGAACCATTTGAATGTGTACTCAGATTTGCCCTTGCAGATTACCAACCCCCCATTTCGCTTGCTGGTTTCGCTTGGGCAGCGAGCAGGCCGCAAGTCAGTGCTTGACACAAGGCAAGCTTCGTTTGACAGCCGGAGCTGAGAAGGCCTCTCTATTGAGCGGATATTAATATCCGCAAGTGCCTCCCACCGCACATTGACAGTCGAACTTGAAGAGCATGGATCCTCTCAGTAGACAGGGCATGACGCTTAGCTCTCCCTCGCGTGGCTTTTACAACTTCAGCAATGGAAGCGGTGGACTCAACCAATCCCGAAATCGCGACCGGTTCGACCGTCAAAACTCGCAGCGGCGTGGCTACGGCTACGGTTATGGCTACGGCCTCGGAGGTCAATGCAACCCGATGCTAGGAAGCCCATACATGGGAGGGTATGGGATGGGGATGGGGACAGGGATGGGGACAGGAATGGGAATGGGGACAGGAATGGGGATGGGGTCAGGAATGGGGATGGGGACAGGAATGGGGATGGGGTCAGGAATGGGGATGGGGTCAGGAATGGGGATGGGGTCAGGAATGGGGATGGGGTCATCGGGGATGGGGACCGGAATGGGAATGGGATTATCGGGGATGCGGGGAATGCGAGGCATCGGCCGGCTTGGTTCAAGTCGCAGCGGTTTCCGAGATCCTCTCCGCTCCAGATACGGGATGTCAGGACGGTTCGGTTCGTTAGGGCGAGGCGGTCGACACGGTGGTTCGTGGCGGAGGTCGTTATTGGGTGGGCAACGGCGGGCATTCGACTCCCCTTACGACTTCTATGGAGACGACTTGTACGACTCCGACTGGATAGACGACGATTTCGATGATTTCCCGTCATATTATTCCCCCTACTCGTACATGTACGATGCCTCCGGTTACGACGATTGGATCTAGTATTGGGAGGGATTCGGTTCAACTATTCCAGGATACTGGAGTCTCAGGTGCTGGGCCGTCTTGCTTGCCGTGTATTTATGGCGTCTAGGTGGGAACAAGGATGGAAGAATCTCCGGAAAATCGAACGATTGATTGAATTCCCTTCAGGTGAAATGGTCACCGCCGTGATGCTTCATTTGTTTCGTTATCCGCAAGCGTCGTGCCCACCTTTCCTTCCATTCCCTCTCCTCCCGTCCCAACCGCAGTCTCTTCTTCCTCTCGTACACCGCTCTGACCGTCCTCTTCGTTTGGTCCTTCCCCTCTTCAAAATTCGCCCGTGCCAACGACACCACCTTATCGATCTGGTCCGGCGTATAAACGAAGTTCCAAGTCGACATGAAATCAGACGACATCGGATCAACGCTAGCGACACGAGGATTGGAAAGAAATGGAAAATAGATGACGCATATGCCAGCATTTGGTCGTGTAAGCTCCCAATCTTGCTCCACGAGTTTGGAGGGCAGTGGGTCAGAGTCAGACTCGCGCTCTTCCGCCGTTCCGACCCAAACATTGCAAAACGTGAGGTCGGATTTTTCGCGCTTCTGTCGTCGCGAAGAAGGTTCGATTTTGTCGTGCCCTGGCTGAGGAGCACCAGATGATGCTCGGTACTGTTTCGACGAGCTACTGTGCCCCAAGCCTGGTTGTCTATCGACGTTCTGGGGGCGAGCGTCTTCACTTTTACTGCCCGAATTTGCAGCGGCCATCTTCCCATCCACGTCTCTCTTTGTCTCGGCTTGTGCGCTAGCCAGTTGCTCGGTCACCTCATCATCGGTCGCATCGGGAGGTGGCCAGCCTGCGCCGACGGGCCATCCCTTAATCCCTCTTTGCCGGGCATATCCATCCACAGCATGAAGCCAATTATCAGTCCTCACATCTGCACTCGCATCGAAGGCAATGAGAATATCCACGTCACGACCTGGCCGCAGAAGGGGATATACGGGAAGGTTGTTGCTCATCCCTGCGTCCATGAGCTGCAACTGGGGGGATTCGACCAAGCTGTCTGGCACATGTCGAGGCAGTGCATCCTTAAAGCCGTCGACGAAATTGGGAACGGCGGCGGGTTCGATCGGATGTACTTTAATCAAATCACCGTCCTTTTCGGCGAGAATATGGTCAAGGCGCCCGAATCCTGTCGCGCCTTTGAAAAGGGGTCGAACCTCTTTATAGTAATGCGATAGCGACGCGCAAAATGCGGAGCCCCATATCCCAAGGAGGGTAGACAGACGAACTTCGGGCAAATATAGGCCATTATCCCGCTTTTGCGAAGCGCCATCGTGGAAACTCCTCCCAAGAGCCCACATCGGTATGCCAGCACCGAGTTCCTCGCACCAGAATTCGTAGGGCGTCATTTCGAACCACTGAAACCATGTCTCTTTCAGCGCCTGTTCCGCCGATGCGGTGTGGGAGTCCATGTCTACGGCCGGTATCTCGTGCCGGACGCATGTATATATTGGCATCGGGTGGTCTCCAGACTCTAGAAACCGCTTCTGACTGGAGACTTTCATGTCCAGGGCGTCAACTCCTAGCTCGCCTTTTGGCACCATGAGACGTGCGGCTAAAAGCAGTCCATATACGTCCACGATGCCAAAATCAGCATCAGGCATACCTCGCGTCTTCTCAAGAAGGCCGCTAAGAAGGTACTTGTCGGTGGGGGCGCTTGTGAGAAGGCTCATTGCGGAGGGTGGGAAGGCAATGTGCACTCCCAGTCGGCGTTTCAGATGATTGATCAGTTTCCGGTGGCTTTGACCAGTCAAAGAGGAGTAGTAGAGAGCCTGTAACCAGCAGCTACCGCTTACACCCGCCGTGTAAGTAGCGCAGTCAAACAATCCAGCTTCTTTAGTGCACAGGTAAGACGATGAACCTGCAACAAGCGCTCTAAGTCCGCCTCCTGAGCCGCAGATAGCAATGGTCGGCACATCGTCCAGATGGATCTCCGCTTCGTTCATGTCAAGGTATCCGGCCAGCGCTCTTCGAGTGGCCATTTTGCGTTTCTTGACGAACGCACGTTCCTCTTCGCACAGGGTGTCCGATATACGAACTTGGCAGTCCCAGATGATCTCCGGATGCATCTCGGGGTCATTCGCTTCCTGCCAAATCATGTCGGCAAGAGATCCGGGTGCCCGTGACACTTCCTTCTGTAACTTCGTGATATATTCGGGGAGTACACGAACCCAATCAGGGATCAAGAACTCGGTTATCTTCTCCTGAACAGAAGACCAGTTGGCAGTCCCCGTGTTGGATTGGACGTTTGATGGCCCATCCTCTGGGGGCGTGTCGTCGATTGGCATCGACTCCTTTCGAGTATCATTGTCCTCCACCACCTCTGTCTGAGATAGCGGTTCGGGGTCTTCAGAAATAGTATCACCAGACTTAAACCTCCGGCCCCGGTGTATCACAACGGGCCCTTCCGAAGGCCACGACGGTCCCGACCTTGGCCCATCGCAAAATGCTCGCCCTTCATACAATGGAACAAGGTTTCCGTTCAAATAGAGACTTAATCCCACGACAACGCAACTAATGGACCCAGCTAGACAGATGAATGACTTTTGCTGATGAAGGCGTCCTTTCGAAGCTCGCCACGAGTGCGACCTCCTCGATATATATGATCTAGGTATTCGTAAGCATGTTTCGTTGACCCTAGGAACCGAATGCGAAGCAATTGCATTGTTCATTGCTTGACCGACCTTGGGAAATGATAAGCATAGCATTTACTGATCCTGGGACATGCCGACGGCCTCCATCTGTTGCGTGGAATAGCATTCATAACTGACTTGGATGTCATATCTCGGAATGCTTGGTAGAACCAGTACCTTTTTGGCGAAAGGTTACCTCCGAATGGAAACCATAGCTATCTCCTTGCCATGTTTCGATGAGTTCGAGGTATTGTCTGATGATTGTACGAAGTAACTACTCAGGGCACAATCATGACTTTGACGTCCCTTTTTGTGCCTTGGAACCATGGCACGAATGTAATATTGTCGGATTGACGTAAGGTATTGGGGATGAACCAATCACAGGCCTCTTTTCCTTGTTCCTTGCAGCTGTCGCTCAAGCTAAGCGTGACGACCGACAACGGAACTGACAAGTGACAACAGGCAACTTGAGTCTTGAAGTGATCGACCAAGCTACGGATAGACGTCCTGTACCTATACTGGTGTTAGAATTTAGGGAACTCTGTATTATTCCTTGGTTACTCGGACCTTATCGTTGTTATCCGCACCCCTCCAGTCAAGTGCCTGACTTCAGCTACGGGAGTCTACATGCGCGGTACTAGCTCTTGTCCTCTCTACCGCGTGGATGTCTTTGGTCATCCTCCTGATCGCGCAGTCATGATGTAGAATGGCCGCAGCGCGCACCAGCGGGATCTCAGCGGATCATCTTTACGACTGATGTCTTCTACCCCTCTCATACTAGAACCCCGAACCGGTTTTATCCTTTACCACCACAATACATAGCACCTCAAGCTATCGACGCCTTCGAGGGACCGCTCCTCTAGAACACTCGACCCGCTACCACCAACAACATGCCCGACGTCCACCGAACTGCCCTGGCGGAAGATAGCGCCGAAGTCGAGGTGCTCACTGCCAACATCGATAAGCTGGATGGACTCAGGAAGAAGATCCAAGGCTCCCTGAACAGGTTGGAGACCAATGGCAAGAATATGGAAGACGCGATTCGACCGGTCTACGGTAACACGTCGGGGCTCCAGACGATGAATGGCAACATCGACCATGTCATCGATGCGATCGATCGGATATTCGAGCCAGTTGAGGGGGCCCGACGAGAAGAGCGAATCGTGAAAGCAGGTCCCAGGCAAGTGGGATTGCCAGACTACATTGCATCGCTGGAGCGGGCGACGCGTTCGTTAGCAGAGCTAAAGAACTCGAACTTCCAGTGCAATCAGCAAGCAATGAGCGAGATTGAGACGTGGCTGAAAGGAGGCACCATGCAGATGGAAGACATATTCAGGGATACATTGCGAGAAGATGCTCGGCCAGTTGAACCGCTCCATTTTATCACCAAGCAGCTTCCATTCCCGAAGATTCCACAAGAGAAGGTCACATTATTACAAACTATCAACACACACATCATGGATTCTGTTGCCCAGACCTCGACACAGGGGAAGCGCGAGTATCCTTCGGTGAAGATCTATACCGACGTCCGAGGCGAGTATATTGCCATCTCACTACGCAACCTTGCTTCGGCGTCGGTGTCGACAGCGAGAAAAACATCACCGGATACGCTGTATCGGCGAGGGACGTCAGGTATCGGGACATACGCGAATTGTCTGGCGGGACTATACGTATCCGAATACGAAAACGTATACATCATCTTTCCGCGAGATGAGTGGATCAGGGTGTTTACCACCACGTGCAACAGCAGCTTCTCAGAGTTCAATAAAACCCTTCGAGAGCTGAACAACCACATCAAATCGAACATCATTACGGATTGCTACCTTGCCTTCGAAATCATCGAAGTGATCCAAAAGGTGTCGGTGGATCTGGAACGCACCACCGGAAGCGCCATGAAAGTCCAATTGTCCGATGCGCTCAAACCAATCCGAGACACCGCGAAGGCAGCAGTGACTATGCTGCTCGAGGATACCCGGTCCCGCGCGCAAAGCCTCGCTGTCCTACCTTCGGATGCATCGACCATCCCGCTTACCGCGGAAGTCATGAGGCGCCTCCAATCATTGGCCGGCTTTTTGGAACCATTGACCAGCGTCATGCGAGCTCTTGGAGACGGAGGGTGGTCCGCGTCCTCGTCCAGCGCGGCGTCTAGCAATAAGGCATTCGATGTGGGAGCGGATGGCCCGTCGCTGTTCGCACACTATGCCAGCGATATGCTCGACGCCCTCGTCGGCTCGCTGGAGGGGAAGGCGAAGCAAATGAAGTCTCGAGGGGTGGCCGGGATTTTCATCGCCAACAATGTGGCGGTGATCGACCGCGGCATCCGGACGAGCGAGCTGGCCAGTCTTCTTTCCGGGCTGGCTCCGAAGGTGGAGATGTGGCGAAAGAAGTCGGTTCAGGCATACGTCGACGCATGGAAGGAATGCTCGATCCTGCTGTTCGACGTGCAATATACGAATCGAGCGCCGCGACCTCCGTCGACGGCGGCTACCGTGGATTCGGCGGCCATGATCAAGTCGATGTCGTCCCGAGACCGGGATGGGGTGAAGGAAAAGTTCCGACAGTTCAATACGTCATTCGATGACCTGGTTTCCAAACACAAGCAGCTCAAGATGGAACGGGAGGTCCGAAGCATGGTGCAGACGGAGATCACGCGGTTGATTGAGCCGATGTATGGGCGATTCTGGGACCGGTACCATGAGGTGGATAAGGGAAAGGGAAAGCATGTCAAGTATGATAAGCAGACGTTGACTAGCATCTTGCAGAGTCTTGGGTGATGGGGAATGGGAGTTGAGTACTGTACCAGCAGATATGTGGGCTTAGGGTGATGAATGGCACACCAATTAACTTCAATACTTTGGACATGGTGTCTCTGACGGTGGTGTCCGATGGGAGGAGGCATCTCAACCCGTCGTCTCGTATCAATACATCCGTCCATCCAAGCCTAGATGTGTTCATCCATACCTTATCCATAGTAAAGCACCGTGGGGTGTATTCAATATTTCTACGCCAGGAGATTGGTGAGATATCGTGAACAGATTGATCCCCTGGGCTCGGGCACGTGAGCAAGCATGGGCACAGGCATCAGTTTAATAAGGTGTTGCTCCAGAATCCAAATGAGGAATAGCGTGCTGCCAAGCTGCAGACCCCTTTCGTTTGAGGCAAGCGTGAGTGCTCCAGTGACACTGACAGGAGAGAAAGGAAGGCACGGACAAGGAGACAGCAAGGGAGAGAGAGAACGTGCGACTTTCTATCGCGACTTCTGCGGTTCTGTCCAACTCCAACCTCTGCACCTCATCTCTCTCCCGGCAACAGCTCTGTCCTGAGTGCATATTTCCATATGTGCCGTAGCGGAGAGTGTGTTTAATATCGAGATCCCCTTTACCGACCCTATCCTACTCTTCTCTGGCACACTTCTGCCCTGTCTACCAAAAAAGGTGTGTTTGCCATTTGACCCCTTTCCCCAGACTTTCCGCCATTGCTGCTTGCTGTATCAACGCGCCATCATGGGATTGCTTGCATCTCGGATTGTAGCTGTTGCAAGCTCTGAGGATGCTTCAAATACCTCGGAATGCGAGATCTGTCATTTGTCGAGTGTATGGGCGACGTTGCGCGTGCTGGTGGGATGCATAGGCTAACAATTCATGATGCTCTCCTGCAGGCGCCCTCTCCATTCACATCAGCACTTGGTGTTGAATCAAAGACAATCACTTTACTCCGATAACACATCGTCCCAATGGGTAAGCGAACTTCCACCTTTCTCACTTTTACCAAACAATTCCATCGACCTCCACGTCGACCTCTACTTTCATCCTCATCCAAATCCATCACCGACCGATTCAATCACAACACTCCACAATGGCAGGTCCTGCATCTAAGGAACAATCCATCATGGAATGGAGGTCCTCGTTACCTCACCTCCATGATGAGGCGTCTGCTCAGGAGCCACCCCAAGGCCGGAGCCAGAGCTCCACCGCCAATATTTCCAGCCTTCGACTTCCATCCCCCTTTGGCTCAGCATCTCATGTCATCCGCCAACTTCGCTCTGATGTCGATCTGATTGGTGAACCTCTAGATCCTCAAGCTAACATTGAGTCCTCTCCTCCAGCGGCAAACGGTATTTCTCCCTCCCACCTCGCCCCAAAGCTTGGTTTCTTCCCTACATCACTAGGTTCTAACTTCGAAATAGCTCAACCCTATGTTGAGCGTAGTAACCCCATGCCCAATGGCTCGGGCTCCGCTCCTCAGACCGTCACGTCGAAGGACCCCAAGGCCGCTGCCCTGGCCGCCAGCGATCTGAGGAATATTGTCCGGCGGAAGTTGACTGGCTACGTTGGCTTTGCCAACCTGCCGAATCAATGGCATCGGAAGAGTGTCCGGAAAGGGTTCAATTTCAACGTTATGGTTGTCGGTATGTGATCCGTGAATCATTGTTCCCTCAGCTCGTATATTGATGAACTTTTACTACAGGCGAGTCTGGTCTCGGAAAATCCACCCTCGTGAATACCCTGTTCAACACGTCGCTTTACCCGCCGAGGGATCGCAAGCCACCGTCCCTAGACATCATCCCCAAAACCGTCTCCATTCAATCCATTTCCGCAGACATCGAGGAGAACGGTGTCCGCCTCCGGCTGACGGTTGTCGACACTCCCGGCTTCGGTGACTTTGTCAACAATGAAGATTCGTGGCGCCCGATCGTTGAGAATATCGAGCAGCGTTATGATGCCTATCTTGACGCCGAGAACAAGGTGAACCGGATGAACATCGTGGACAACCGCGTCCATGCCTGTGTCTACTTCATCGAGCCTACTGGCCACAGCTTGAAGCCCCTTGATGTCGAGGTGATGCGTAGGCTGCACACCAAGGTCAATTTGATCCCGGTCGTTGCTAAGGCTGATACCCTGACCGACGACGAGATCAGCGCCTTCAAGGCACGGGTGAGTAATCCCTTGAAGCAGATTCATACGAGTACACGTTGCTGATGGTTGCAATCCGCAGATCCTTGCTGATATCGAGTACCACCACATCCAAATCTTCGAAGGTCCCCGCTACGAGCTTGACGATGATGAGACCATTGCCGAAAACAACGAAATCATGGCCAAGGTTCCCTTCGCTGTCGTAGGTGCCAACCAAGAAGTCAGTACTCCTGATGGCCGAAAGGTCCGCGGTCGCCGCTACCCATGGGGTGTCATCGAAGTCGACAACGAGGAACACTGTGACTTCGTCAAGCTGCGACAGATGCTCATCCGCACTCATATGGAGGAGTTGAAGGAGCACACCAACAACTTCATGTACGAGAATTACCGGTCCGACAAGCTCACCGCCATGGGTGTGGCGCAAGACCCGTCCGTGTTCAAGGAGATCAACCCCGCGGTCAAGCAAGAGGAGGAGCGCAGCCTGCACGAGCAGAAGCTCCAGAAGATGGAATTGGAAATGAAGATGGTCTTCCAGCAGAAGGTGTCGGAGAAGGAGAGCAAGTTGAAGCAATCCGAGGAGGAATTGTATGCTCGACACAAGGAGATGAAGGAGCAGCTGGAGCGACAGAGACAGGAACTGGAGGAGAAGAAGTCTCGAATCGAGTCCGGCAGACCGCTAGAGGAGAAGGGCAAGAGGAAGGGCTTCTCTCTGCGTTAGACTTGATTTGGAGTATGATGCGGAGTGGGACATGGAGAAATGGTGGAAGACGGCTTTGTCTGGAGTCTGGCGACAAGTGGCTCAAGGGGAGCGCATCCTTCTCAAGTTGCATCGATGACTTGGTCGTCGATTCCTCTGTAAGAAAGGAAAACGGCGCCCAACATGTCCTTGGCATCTGCTGGAAGGACGAAAGACGCTCGGTTTCGGAAAAAACACTGGTCTTATTCATTTCGTGTCCTCTTTTGATCTCTTCACTCCCTTGCGGTCCTCCCTACCCCTCTACCCCGTTCCGCATCTACCCCCGTTCTCGTCGGCTCGCTTCTCTGTTCTCGTGTTTCAGCGTCGGTCGTTTTCAAAATATCAGTGGCGTGGTCGCGATACCAAGGATTGACGAGCAACCACCTTCAAAAGACATACCATTCAATCCACCTCCATGGTCCTGTGGGGTTTGTTGGCCTGCCTCATAACCGAAGCGTGATACCTGGCCTTGTTGTTCCCTTTCTTTTTTTCCTTTGTTCACAATTGAGGACGCTAGCGGTGAGAATGGAAGATAGTCTTGATAGCCTTTTAATAATGTACGCAAGAAATACCTCGTCCTGTGTGCTGAGCCAGTATCATGCTACGATTCAGAACTTAGATTGCTTGACCAGGCAACCCATCCAGTGTATATCCATCCATTCATCCTCCATTACTTTACAACCCACGGGGGCAAGGAGCCCTTTTACAACATGACCTTTGGACGCCCAAGATATGCCAGGATGTCGGGAGCACATACTCATGTCGCGCGTCGACCGATGGTATATCCTTCAAAGGGGGGCGAGAATTCCCCGAATAGTTCCTTATTAGACATTGCCGAGAACCAGTTCCCGAACGAAAATTCGCATTATCAAGCCGTGTGGCTCGATCGGACCCTCCTTCACTGCCTGTGACACGATAGCCTGATCCCCGAACGTCGAGGCGTTGAAGCCCTTCCCCTGAAATGGTGCGACTCGATATGCATGTTTCGCTCTATTTTCGGACCATGAGCGGACTCACAAATTATATTGGACTAAGTTCCCGTCCAGCTATCGATATCTGATCTTCGTCTTCGCTACACAGCAGATTATTTCCGCATTTTAGTAATCTTGCCCATTGAATCGAATCGCATCACAGCAATCGGAAAGTCAACCTATCGTGACGTTATTCACGTCTCCGCTATTAGGGGGCCGTCCCAATGGAACCCAGTGGGAGTATCAGACCACATCGGGGGTTCGGTGACCTTAAATTCCTCAGATCCGGACATGCCGTGATATGTTGACGATTGAAACCACACCTTTGTGTTCTTTGGAACCGAGAACTAAAAACCCGCACTTAGCTCAAGGCGACGGAACAGGAATCCGCACTTCTCAATTCTCATGGAGTCATGACCCTTCCGCATCCTCCGGCTGGGTGGACTTGATTATTCACTTTATTGGTACTGCTAAGAGCCGAGAGGCGTTCCTAAATCCTAATTCTCGTCTAGCCGTCTCCGATCGATCCCATTCTACCGGGGAATCTCGATACGGTGAGACTAGACGGTTGGCCCCGCAATGTCCGATGAGTGGACATATTTTTATGTACATAGACAATTGTCGATAGGTGATTCGCGTAGCAAATAGCAAATCGAGACAGGACAAGTTTCATCTGAGCATGCCGTCAACGCAAATGAATGAGCTATGAACGTGACGACTTCTCTGACGGTGCTGCCTTCGACTTTGGCCAAGCCAGATCAGAGCGTGGTGGGATATAGTTACATAGTGTGTCGTTCGGTCCACCGTTTTGTGCCAGCCGGGAGTTGAGGAATGCTTTGGATTTTGGTACACCCTCAGGAAGTATCTATTTAGTATTTGCCATCCCTAACCCCTTAAACGGTTAGGCGGTGCGGATGGTGCCCGTAACTAAGATCAATATGCTGTCCGATATGCCGGCTCCCTCCTAAGTCGAATCCGCAGTCTCATTCGTCATCGGACTCCTCCTATTAGTTACCTAATACCTTGGGGTTTTTTCCTCGACCACTTCGAAGCTCGAAACTAAACCATGTTGCTTCGAACCTGGGATGCCCTGTCGGTTACTCGGTTGTTATGAGAATATGTCAATTTGTCCTGGAGGTGTGGACGTCTTTATGCTGATCGGAGACTTGGTCTACCATACAATTTGTTCAGATCTGCGGTTCCGCACCAGAATCGTTCCCTGAGTATGACTATGGAGGGCGGGTAGACGGCTGTGATTTGCGGACAGCTATTCACTTCCCGCCCATGGTTCCCCAGTGTTTGTTCCAAACTTCCGCGGTCAGGACAGGATGATTACCTCTGCTCAGCGTTGGCATCGATTCTCAGTGGGGAATTGAAATTCTGGGTTGGACATGGAGATGAATCGACGGCAGCCTCGTCAGTCGTCAGCCGCAGTGGGCATTTGTGGCCTGTGTGCTGTGGGCTGCGCCATGTGCACTTGTGTAGACTGTACATAGTAGAGCTGCTGAAAGCTGTGGCCCTGGACAGCAGCCTGATGGAGAAGATCGGGGCATCGGACAAGGGATTTCGACATGGGGATGTGAACGAGGCGCTTTGGTGCCCAAGCTCTGACCTGATCCTCTCCACAAATTGGCATGGAATCGTGGAAATGATGGAATCGTGGAAGTCCGCGGTGTGAACTGACTCTACTTGCTGCAGTCTGCAATGCGTGGCACTTTCAGGGTCGTAGGGCTCGTCGCTAAGGGGCTAACAGAAGGCGCAGCTCCGGCAGAGGATGAGAGGAGGCGCTAGAGAATCCGAACTCAGACGTTCTAGCGTGAGGGGAGGGAGGGGACAATGGAATATTCTGCAGGAGTAGAGTTATGTGAGATCTGATCTGGATTGTGCAAGTCCCCACGATTGTTCTGACATAAAAGGACTAGACCTGCCACCTACATAGTACTCTGTAATTAGGTACTACTTCCTAACAAGAAACTTCATACCGTTCGGTTAAGGTGAACATATGAAACATCTCACTTCTCAGTGTCTCATTTCTCCGCGGTTGGGCACCATTATTCCTCCTCCTTTGTTGCTGAGGGATGCTTCGAGTGGATTGTTGTGTTGGAATGCCTTGACTAAACACTCCCCTCCTGAGTCTCATCTGAACCAAACGTCACTGTAGGAATGCACCTTCATAACAGAGGAGACTTGGTATTTCATAGTGCATTGTACGGTTTCGGTCGCGGCCAATTGGTCTCCAAGCAACCTACCTACCTATTATATGCACAATAATGGCCTCAAATTTCCTCCTCCCGCCATCAGCCAATGCAGGCCTTTCCCGCAAGGGATCCGTTACTTCGATGAACGATGAAGAGCTCGATTCCTACTTCGCGGCCTACGCTCCGCTCTCGAACCTCCCGACGCCCCCTCTCTCCGACGAAAGCAGCGACGAGGCTTCCTTAACGGTGTCGACGAACGACGGAGCCGTCACACCCTCTACACCGCTTTCGATATACGATCTTGAAGATCGGCCGCCCTCCCTCCATCTTCCATCCACACACATCGCGAACCTGGTCCCCAACACCTCGATCCACCGTCCCTATGTGCCGAGCATCCACCGTCTACTTGGTCGCTCCGGCTTGTCCCTATCCACCATCGCACTCGCCGCGTCTATCCTCGATGATCTGAGCTCCCATTTCGCCCGTTCGTATCGCGCGGCGTTCACGAATGTTTCGACGCCGTTGGAACAGCTGCCGCTCCGACGACCGTTATCCGCTTCGTCCAAGGAGACGGTGCCGGCGCACTTTATGGTCGGGTCGTCGGTGGTGGACGTGGAGATGAAGGGCGCGGATGCATGTCCACTGCGACTGCCTCCGGCTATGGCTACGAGCTCATGGACATCGGCAAGACGGTCATCCCAATGCTGGACGCAGCCGACCGACGTTCCCCGGCCGGAACTTGTGGCCATCGCTGCGTTGATGCTGGCAGTGCAGTTCTCGTCCGACACTCCGCCGTCCGCCGAGCGATGGTCGCGGTGGAGCGATGGCCAGTTCGATGCGAGGCAAATCAACCGGTGTGGAGGGCTGATCCTCCGAGATGTCAAGTACGGGTTGCTCGGTCTGGTGGACGGGGCGGAGAGGTGGATCGCCCTGTGGTAGAGGATACAGGGAGGATATACGAGGGGTCACTCGGGAGCCATGAAGGCTGACTGAGGGAAGATTCTCTGCGCCTTCCTCTCGTATGACGAATCTAAAGAATTGGCGCCGAGGGAGGCATGGAACCCGTTCGTTTGGGTAGCTGAGGCATCTGGGCGGTGTTTGGGAAGGCTTGGAGTTCGACTACGATACCACTGATGAATTCGGAGTTTTGATGGTTAGCACAAGTAATGGTCAGGAGGATTTCGTACCCTGAATTTCGTACCCTGAATTTCGTGCCCTGAGTTTTGTACCCTGTATTCTGGTGGCTAGATGATTTTAGTTCCATACCACGCAACACATAATTATGTCTACGGCATGCCGGGAATCGCTGTTGTGTATTACTGCAACGTACTGGTATTAGGTATGCACTTCCTTTGCGCTCTTATCTTGGTGTGCAATTGTGGATGTAGTGGAGGTAGGCATGGTGAGGATGGGAATTGGATGCCTCAGGTCAATAATGAATCAAAACCAGGCACCAAGGCATAAAGGCACCAAGGCAGTAATGTGTCGTCATGGGCTTGATGCTGCACGTGTTTGTGCCTCTTGGTGGTCACTGCTCCAAAGCTGCGGCTGCTGCTCTGATTTCCCACACACCTCATCGGCATCACTCACTTCACCTTATGTCGCTGAATTGTCCACCTCATCCGTTCCAGCTGTGTCTTCCATCCCGTTAATATTGCGTTGGTAAGTCTCTATACATCCCTTCTTCTTCCAAATCTACCTAGTTGTCTTTCTCCATTCAGTCATGGGGTGCAGTTGGCTGTCATCTGCTCCGCACAGCTGGCTGCCAGCCACCCGCGTGATAATGGACAAGTGTTCGATAGCAATTGTGCTGCCTATCTTGCCCAACACACGCTTGAAGTGGGATCGGTCTTATTCTCCTCTTGATAAAATCCTTCTTATTGCTTCAATAAACTACCTGTATGCTCGTTCTCTGTTAACGTTAATCCCCGTCTTAGGCAAACTGCGGAGTCCGATATCTACTACTGAATCTATCAAGAGCTTAAGACACTAGCAAGTGTGAAGCTGTGACGTAAAGTCAGTTACAGGTATGTATATTCGTCACTATCCTTTTGTATACCGTCTTTTGGACCTGCTCCCATATATTATCCACAACCTTTTTTCGGGCACAGCTGACATCTACATCAGCCATGGCACCATCCAGCCCAAACGAGCCTCTTCAGGCCCGTATCTTGAACCTCGCCCAGAGCCTCCAGTTTGGCTGGTTCGTTGGACATGCTATCCTTCTCCTGAGTGTCCTCCGATACGGATTTTCGTACCTTACCTTCAACTCCGCCTCCCGATGGGCACGATTCAGCTACCGCACCGCTTTCCTGAGCGCAGTTGCAACATACGTGATTGTGGTGTACAAGTCAGCAAAAGCAAAGGCGAAGCGAGAGGCGCAAAACAAGGGGTCGATCCAGCCCCTCTCTTTCGCATTCGATGAGAATGTGCATTATCTAGGTATGGGATGCCCAACCCCTTTGAGGCCCCACTTGGCCGGTCTCAGCTGCAGTTTTGTATTCATTCAGCTAACTCTCCTACTCCTCAGTCTGGGCCGTCGTGCTACTCTTCACTCGCCAGGTCCCCCTTGCCCTGCTCCCCTTCGCGATCTACTCCACCTTCCACGTCGCAACGTACACGCGCTCGCAACTCCTCCCAGTTGTGTTCCCTAGCAAAGCGCCCACACCGGCGGCCTCGGGTGCAGCGCCGCGTTCCGAGCCTCCGGGATACAGCGCCCTCGGAAATTTCATCAAGGCCTACTACGATCCCTCCATGGCGACCGTGGCCTTGCTCGAGATCGCCCTCATCTTCCGTCTCGCCTTCTCCGCACTCCTGTTCGTGCGGCTCTCCTGGGTGACCTTGATCGTCTACCTCCTGTTCTTCCGAATGCGCTACTCCCAGAGCCAATACATTCGCGAGGGGTTGGCCCACATCGGCGCCCGAGTCGACGCGCTGGTTGCGAACCAAGGCACCCCGCCCGTCGCGAGGCAGGTGTGGGAACAGACACGAGGAGTCTTAGCCAAGGTCGTGGACGTCACGGATGTTCGGCGATATGTATCCGGGCCACAGGCGCCGAAGAAAGAGAAATGAGCGGAGCAATAGCCAGGCGTGGAGTCGAGAGTTGTGGAAGTTCGGTGACGAGGGAGCGCAATCTTTGCAATTACTCCGACTGGCCAATTGCCGCCAAAGCCTCAAACCATGCCTCGACTCTCATCTGGACCGTCTGGCGTGGTCTCTGTGACCAGGCAGTAGAATTGCAAGGGTGGAGACCAAAGGAATCATTGGAGGTTTGGTCGTGGGATCCGCCACTCTACCGATGCGGAAGCTCATGTCTGTTTTGTTCGTGCCATGTTGATGTGTTTCCTATGAAGGCATCCCTATCTTGCAGCACTCGGTCGGGTCGGTAGCACGATCGGCCGTGCTACGGTTGATCATTGGAGCATATACACCGCTGACGCGCTTTATAATGTCCGAGTCTGGAGTTCGCATGGTAGATCGGCTAACAATGGATATTTTGTTTCATGTATCGTTCAGCCTCCGTGTGATGGACAGTGTTCCCAGTGGTCGAGTTGCCTCAACATGCTTGTGCGGGATAATAGTTTTGCTGTACTTAATGACTAGGTGTATCTATCATGCATAATGCTACGCTACACGACATCGAACCCAAACGCCCCAGAATGTGCCATTAACGTTGCCGATACACCCCGTAAGCATCGGCCTCCAAAAGACCCAAGCTACCGCTCAGTCTTGACCTGCATCCGCAGCCTGAGATCTCTCACCAGCGTCTATCGGCTCAGTCTGAGAACCGGTACTGCCATGCCCTCTTGCAGAAAGCCCTTCACTGCCAGCGCCATCATCCCTCCCCGTAGCGACCGCCGCGTCGCCCCCTCGTCCCCTCCCATCCCCCAAATCCCACAGCGGCCGTTGATCCTCGATGACCTGCGGCTCCGCTCCATCCACCGGGCCCGGCGCCCCTCCTTGCTGCTGCATCCTCCCCTCCCCCTCCCGCACGCCCTGATCTGGCGCCTGTCCTTCCACGGCTGCTGCCGCTGCCGCCATCGCCACCTCCGCCTCCACCACCTCCGCTCCCTGTCTGGCCTGCTCCTCTTCCCGCCGCTGCCGTTCGCGGATCACGCGCTCGCCGAAGCCGGGGTACAGGCTGGCGACGAAGAGCGCCACCCCGCGCTCGACGGTACGCACGCGCTCGCGGGCCTCGTGGAGGAAGCGGTTGAGAGGCGTGTCGTCATGGATGCGGTTCGCGAGCTGGGCAGGGTTAGGGGGGGTTCTCTGCTGCCCACGCGCCGGACGGTGTAGGCCCTGCGCGGATCCGTTGGTGTCGACACCGGCACCGGCTCCCTCTTGACCCGGCTGCTGCTGCTCGTCGCCGAACACCAGCGCATCCCAATACCGTCGAACGCGCTGCGCGGAATCGCCGAGGAAGCCACCGAGATAGGCGAGATAGACCAGGGTGATGAACCCGACCAGGACCATGATGCGGTCGAAGCCGCGCGAAAAGGGGGACGCGCTGCCATTGAAGAGGTACCAGAGGCCAATCAATCGGACAGCGAGCCAGAGGTGGCCCATGGCGGGAAGAAGCAGGTTACGGAGCTCACCCGCGTTATCGTCCGCGTTCGGTACGCCGTTGGGTAGGGCATGGGGCTGGATATTGGGTTGGGCATTTTGTGCGTTTGCGACGGGGATAGGGGCAACAGGAGGAGCTTCGGCATTGGCGGGTTGCGGGTGAGGTTGGCGTGATGAGGGCTGGTGTGGGTGTTGATGTAGATGATGATGGTGGGGGTAGTGACCAGGGTGTTGGTGGGTCGGATGTTGAGATACCGTGTGTTGGTCGAAACGGGGTTGGAGTTGACGTGAGGAGGATGGCTGAGGGTCGACGGATGTGCGGAAACGTTGGGCGGCATTGCTTGCAGAGGTATCATGTCGCTCCAGTGGACTCTGACTGTTCAGTAGAGTTGACCAGATATTTGGCGAGAGGTTGTCGCTTGAATAGGTCCCACTTGGCCCGACAAGCAAGGCATGTGGTCCTGATGGGGAGGAGAGCAGGTACACTTGCGTAGAGGCTTGATTCTGGATCCTTGGCTGAGCTCGATTCGACGGCTGAGCAAATACGGGCGGACCCTGAGGGAGAGTATAAGTCATCGGATGAGCGACGTGTGGCGGATTTGAAGGGCCTGGGTATACCGAAGTAATTCTGCTTTCCATAGTAACGGTATACCGTGCATTAGCAGGTCGATTGGTGAAGGACCCGGGCTGCATTTGCGACTGCTGCTGCTGCTGCTGCTGCTGCTGTTGGTTTTGGGCATTTGCCCTTGCAGCCAGGTTAGGGTCTGAATGTGAGGCGTTCAGTCTGCCTCTCGTCCCAGGAATGCCATGCTGATTGCCGTCCTCCGCAGCAAAGTCAGGGGATCCCGCGGGCATTCTTTGCTGGGTATGCGCATGTGGTTGTAATAGAATGTTCGAATTCGGATGCGGGGAGGGAGTCGGCGCTTCCGCTCCGTGGATGTGTGGAGGCAGTCCATGTGGATGTAACTGAGGGGGGAAGGCAGCTTGCATTGCAGGATGGAGATGGCCTTGGGCCATCGCCACGGCTTGCTGGTGAAGGCCGAGTGGGCTCGGAACGGGCATAAAACCGAAGCTTGGGATGCCTTGCGCGTAATTAGGCTGCTGAGCTGGAATTGCCCCGGCGTTTGTAGCGGGGGTAGTGCCCAGAGCGACAGAGGAACTCGGATTCGCGCCAACGGGGTGACTTGTCGGTATTCCGCGGGGTTGCTCGAGTCGTGAATCAGTCTGGTATGGTTGAAGAGGGCTTCGCATGGCGCCTGGAGGCGCTGTCGAAGAACGAGGAGGGCCAGACGTTTGTAAGTCTTTAAGCACCAGATGGAGACTGATATATTCGGAGTTCTTGATATGCTCTGCCCCGAATATGGACGCCAAATCCTCCGACTCATTGGCCATGACTCTTCCTTTATGGATCAGGCGTTGCCTTGAGGGTTCGGGCTTCGATGCAACGGCATTCTTGACCCTCAACTTCAATTCCGCTACTGTTGTCGAAATCGGAACTTTAAGGGTGAGCGGCCCAGGCAGCTCGGAGGAAGGGGATAGAATGCGAAGTTCGAGATCATTCCCTCGGTCTTCGTTCTCGTGATCGTCGGCCATGTTGAATAAGTTTAGGCGGACCCGCCACCGAATCTGAAAGATGTCAGAACCGCACTATCATAATCAAAGTTTCGAAGACGGCATATCACGTACCGGCTGGCGGCCAACTTCAACGAATTGCGGTTGCGCGTCTTAGTGTTCCCCAAGAGACGTTTCGGGGGTTTAATCAGCTGAATGAGAAATACTGGCTTTGAAATCGTAGGGGGATTTGAGCATGCTGGTTCAACCCCGCCGTAATTCTTTCCGTCTGCCGTCAGTATTCTGGCCTTGCATTGCTGGCTGTTGTCTCCGGAAGCTTTATCATCAGTCCATTTGAAACGTTGCCTCACAGCGAGATGAGTGATGAACTGGAGCTTTGTTTGCGGTGCATGGTGGTCGTAGTCGTCCGCCGGAGTCTCCTTGCGCTTCTCACCAGAAAAAGTTCAGTCCGTGACGAAGTCAAGCCGCAAGCCGCAAGCTGCGTCATATCAGACCCGTATTAGACGGCCGATCAATCAATGAATCCAACAGACAGGACGGGGAAACTCCAGGTTCTTTATCACTTCACCCTTCTTTTGTTCCTATCGTGAGTCCATCGACGATATGTAATGCTCAATATCTATCATGTCCAAACGATTGTCCCTGAAGGTCGAGCTCCAGCTTGGCCGCCGTTTCTGGCATCAGCCTCCTCCTGCATCCAGGAGAGGCTTCTGCAACTCTCCCCGTTGTCTTTCACAAAAGCAAGATTCCGAGGGGAAGCAATCCTTCCGTGCTAGGTTAGGGACTGCCCTACGCAATACGAAAATCGAATGGAAACCCATCCCCATTGCGCTGGGGATTGCCTTCCTCGGCGGAGTGCAGTTCTACCATGTGCAAAGACGAGAGCGAGAACGAGTGAAGGAACTCCAGGAGGAGCTAGAAGATCAAGAGATGGATGGCCTTGGTCGGCCAAGGGACCGGAGACGTATAAGACCAAGTGAACCTTGGTAAATTCATTCGGTTCAGCTCCGTCATGAAGTACTTACAAGTGTACAGGCAAGTTCAAGTAATGACCACGCTACCTCTAAAAGCATTTTCTCGATTATGGGGATGGTTTAATTCCTTAGATATACCTTACTATCTGCGAGTCCCCGGTTTCAAACTTTACTCCTACCTGTTCAACGTCAAACTCGATGAAGTGGCCGAACCCGATCTCCATACATATCCCAACCTTGCCGCCTTCTTCTATCGCGAACTTAAACAGGGGGCTCGACCATCGGATCCCGATCCAAACGCTATACTTTCTCCCGCGGACGGGAAAATCGTCCAATATGGTTTGATAGAGGGCGGTGAAGTCGAGCAGGTCAAAGGCGTCACCTACAGTTTGGATGCGTTGCTGGGGACTAAGACTCCCAGCACATCGGGTACCACGACACCACAACCATCGCGATCGGATAGCCTGGGTTCACGGACGAACGATGGACAGACGGAGGAAGACAACGTTCGAGCCGATGAAGAATTTGCCCAGGTCAACGGTATACATTACACTCTGAAAGACGTGCTTTCAGGATCGGCCAATAAGGACAAGAAGCTGGACGTGGAGACTCCTGATCAGTCCACGACTCCTGTCGCTTCTTCCGAAGCAGAGGTTCGAGCCGATCTCGCTCTTGCGGAGGCCTCGACCTCCTGGTGGGCCCCGACGACGGAGAAGACCGCCACGGCGCTCCACTACTGCGTGATATATCTTGCGCCGGGAGACTATCACCGTTTTCATTCACCGGTTGCTTGGGTTGTGGAAAGGAGACGTCATTTTGCAGGAGAGCTCTTCAGCGTTCATCCCTATCTCGTGAAGACGCTACCGGGCCTGTTCACTCTCAACGAGCGAGTGGTTCTCTTAGGCAGATGGCGATGGGGCTTCTTTTCCTACACGCCGGTTGGAGCGACAAATGTGGGGTCAATCAAAATCAACTTCGATAAAGAGCTACGGACCAACTCGCTCATCACCGACACTGCAGCAGATGCCGCAGCAGAGGAGTCGTGGCAGCGTGGTGAACAGTTCTCGGGATTTGTTGAAGCAACATACGAGGGTGCGAGCAAGGTTCTCGGAGGTCATGCTTTGAAGCGAGGAGAAGAGATGGGCGGATTCCAGCTTGGAAGTACAATCGTCATGGTATTCGAGGCACCCAAAGGAGCCCGGCCGAGCTTTGACGAAGGATATAAAGGAGGCGAACGGAAAGGAGGATATAAATGGAGTATAGAGAAAGGCCAGACAGTGAAGGTTGGACAGGCTCTTGGTCATGTAGTTGAAGAGTAAAGTGAGAACATCGAAGTCTCCCATATCATCAAATCTCAGGTCATGTGACTTCGCGTCGTGTTCCAGTCTTGGCGCGTACTGCATGTCCATGATGTCTCAACCTCCTGTTCCATTTTCAACACCACAGACGAACTCTATATCGGATTGGTCTTGGGAAGCATTTCTCGCTTCATTCAATGGCCTCCGCATTCAATAAACCTTTCAAACCGCCACTTTTGAAACATAGGGCCCTAGATGATGGTGCTGGAAATGACCAACACGTCGCAAAGAGGCGACGCGTCGAGCCCGATTCGACAAAGATCAAGGAAGAGAAAGTCACGAAGGCATCCGTTTCCTTCACAGCTTACCGAAGGCCTCTTTTGGCGGTCACCAGCCAACCAAACGCAGCGAGTTCCTTACAACCCACTCCTCAGCAAGAGGCAGAAAATTATTACCAGGTCCTGTGGAGGAAGTTTACAACCAAGAAGCACAAGACATGGGATGGAGATGGAGTACTCGTCGTCAGCAGAGGATATGCGTACCTTTACGACGAGTCGGGGAAAGAGCTGGGCAAGTCGGCCTGCTCCAAGCCGCTATTTTCAGGCTCAGCGTTGTCGATTGGTGGCAAAGAGATCGAAGTCGACTCCATGATGACGAAGGAGAATTACCTGTCCGGACGCCAATACCTTGCCTCGAGACCAGCGGTAGAGATCGCTCCCGTACGCAAAGCTCGCAAGGAAAAAGTAGAAAACCTCCCAATTTCCACGAACGCTCAAGATTTCTTGCCGAATGCAGCGTCGAGGAAGCCTCTCCCAAAGACGAAATTCAAAAATCCAGCAGCGAAATCCTCCACATCGTCCGAGCCGAGTCGAGCTCTCCCAGCGCCGGTTCCTCGTCACGATCCAACTCTACCAGGGGCCCTTGTCATGAAGAGGCCAACGAGCGTTCCAAAGGGGAAGCAGGTGGTCGATGTTGTCGTCGATCCGTTCATTTGCAAGCATCTAAGAGATCATCAACGGGAAGGAGTCAAGTTCTTGTACGAATGTGTCATGGGCCTAAGACCTTTTGATGGCCAAGGGGCGATTCTTGCCGATGAGATGGGCTTAGGGAAGACGCTTCAGACCATCGCGCTACTCTGGACATTGTTGAAGCAGAACCCGATCGATGGATCTCCTCCAGTCATCAAGAAAGCGCTGATCGTCTGCCCCGTCACTTTGATCAACAACTGGAGAAAGGAGTTTCGCAAATGGCTTGGAAATGAACGGATCGGCGTGTTCGTTGCCGACGAAAAACACACGAGATTGACCGACTTCACTATGGGAAAGAGTTATAGCATCATGATTGTGGGCTATGAGAAGCTTCGAACAATCGCTGAAGACCTTCAGAAAGGAGTCGGAGTCGACATTGTGATCGCAGATGAGGGTCATCGACTCAAGACGGCGCAGAACAAATCCGCAATCGCGATTCGATCTCTCAACACGGACCGCCGTGTCATTCTATCGGGGACTCCAATACAGAACGATTTGAGTGAATTCTTCGTCATGGTGGATTTTATCAACCCTGGGCTTTTGGGCAAGTATTCGACATTCAAGAGAGAATTCGAGAATCCAATCATCAAGGCCAGACAGCCAGAATGTTCATCCAAAGAGTCTGAAAAGGGCGACGCGAGAAGCGAGGAACTCTCTTCCCTTACTAACCTATTCATCTTGCGTCGCACGGCGGAGATCTTAGCCAAATATCTTCCTCCTAAAACCGAACACATCCTCTTCTGCCAACCAACAAAAGCGCAGACCGCCGTCTACCGAAGCGTTCTCTCCTCACCACTGTTCTCTTCTGTTCTTAGCTCATCGGAGAATGCCTTCCAGCTCATCACTATCCTCAAGAAGGTCTGCAATTCGCCATCGCTACTCAGTCTTAAAGCGGATGACGAGCGTCCAACTGGTCTAGTCGGAGAACTGTTGACACAGATCCCAAACGCTCTCCTAAAAACTCCCGGGGCAAGTGGAAAACTTCAGGTTCTGGATAATCTACTGCACCAGCTGTGGACGAACACGGATGATAAGGTCGTCGTCGTATCCAACTATACCACGACGCTCGACATACTTGGGAATCTTATGGCCTCCCTTTCTTACCCTTTTCTCCGTCTTGATGGATCCACGCCTCCACCAAAGCGACAAGGTCTGGTTGACAAATTCAATCGCACCGATCAGAAATCCGGCTTCGTATTTCTCCTCTCTGCAAAAGCTGGGGGCGTGGGTCTCAACCTGATTGGGGCGAACCGGCTCGTCCTCTTCGATATCGACTGGAATCCAAGTACCGACTTGCAGGCGATGGCTCGAATTCACCGTGACGGACAGAAAAAGGCCTGTCATATCTACCGACTGCTCACGATGGGCGCTTTGGACGAGAAAATCTACCAGAGACAGGTTACAAAGCTCGGCCTCGCAGATAGCGTCATGGACAAGAAGGAAACCGCAACAACCTTCACTCGGGATGAGTTACGAGCCCTCTTCACACTTGACGAAAGTGGCACCTGTCGTACCCATCAACTGCTTGAGTGCGGCTGCGAAGGGCGAGGAAGCACGGTTGCGGCAGATCTGGATGGTCTGAGCGCCGAGATGCCTATAAATCTCGAATCTGACGATGACGATGATGACGAGCTTCCGGATCTCCCGTCCCTTATCAAGGCGTCACAGCTGAATGTCGAAGCGCAGGAACTGAGGATCAAGGAATCATCCAAAAGGCACCATGCGGAAAAGTCACGGATGAAGACGCTGAATCAGTACTTGCATTTTGACCCTTGTACTCTGGATTCTTCTGATCCCCCTGATCTCACGACGGTGTTCGAGGACGATGTCTTGGTGCGCTTGCTGGAAGAGCCTGGCTCGAGGATTAAGTACATTTTCTCCAAAACATCGTCATGAGTGTATAGATGGATAGTCGCATGATGGTCATGACCAGTGCTTGATACATAGAATGCCTAATGAATCATGCATGTATGCATAGATTTAGATTCGTTAATAAATCCACGCCTAGCGCGTGATAGGCGTGTCAATCCGTACTTACGAGACTGTAATCTAGTCTGCAGCTAAGCTTCTTCTCCACTGGAATCCCCGGCAAAGCCAACCGGGTCCAGCTTCGTCTCTTCCATCTCCTCCCGCTCATCAACTTGCTCTTGAATGTTCACCATTATCCGTAACTCCTTTTCCTCAAGCACACCGTAAACCCTTTTCAGCTCCCTGAAAGTGAGATGGTCTACCAATTCCGTGAATGCCAGCATCATAAAGTCTTTGGACCACGGCAGATGCGTCACGCCGCGAAAGAAGACTTTCTTCGCGCGTTCAAAGTCCGCCAGTTCCATTTCATACTGCACGTAAGACCTCCAGAGCGCAAACGAATGCTTTCCGGCGTCGTTTCTCAGGGCGTTTTCGAACGCCGATCGAATGGCATGTTTGGTGCCGCCCAGCTCCACCCCTCGATTCATTTCGGTCCAGATAGCGAAGACGCTGCGAATGAAAGCGTGTTCTTCGTCGCCGCTCTCATCCGTTTTCAGCAAGGCTCGCACCCGTTGGTCCATCCGAAATTTGCTTTCATTGGCGGCGAAGAGCGTGAGAAAGTCGGTGTTCGAAGGGAACAGGTTGACGCTGGTCAGGATCGCGTCCCGCAATGCGCTCGGTTTGAATGTTTTGACGAATATAGCATGGCTTGCTAGAAGCTGGGCACGGGCCTGGTGCAATAGCTCGTTTGCCATTAAATGCTTTGTGAGCGGCGCACTTTTGGTAATTGAGTGTGAGAACGATAAATCAGCAGACTGAAAGTCGCGATCATACCGCAGATACTCCAGAATTGCAAGGCACTCCCCATACAGAGCAACGAGGTACTCATCGCCTAATGAAGTGGCATGGTCTATGCCATCTGCCAGCATCCGTCTGACACGAAGTACCGCTGCTGGGGTGAAGACATTGCCACTGGCCTCGCCAGGGCCGGTCGTGCTGACTTCCGATGAACCAAACGTCATCAATCGTGTTGCTGCTTTCTTCACATCTCCTAGTCTCAGGGCCTCCCATACCCAAGTGCGTAAGAGAAGGATCTTTGGCTCTTGATCAGATTGGTCAAGCTTTAATGCCAGGTCCAGAGCGGCCATGAATATCCTATCCGACTCTTCCGTCTTCCCGCTTCGAGATTCCATCAGAGCGATGGCGTTGTACAGGCGAAGGTTTGAAGGGTGCTTCTTAAGGAGACGTTTCGCGGTCTTCATGGCCGTTGAGGGCGAAAAATGCCACTCCAAGGCAACGAAGTATTCTTGGATGACGTGTTCCTTCCCCATCTCCTTTTCCGGCGCGAAGGAAATAAGCTCTAGAACGCGCCGAACCCAATCAATCAGGGGACCAGACTGATTCGCGTCGAACGCATCCGAGAAGAGATGTTCGGTTGTTAACATGCGACATTTCATTGGGAGTCGACTTAGTCTCTCGAGGTTATCTCGAAAGGAGCCAGACTCCGGGCTCTGCTTCGGTGGACAGAGGGTTTCAAATCTGAGAAACTGGTCCGCACGTTGTTTGGCATCTCCATGCCATTTGATGAGCCCAGATGGTAGGGGTGGGAGGCCACCGAATCCAAGCACGGCTGAAACGACTGCAATGGGCTCCACCTCACCCTGGAGGAAGTCCCAGTAATCGAGGACATCGTTAGTCATGATCATATGAAACGGGTCGTCTTCGCCGACATCGTCCGCTGCCCTTCCGGGTAGGAATAGGTGCTTCATGCGGCACGACTCAAGGACCCCGAATTGCTGAAAGCAAGAGTCCGCCGTAGGATGAAATTGGTCTTCGAAACGGACTGCTTCTGGGACGTCCATGGCGGTTCCTGAACTTAATCTAGACCCAGAAGGATGTGATGGAGACGAATAATGTCTCCACCCTCGTGCTCCCTGTTCCCCAATGCGGGAAACTTCACTTCCCCAAAACTCCTGGATATCATCGAGACTTCGGTTGAAGATACCGCAGTGGAACGTATGATACTCGAGAAGCGCCTGCCATATACCGATGGCTAGCTCGTGGTATCCAGAGTCTTTCATGAATCTCGTGAGTCGTATGAGGATTCTCAGTTTGTCCTCTTTGGTGGAATCGACAGCCTGAAGTGGCTTTCGGTATGCCTCCAAGCATTTCTCGTATGAGAAGATCGCAATGTTTGACTGTATGAAATCGATATATCTTATCCGTAAGTCGGGACTTTTCGGGTATCGGTCAATGTAGTCTTTCCACTTTACTGCCAGTTGCTTCGAGTCCCAGATATTTGAACCCTCACGGAGTAGACCTAGGACAAGCTTGACCTGGTCCGGCAGGCTCTGAACTACTTTGAGCGCTCTCTCGTAGATTGACAATCTGACATCCGCCAGACCCCGTCGCTCTGCACCGGACATCGCCCGTTTATCGGTTGTTGCTCCCATGCGTACCATGACCTCTTGGTGGGCGATCAGATCCAGCCAAGCTTGGAGGTCCGTGGGATCGGAAGTCGTCCGTTTCGAGAGCTCTGCTTGTTTTGATTTTGCGTCATTCAAGGCTTCGTCAACCTCTGGGCCACTGTCCTCGGCTTTGTCATCGGCTTCATCGCTGGATAAATCTCCATGTCCCTGGTCAAAGAGCGAGAAAGGTTGGATATGGGAACCACCTTTCCTTAGGGATTGCTTCCCTGGCTTCAGACCAACGAAGTCGGCATCATGGTCCTCCGCCTCCTTAGAGTCCTTTGGCAGGATACGACGAACACCTCGATCTGAATGTCTCTGAGTATGTAGTCGACTTTTACCCTCTCTTTTGGATGCAAACCGATCTTGAACGATCAGAGCTTTGTCATCCGAGACGTCTCGATCTATTCGATGAGACGCCTGTACACCAAGCACACCTCCATTGCCGGATCGCCGATATAGAGGGATGCTGTACCGTCCGAGCGAGCCATATATCAGGTTTTGGCGGTCACCTTTCCGATCGACAACATATAATTTCGATCCATCGGAGGAGAACACCACAGCATCCGCCTTCTCTTTTCCCAAACGATCCAGTGTCTGCCGGTCGTCTGCTTGTTTCCCACTCCTTCGGGAATTGCTCTTCTCTATTGTGGCTTTGCTGTCACGACCGAAACGGGTTCCCCGATTCTTTCGACAGCTTTCTTCTTCATCCGTTCGCTTTCGCTTTCGATCGGAGTTGGACTTTGAGAGTTGTGAACCGTCTCCTCGGCTTCGCTGTCAATGATCTCATTAGCCAAGTACTTCGACCTGTTGAATGGAGTTCAAAGCGGGGATGTAATACCTTTGGGGGGAGATCATGCTCATCTGCCATGGTCCTTGCATCTATGTTCTCCAGTCTGGTGGGAAACTCGAGGGATCATGGCGTTGAAGGAAATTGTACTCTCAATACTGGTACATTAGGTATGGGGGTCATTATGCACTCGTTCAAAGTCAGAATAGGCAACATGTGAATCGGCCAGCGCGTTGGTTGCTCTCTTCTTCGTTGATTCCCTTGCGATGTCTTAATGCGACAGAGGACCAAGAGGGAGAGTTCCAACCTTGTCGCCTTGTAGCCTTGCCCAACATCCTTGCAGCCTTACCAGTTCCAGTCCTCCGATTAGTGATATGATTGGCTGAGAGGATTAGCTCAGCACATCCCCAGTCCCCCACGCTGCGCAGTTGGCCCCGTTGCCCATGCAACCATCGGCCATCGTAATCCAAAACACCCGACTGTATCACACACGACTATCCACATCGGCATCACCAGCCCACTCCGCGACATCACCAAACCTTCCTTGGTTAAATCCTAGTTCAACATCCTCATATTCTTCTTCACCTATGATCTAGAACCACGCTCATTCTCATGACTGCCTTTGATCCTTGAGTATTCATCTCGTTGCTCTCTTGTCTGGTCTGGGGTTACGTCCTGCAGTTCCGCCCTACTTCCACCTCATAATGGTCCACCAACCATATCTCTATGGGCCGACCAACAGCAGCTTCGACCTCCCGTCAAAACCGTTCGACCCCAAAGCCGTGACAAGAGCGAGCTATGTGTCTGCTCCTCCCCCAAAACCGAAGCAAGATGGGCCGTTGATCAACTTCAACAAACATCCCGATAGCTACCTCATTCTCCCCTACGGCCAGACCAATGCGAAGACGATGGACCCGAGGACAAAATCTTTGGTCAAATACACACGATGGACACAGCTGTTCCTCCGCACCTTACAGATTTTTGCAGTTATTGGCATGCTGGTTCTTGTCATTTGTATCAAGAATACAAGTGTCGAAGAGTCGTGGATCCTCCGAGTGCCGGTATGAAACCCTTGGACAACCATCTTCCTATTGCACGGGAATACTACTAACTGTGAGTAAAGGTTGCGGTTGACGTCGTAGTAACTTTGTATGCGATCTATCACTTGTGTCGCGCCGCCAAAGACCGCACCCCTGGTAGCTCGGCGAGTTACCATTTCTTTGCCTTGGTCATGGATACGGGATTGATCCCATTCTACGTTTATATCATGATCGCCTCAAAGAATAACCTCGACAAAGATGAGAAGGACAAAACACGCTGGGAGACGCTCCTGTCTGGCACCATTACCGCAAAGGATGTCATGACTTATACATGGTATGCGGCTATAGTCAACGCCAGCATTCATGGTGCCTCCGATGTGCTTGATCTGATTCTTCTCCTTGTCTTCCGACGTATCACACGACTACCGCCAGACATGAATCCGCTCGAGGACAACCTTACCTCCAGGAAAAGCAAGCACAAATACAAGAACTCGGAGTTGACGGTGTCGTCAGCAACTATGTCGGAGAAGCGGGCCAGCAACATGTCCAGTGTCACGCTCGATGGCTCCCCCACACGTCGCCCGCACCCCTCCGCGCGTGACTCCTTGCTGTCGGAGGATTCCAAGGGCCTGGGTGTCTCATTCATGTCGACTCGACAGGGAGATTCAGAATCGATCAGATTTTCCGCTCACAACCCGCGTACATTGTCTCAGATAAACTTTCCTCCTAACGGAGTATACCAACCTAGATCATCCGTCCATGCATCTCACGCCGACCTGGCATCTAACCGTGGCTCTTACATGAAGGAGACGCATAGCAACCCACCTTCACGACCGCTCTCCTCGCTTTCGCCTTCAAAGCGAAACACTCTCGACTCCCGTTCCGACGCTCCATCTCCAGTGTCTAGCCTCTACAACGAGCCGAGTGGTAATAACTGGACCGTCCATGACTCCGAGACCCCCTACACCATGGCCAGCAGTCCCTCCGGCTACAAATCCCGACCGAAGTCGTGGATCCCTTCATCTCGCGAAAAGAGCTATGCGCCGTTGTCCAATCACGCCCGACATCAATCCGTCGACAACGACGACCCCGTGGATGATGTTCCTCATCCTCGGTCTACTCAACTCGACCACACCAACCCGCTCGAACCAGACTTCAACGCACATTGGCTGATGCCGCAACCGCTTCGCATGAACCCACCAACCCCGCCATCGAAGAACTTCCGACGATATGGTACACCCGATGGCGACGTTTCCGAAGGCGACGCTGGTCGTGGATACGGTATCTCGCCGAGCCCCACTCGCGGAGACTACAGCCGCATCGACGAGGGCCGGGGAAGCCCGAGCCCCACGAGACTGGGCGGCACGCCGAAGCGGAAGTACTACGGAGACTTGGCGTCCGCGACCAAGGCGGTCCGGGGCGGCCAGGCGGAGAGACGGATGGACGGAGGCGGACGGGTGGTGAGTCGCAGCGGCGTGGACGATGGAGATATCGGAACGGCGGGGTATACGTACGGACACGGGAGCGACGGGTACGCCAGCGTGGGCGGCAGCCGGAGGAGGGAAGTGAGCGGGAAGGTGGCAGAGGAGGGGAGGGGAGGGATCCTTGGATGGCAGACGGGTCTGGGGGGGTTGGTGATGAGGAAGACCAGTACGGGGAACTGAGTTGGATACAGCCGGACGGGTGTCCTTTCAGCCAGTTTACGATGAAATGGGCGCAGAGCTGATGAGAAACGGTGACATTTAGGCCTCGCTGTACCGTTGCATCCAAGTCCGCATCGAAGTACAGGATTGGATTGGTGTTTGTTTCAAAAACTGGTTCTCCCGGTGATACACGAGGACCATCACGGGTTTCTTGCAGAGGACGTTTAGGGAGTAACAGTTCGGCGTCTGACGGGGCATTTGGGGCGCCATTGTATACATAACAGCGGGTATCGATCAAACAATGAACATTCAAATCGAATATAGAGGATCTAAATGAGTAAATAGGCACTGTATACATGGAAACGGAAGAGGGGTACTCAATACCGTGTGTCAAAGTCAAGTCGGTGGCCCCCAACGCCGATATTGTCCCCCGAAATCCCTCCATGCCCCAAATTTGTTCCACGGGTGTATTACCCAACGCCAATTACACCAATCGTACCTCTATAACGCCCATATATGACTCCAGATCCCCGTTCCTCCACCGAACACCGTCGACTATCCACTACTGCACCGGCTAACGGACGGCCACCTCCCGCGGCTCCCCGTTCCCTGCTTCACTCCACCCATCGCTCTCCACATCCGTCCAGCTTCCCGGCGTGCTGATCCCCACATCGCTGAAGCTCATCTCGCTGCGCGCCTCCTCGCCCATGTCGCTCAAGCCGCCCATGTCGCTCATCCGGTCAGCGTTTGCCTCCCCCGCGTCAGACGGGGGGACGGACGACAATATGCCGATGTCATCCGCATTGCTCGCCACGACCGACATCTCTGAGTTGAACCCATCTGACGTAGGTGTGAGCGCGCCGGTACCGGTGGGTGTGTTGCTGCGGCTGGGCGGGTCGATGGCAATGGCTATCGGAGCTGGGGTGGAGACAGCAGCGATGATGGAACGGCGGGAAGGACGCGGGATATCGGGGTCGTCGTAGAGGGAGTCGAATGAAGGAGTGGTGGAAAGGATGTCTGCGTTGTTTAGCTCCGCCTCTGCTTCCGCCTCAGGGACAGAACTGGTCAGATCGATCAATGGTGCTGGGGTGCCCCCGGCGAGGGTGGCGGTTTTTCCGTGACGTTGGCGTATATCACTCTCCGTCTGGCCTTGAGCGGAGCTAGACATAGACTCGGCATCGTACATGATGGCATGCTCGTCTCCGAACGGGTTGCTGAATGCCGAGCCTTGGAGGAATCCGCTGTTGCCTTGCCCGCGGTGGCGAAGAGTGTTGGATGTCGATAAAGCGGTGGAGCGGCCCATCTGGCTCATTTCTGGCTCAGGCGATGACGAGAGGAGGCTGCCGTCATGGGCGACGATGGAGTCGAAGCTCTTGGATCTGTCGGCACGGCTGGTGGATGTATGGTTTCCAGCGGCCTGGTTTCCAGCGGTCTGGTTTGCAGCAGTCTGACTGAGGTAGACGAGTTGCTCAACCGTTTGTTCCAGATTCCCGTCGTATGCAGCCAGCAGCGTCGAGTTCCGCTCCTCGTCCGTGAAGCCCATTTCTTTCAGCGAAGCCATCTTCTCGTCGATGTCTTTGATGTGCTCTTTGATCTTCTCCGTCCCAATCGCCGCCAGCTCGTCCAAGTCGACAGCGATGCCCTCCGCCTGAGCTCGGCGGATCAGCTCGGCGCGGTTCCGCCGTACGATCTCCTCTCTGCGCTGCTGCCGCGCCTCCTCCGACTCCTCTTCGCCTTCTGCCGTCCTCGAAGGCGGGTTGACCCCATCTCCGAGGCTGTATAGGGCGATGGCCACCTTTCGTCTCGACTCATCGACCCATTGGCGGAAGGTGGGGCTCTCGTACAGGGCGATGCCGGCGGCGAAGAGGACGGACGCCGCGATTATAATACCTAAAAGAAATCAGCTTTGTCTTTTCCATGTATGCTAGACGGCAGGCCTTTGACACGGTCACGGCAGGCTGCAGAACAGCTGCCTTCTGTCTCAGGACTGTAGGTGGCGACACGACATACGGTGAAACGCGGGGAAGTGGGCTGGTATGGGACCAAGTACTAACCTTTAGCTATCGGTGCAGGCATTCTGAATGATATGATTGTGGGTTAGGAGCTCTCGAAACCATATGAGAAGAGATTCAGGGAGATGCTGGAGGAATAGGAACAATAGGGAATGGAGGGGAGGGGAGGAAGCGGTAAAGTGGTGTGCCTGAGGATCGGGAGTGGTACGCAATCAACGGAAAAGGGAGCCGCTGGCATATCAGGCTGAGGTGGAAAGTTCGGCCGCTTACCAGACAAATACGAGATACATGTACGTATTATTACCGAATATCAACTTAGGTACTCCGGCGGTCTACACAGATTGTTATTGACTTCGCCACCTAACAAACACTGCAGAACCACCCTGATAGCAATCATTCCGGAATACCGGCTTAATCAGAAGAAGTTAACTAGCCTCCAGTCCTCTCAAGGCAGTGAGGCTGTAACCCCACAGCAGGAACCAATGAAATGTGACCTATCCACGTAACCAGTAGTGTGGCTGTGAAGTTCTCTTTTGCCACGCTACCCAAACTGACCAATTGCAACAGCCATCCAAACTCCTCTAACCCCTTTTGGAGTTATAGCTCCTGCCAACATACGGGAAGTGGTTTCCGAGATACAGTATCTAATACATCGATCATATAGTTACTCCTCATAGTAATGGTAATAAGATATTAGTACCTAGGCCTTCGATGGTATTGCGTAAGCAGGAAGGATGCCGTAACACTTCCCCCAGGGAACCCAACCTTGTTTGCTCAATCCAGTGAGCCCAACAATGGGAAGGGTAGCCGATTTATTCATCGTTAGAATGGCTGGAATAGGTAAGAGGATAGGCTAAATACGTAATAGTTACAGTGCTCATGTCTCCAGAATGGCCATTCCAAAACTCCGCGCTAATGTTTTCCATTACACTGGGCTGACTGCAATAGTCCCTTAACCAAGACCTACGCTGTGAACCATATCCACCAGCCCAACATCGTCCATCATACTCTCATCAAGTGCGTCAGGAACCATCAGTCGCGATTGTCCTTCCCTGGCTTCGAATTCGTTGCCAACCTCAATCGTGCTTGCTGGAGCGGTAACGAGCAATTTGATCGTTCGAGACTTCTTTCTCCGTGCCTCGGTCTCGACCAAATCCAGGAGTTCGCGAATGACCACCATGGTGTCGTTTAGTCGTTCAGGGGTTTCGTACATGTCGATCGCATCGATGAACAAGAATATTGTCCATGGTTTAGGGACCTTGGAGAGCAGAGTGATGAAGACCTGGACAAGGACGTCATGATCCCTCGACTCCAGCTTGCTCTTCAGGTCCCCTTCAACTAGTGGCTTCCCAAACGCTCCAGTATCCCATTTCATAAGCAGCTGGCCGATGAACTCGATCAGCAAATCTCGAATGTCTCGGAAGCAACCTGGTTCCTGGGCGTGCAGGCCGCAGAAATGGGTTACAAACACCGTTGGGCGGACGATCTCGAGAAGCTCCGCCATTTCAGCAATCAGGAGCGATAGCGATGACTGATGACAGACTCGATCGTCGCGCATATTACCTTCGATGAGGAGATACCCGGATCTCCGGTCTATAAGGAAGGATCGGAACATTTCTGATCTCTTGACCCACCCAAGTCTTTCCATGTCATCATCTTGAGTGACTTCGGAATTGTGCCGACAGAGTTTAATGTGTCTGTGACCAACTTCTGGATCGAATTCAGGGATATGCGCCAATTTGATGCGCTTCATGTTCTTCTCCTTTCCCATACTTCTTGATTTCTCGGGCTCCTGTACGTTCTCTTTCTCTCTTGAGGAATCAACCGCGTTTTCACAAAGTTGGCGATGGAACGCGCTGAGTACGACATTCCTCCTACTCTCTTCACTCAATTTTTCCGGATCTTGCAGCAACTGCATGGTTTGCATAGTAACTTGGGATGTCAGTCAAGAATAACAATGCTTTCGATGTCACTTACTTTGTATGAGATGCTCTTGTCTTTCGCTAATCTGTGCGATTCTCGAGTTCGTCAGATAGGAGATATCGTATGTCGCTCCGAGAAGCTTTCCACTGCAAGCTTCGATGGCATTCTTGAAACGCCCATGAGCCTTTCGCATGTCCTCAACATGATAGCTCAGGCGTCTCTCGTAGCTATCAATTTTGAAGGTAACCTGCATAAATTTCTTGCCGTGCGACTCCCCGAAATGAGAAACGATCTCGCACAAAACTCGCAGGATCTCAGCACAAAGGTTGGATGCCGTCTTCATCAGCAGGTCATCGTCCAATTGTCCATACAATTTAATCCAACGATCGATGCCCTCGAACAATTCGGGGATTTCAACCAGCGCATCGAAAATCTCCCGGCGGACTTCGTGCATCCTCCTTCCCATGCTCAGGACGACTTGGAAGGCGCCGGTGATAGGGGCTGCGTAGGACTCGTTTTGAGGAACGAGCTTGAGCCATTTCTCGAATGTCGAGGCATTTTTGCCTATCTTGTTGAGCCCTCGTCTTACAAATCCGCCCGTCCCTTGCATCCGCTCTTCCTCGTAGATGGACTGCAGCTCATCGATCTGATTGTGGACGTTTCTCCACGTGAACTTCTCTGTCCGAAGAGCAATCTGAGGGTTGGTTTTCTTCAATCGTCCTTGGGCTTTTGATATTCTCTTTTGCAGCTCTTGAGCTACCTCGTACGGTTCCTTCCATATCCCGTCACTAAACGCTCGTCAACGGCCATGGCGCAGACACCAGACGAGATGATTTACATCTTCTCCCGGAGAACTACCGCTTCCTGCGAAGTAACGAACATGCCTTGCTCTGGTACGAATACCGGCTGATCCATGCCTTTGGGTTGGGCGATATGCCGCGACATCCACTGCTCGGTGGTATCAGACAAGGTCCGTTTCGATAGCGTAAACCCCGGTTCTCGTGGAGGGTCGGTGGTGTCCATGGTGGTGAAGACAGACGGCATTCTCGAGATTTTATCTCACATTGTCGGGCGGATGCCGTCACTTCTTGATCTACAGCAATCGGGACGATTTGAAAGTTCGATTGAGGCTGAGGATGTCGGAGGTCGTCGGGAAACCTGCGAGTAGCACGATGTTGAGCAAGGCTAGATCCTCCGCTAATTATTAGAGCGTTTTTTGACCGCTCGGCACTACTACGACCGCAGTACATAGTCACCAGGGCACGACAGGGTCATAATTGGCCCCAGTTGACAAGGCTAACCTCCGACACCACCCCAACGCTCCGAAAAGACCAAAATCCAAGCCTTCAGCTGGAGATGCTGCACTCCAATCCGCTGCGTCGGGAACATTCCGACCATACCAGTGTACCAGCTTTGAGCTTTGAGGATTATCGCGGGTTTCTGCGCGCTGCCCCGACCCGGACGGGCTACATTGCCTCAACGCCGTCCCTCATCAATCGCCCTCGAAGCCTAAGATATCACCGGCAGGCGGCAGAATGTCGGAAATGGGTGCTGCAAGCCGTGCTCTACGGCTGAGACAACCTTTCATGCCACTACGGTTACTCGGAGTTTGAATGGTCCTCAAAATAATCGATGCCAGTCGGTGGGGCGAGCTCCAAGTTGTACCATTTTAGCAGCTTGGCCTCTGATATTGGAGGGAATCTAGGTGGAGGGGTCCGCGCCGCTCTGTTCGCCCCGAGGCGTGTGGCTACCCCAGCAATGAACAGGACACTGGACAATCAGAGCACACGGTCTCCCTCCAACCTGTTGATGAACACAGGCTTCCTGAATCCCGATATCTTTCCATTTCAGCCGCATTAGGCTTTTGGATTGGTAATTGGATCCCCCACCAACCTCCATCTCTCCCATCAATTTGCTTCCATCTTGTCGTGGTTACTGTTTGATATATCTCGTTCCTTTACCCTCTAGGCTCAAAGGCGTTCATTCTCCACAGGGTGTCTCATGCGATTAGGAGATCTTTTGGCTGCAATCTCAGAAACCTGTCAAGATGGCCGATGTCTTGGGCCCGGAGAAGGCTGAGGAGCCTCGTTCTCCTGTGGATGCCGTTACTCCAATTACGGCTGTGATCCCGCCGACGCCGACAACGTTGGAACAGAATGAACCGTTCGTCAGAGAAAGTACAGAGCCATACCATCCAGCCTCTCCCTATGACCCTCCATCCCCTGCCAAAACAGAAGATCCCATTGACGGTGAGGACCGTCCACCCAAACGAGCGGGAACAGGGAAGTCCAAGATAGTCGCACTTGATTCGGACGTCTCCGGCTCAGAAAGTGAGTCGGATGTCGAGCAAGCTTATCTAAGTGTCTATAAAGAGGACTCAACTACGAAACAGGAGCAGGTCATGAGACGAGCGGTAGCATCAGTACGATATGCCGCCAGGCTTGAAAGCCGCGTGTCAGCTTTGGAGAAAGAGCTACGCAATATCCGCGGCGAAGACAAACCGGTTTCTAAGCGCGCAAAGTCATTTCAGCCTCCAGTTCATGAAGTCGCTAGCCGCTACCTTGGTTGGGATGAGTTCAAGCCCAAACCGGCGCCCGTATTACCTAATGAGACGGGATTTCATAACTTTCGCCCAGATCCGACACCTGGATCGGTGCTTGAAATCCTGGTAGAAGAGCCCGGAAAGGTTAGAGCACAGACGAGCAAGCAGAATCCGAATGAACATGTGCAAATCTCGGACGAGCCAGAAGGGGCGGTGGAGATGGACTTTCATTCCCCGCCTCCTGGCTGGTTGAAATCTGGAAGGCCTCCTCCAAGATTAAGGATCCGCTCGAAACCTCTCTTGACCGTTTTGAAAAGTGTGACCAACAGTAACTGGGCCCTAAGGCATGGCAAATTGGTCTTTTTGCGTCCTTACAAGACCTTCGTGACAAACGAACAGAAAATACGGGAGGCTTTCCGCAATCTCGAAGCGAAATATGAACGGCCGAAGACCCCGATTGATAGGACTGATGTCTTCGAAGCAAAGTTCGATGGATCGCCGGCGGTGAAACGGACCAGTCCTGGAGGGCCGGAGACAAATGTCGTAGGAGATGACGATGACGAAACAATCGATTCCCAAACGGCATACGAGCACATGAAGCTCTTCATGCAGTTCATGGATCAAGATCTGAAAAGTATCTTGGATTTGCGCGGCCGAATTCAAGAAGGAAGTCTGGAGACGATTGCTTTCGATGATCTTTGGCATCTGTTCCAGATTGGACAAGAGGTTGTTGCTGCTGGACAAGAGCAAGGATCGCTGGCAATCTATCGAGTTCTCACCTATACTGGCGGTCGAGAACTTACATACAGCGTCGTTGATCCTCCTAAAAACCCTCCATCCAACTCCCTTGGTCCTGGTAATTGGTATGGGGCGTTCGCAGTTCAATGCTGGTCACTCACATTTGACGGCGAAGTCTACATTCCCCAGGGAAAGACATTTGGCATTCAGCGATATGAAGGGGAACGGAAAGTTACCGATCTTGCCGTGTATCCGTTGCATTTCGATTCCAAGCGGGCGGCGCTTCGCAATCAACTTGAGGGCCGAGGACGAGTTTTCATGGACGTTGCTAGCAAGAAGACGACCCATAGACGGTATGCCGGCCCAAATCTAGACGAAGATGCGCGTGGCGAGCAGATCAACTCCGAAGTCATCATTGACTTCAAAGAGGCCTTTGAGCAGAAAGAGGATTGGGAGCCGATCAAGTTGAACCCGGACTTGGACCTCATCGATCACGGTACGTGCCCTTTACCCTAATAACCTAATTAGCGCTAACAGCCCAAAGATAATCGAGAGTGGGCTGAAATGTACAGCGACAATCGGTTCTGCCGTTACGCCAACTGCTGCACGGGTGATCCAGTCGAGAACGACTTCTCCGTGGACCTGGCGAACGAGCGGAATTTTTTGCGACCGAACAAGCATTTGTTCGAACCGCGGAAGGAGATCGACGGCGATGAGGATGCTATTTTGCTTCCTGATCGTGTCTATGCTTATCTTTTGGTCACAAGGAAATGGGCGATTATTAGCACCTCGGAAAAGAACTTGCAAAGCCCAACCGCATACGACCCCTGGGATGACCTTGTCCTTCCTGCGGATCACAAAGAGACTGTGGAGGCCCTCGTCCGTCAACATTTGGCCCGCGAAGAAGCAGTCAATGGTGGCCGGGGCGCTGACAGCACGTTCGGTGATTTCATATCGTCCAAAGGAAGGGGTTTGGTTTTCCTATTGCACGGCCCCCCTGGGATAGGAAAGACGAGTACCGTGGAATGCATCACGGCGCGAGTCGGAAAACCACTATATTCTTTGACCTCCGGCAACCTGGGCACGTCTCCAGAGAAGGTGGAGGACAATCTGAGGTGGCATTTCAGCCTTGCTGACAAGTGGGGATGTGTTCTTCTGCTCGACGAAGCGGACGTCTTCTTGCAACGGCGGGTTGCGAACCAAATCAATATTAATGCCATCGTATCAGGTAAGGGGACCCAAAGCAACGCAAGGAGTTCTGCTGATCAGTCCAAACAGTTTTCCTTCGGCAGCTTGAGTACTACAATGTCAGTCCGCGTTTCCGTGGGTCCTAGGCCTACTTACTGACATTTTTTTGCCAGGGAATCTTGTTCTTGACTACAAATCGGGTTGGAGACATCGACGCAGGCTTCAAGTCCAGAATTCATGTGACTCTCGAGTACAAGCCGCTTGACCTTGATACCACTATGCAAATCTACCAAAATCGTCTGGATCGTGTAGTCAGGGGCTTTGAGGGTCGCAAGACGAAATCGGGTTCGAAACCCAAGGTTAAAACAAACGAGATCCTTGATTGGGCCGAGCAACATTATATTGCAAGTTCAGAGAAGCGACGGCAGTGGAACGGGAGGTCAGTTTTATCAATCCATGACTCTCCCTTTGCCCCCCGCTTTCGTCCCCTCCGCCCCCCAGACCTACAACATTTACATTCTCAGTGTGGAATATCTCGCTAATCCTTTCTACTCAGGCAAATTCAAAATGCATTCGAGACGGCAGTCGCTCTTGCAGAATGGGATAGTCGTTCAGACCAGTCACGTAATTTGAAAAACTCGAATGCCACCGAAGGCAAAGAAAAGCGACTTATCCTGCGAAAAAAGCATTTCGAGAAAGTTGCAAAGGTCGCTGAAGGCTTCGATCAATACATCACAGACCTCTTCGGTGGGAAAGATGAGTCTGCTCGAGCACGCACGAACCAGATCCGTATGGATTACCGTGACTCGAGGCCAAACCCCGGGATGACAATCGCCGGTGCATCTCACGGGCCGCGCAGCGGATATGGGAGACCACGACGGTTTGATGATGCCAGGGATGAAGATGATGAGGAGCCGGCAACGTTCAGTGGCGGCAGCGCTGCGAGACGGGAAGCACCCAGAGGTGGGCGGAGCAAGCCCCCCAGTTGGAGGGATAGCCGCCCAAAGGACGAGGATAGCGACACCACGAGCTCGGACGATGATTGATACAGTGTGCGAACTGTTGATGATTCCGATTTTGGCTTTCAATTCAAGATCTAGCGAGTTTAGCGGAGATTTTCCTCCCTCTATGGGTCTATCAATATTCTGTACGAAATTGGGCATGATCCACGGTGTTGTTGGATTGCCATTCACATTTTCCCCAGCCGCTATCCATATTTTGTATCCCATACTCTATACTATGCTAGTTCTATAATATCACGACTTAATTATATTTCTTACTTTCTACTGCGAAGCGAAAATATCCTTTTCAGCAACTGTTTGTCCACTGATCAAAATTACACCTTAAATGGAACTCCCATGATCCTTCACATGCTCTCTTCCGAAGTTATGCGCTCCCCACCCACTCTCCGCCATCCCGAGATATCCTGTGCCCTACTTCTTCTCCCATAACTCACTATTCTACAGTCATTGGCACGGTTGCACAGCTAGAGGGGACACTCCCTTTATTACTCCAGTGACGTCGAACGCCCTCTATACTTATTCGGCTGCAGCAACTATATGATCTCGGGACATATCACAAAGTATAAAACTTATAAAGCAAGGGAAGTATAATGTGGTGTTGTCTAACTACTATATGTGACAGATGCAACGAAACTAAGAACATAATAACTAACTCAAGGAGGCGGACTTTGTCATCAGTGGTGTCATTGGCGTATGGATATCCAGATACATGGATAAGACAGCACCCCTCAGCTGCTTTGTGGCCAACCTACAGTGTGGTCACTCCACCAGAATGCCCAAAACAGTGGAAAACAGATCGTATAGCTGTAGATTCCAGACAGTATCTCAACAACGATAATTTATCTAGATATATAATTGTAATTGTGAGCAAAGAGACATGAAATCTGCCTCTTGAAATTGTCGAGATGTTTCTTCCGCGTTAAAAGTGACCTTCCTTTGAACAGCTGTCAGTCCGCTTGTTTGGCCGCCTCCTAAGCCGCAACAATTTGATCAATTGAGACAAATCGCCCATTTTGATCAACTTGGACTCGTTTTCTTTTCTTAGTAGCTCCGCCTAGATCTTCCACTGTTTTTGAATGCCTCGCAACTTCGGATTTGAGCGCTGCTATTTCGGCATGCTTCTCCGAAGGTGACTTGGCCAGTTTCCCCTGAAACCCCCTGAAATCCTGCGCCGACATTCCGCCAAATTTTTGGATATAGATATCCTTGGGGCCTTTAGGCGTATTAATAATAATAATAAGAATCAATTTATCGTACTATCTGGATCCCTTTCGGGTCTATGAGCACGGCATTCTATCTGGTCTGCCGCGGGCAAAAGTTTCCCCGTAGCCCTGAGGCTGCGGGTATATAAAATCCCGCCTCCTCCCTTTAGTAGACTATCTCAAACATTTATCATCTATCCGTACGAGTTGGTGTTTCCGCCTACGCGGAGAGCTTATTCTGGCACGTCGTGGAGGAGCTGGAACGGTTTCCAGTCCTCTATTACCTCCTCCTCAACTTCCTTGGCCACCCGGTATTGCTCTAGGCCTCCCGCATTGATCAGCCACCTTGCTGCGTGGCGCACCTTGTCCCTGTCATGCAATATCCTCTTAAAGTCCGTTGTTCCAGCACGTTGGAGGAGCGCGATCCTCTGGTCGGTCCGCTGCGGGCAAAATGCAAGGAGGTGGTAGAGAGACTGTCGGGGGGCACCGCACTCACACGCTGGGTAGATTCCAGGGACACCAAGTTTCGCGAGCCATCCTTTAACTCCAACTACCTCAGTCCGTAGTGCCATGAGCGCCGAGGCCTCGTGTTTCTGAAGGCCGTCGTACCGGTTAAGGCACTGGGTTTCCCACGGGTCCTTCCATGTCCTTGCTCTCCTTCCTGTTCTGGCCGCTTCGGCTTGCCATCTCTCCCTCCATTTCGCTCGATACTCGTCCTGGATCATCCGGTACGGGCCTTTTCGCTGTTGTGTCTGATATCCTCTAATTGGTTCGGGCCGGGGGAACAGAAGTCTGTCATACTGGGTCCGAAGCGTACACATCGCGGGTTCAGGTTTAGACCGGATACGGCGGGGTCGGCCTCGAGTTCGTCTCGGGGGAGCAGAAGCAGCATCCCAGACTTGCGTCAGGGCTCCCTCAATCTGGGTAGTGACCTGGTGGGTGTTCGTCGATGCTGCTCTTTGGGCGGCCCGTTCTTGGACGTAGAGTTCGATTGGGGGAACGTCCGCCTCTCTCTCAAGTGCGGCGATTGGTGTCCGTTTGTAAGCCCCTAGGATCTTTCGTAGACACTTGTTCTGAACCTTGGCTAGGTCCTTCATTTTGCCTTCAGAGATTGGCTCACCCTGCTGACAGACTCCCCAAATAGGGGCGCCGTATGTCATAATGGGCCGTGCAACCGCTGTGTAGAGCAGCCTCGATTTCCGGACGGATGGTCCCCATACCGATGAAGTTACCCTCGCCAGGGAGTCGAAGGCCTTAAGTCCCCTCTGTATTGCCCGGAGGATATGGTCCTTCCATGAGAGGGACACGACATTATATTGTGTTTGTATACAATCGCAGGTTTCACCAGTCTGCCTATCCAGACTCCTGCCACAGTTTTCTGAGCTGTGCCATCTGCACTTAGCTTGTCCACAGTCGCCCCCGAACCAAAAGGGTCTCTGCCTGTGTAACGCCTGTTTGCTCCTTAAGCATACATCACCAGCGTTCCAGCCTAGCGACTGGTCCTGTCTCTCTGTATACCGACACGCGCATCCGTTCTCTCGAGCCACGTGGTAGTCTCTCCGGCCGGGTTTGATCCCGCCTGCTTTCAGATTCACCAAGGGTCAGAGCCCATTGACGGGACGAGGTCCTTGGAGCCAGCAGTGGCTACCACGCACTACGCCCCGCGACTACTGTAAACAGTAGCCGTTTCGCGTTGCCCATAGGGGTCTCCCTCTGATGGGCCGACCGTGTCTTGCAGGATAAGGCAGTACGCATGCGTTCCGCGCCGGGCAACGCAAGCAGCCTTATCCCACTAACCAAGCTCGTGTCCTCCATCATCTTAAGTTGGCCCGTGATTCTCCCATTGTATAGATCCACGCGACGGGTCTGTGTCTCCATCAAGCCTCCACCAGGAGCATACCTGTGTTTCTCCTCTATCGACTGGCCTGTAACTCCAGTTCGGTAAGCTGTCGTGCTTGTCGCGCCCGGTACGTAAGCTCGTGTCGTTATGGTATTAACAGGTTCCGATAGAGGGGCCTTAACAAGCGCTCCCGTTGCGAAGAGGCCCTCCGGCCTTAACAGAGTTCACCTAGGTTTATCCAAGTTAGCCTTAACAAGTTCTTTAGAATTAGGATTGTTCCAAACCCTCGCTACACGCAGCTCGTTGCTCACGCGTAACCCCAGAGTAGGCGAGCCTGAGGGTGTCCTGTTAGGGGCCTAGGACGCGTCCTCATCCACCTGATAATAAGTCAGGCTTCCGGATCCAGCTGCGAGCTGGATAGACCCCTATCGGATGGTTTTCATCTCCCATTTTTATCCCTCAAGAGGCCTCCCTTGATGAAAGGACACCGTGTCTAAGCGGAGGCAGTAAACACGGTCGTGCTGGTGTTGGTGGTATGGCGATACCACGCTCAACGCTTGCGACCTGCACGCGTAACGCGTGCGTCTCTTTCATCGCCACTGCACTTAGCCATCGATAGAGAACTCTTCCCCATCAATGTTTCCACCCGCGGCGACGTGGACGCGTGCAGTTGGCAGGACATTATATTGTGTTTGTATACAATAGCAGGTTTCACCAGTCTGCCTATCCAGACTCCTGCCACAGATTTCCGAGCAGTACCATCTGTACTATACTCTTCTACAGTCGCCCCCCGACCAAAATGGTCTCTGCCTGTGTAACGCCTGTTTGCAGGGAGATATAAGAGGATGACCCTATTGTCTTTACAGAGCGTCATAATATCAGTAGTAGCGTGGGAACCGTGCCCGTCACAAATTAGGAGACGCCAATCTGTCGAAATCAGTGGCTTCGATTCGGGGAGAAATTTGCGTCGAAGCCATTCAATGCCGATCTCATTCGAAGTCCATGCATTCTCAGAGCATGTATAGTGCCACTTAGGCCAATTTTGGCGTGGAAACCAAGTATTTTGCAAGCTTTTACCCTTAAAGATCACAAGGGGAGAAATCGAGTGGCCGCCAGCAGAAATAGCTTCGATGATAGACACCCACTCGCGATCATCAGGGGGTTTGACGTAGGTTTTCTTTCTATTTTTCTTTTGAATAGGGGCCAATATAGGCCTGGTCGTGCCACAACCAAGGGTGATTCCATGCTCGTCGAAATTCCATATATTTGACGCCTTGATGGAGTGGAAGTCAATGAGGCGGCGAAGAAGCCTAACTAATCCAAAATGATCTCTTTCGAGGGTGCACTTATGCGGGAGGCTTCGATAGAGTTTCCTACCATAGATTTGATACTATGATTTCGTCGAAGAAAGCCGTCGATCCAATTCTTTCCGCAGGGGGTCTCGTCTTCATTTTCTCGAGCAATTGTTCGAGCCATTTCGCACACTCTTTGATGCGAAGGAGCCCTCGCATATTGATCTTCTTCCGTAATCTATTGAACTAGGTATTGTTTCTATAAAAGGTGACAATTTTAGGAGCTTCTTAGCTGCATCGTGGTGGGATTCTCGGTCCTTTTGTAGACGGGCCTGAAGGGCAGAGTAGCCCACGCCGTATTCTTCCGCGCATTTACGAATAGAATGGCTTTCACTATTTCCATACGCTTGTATACCTTCTTGGATTTAGCGGAGGAATTTCAGAACAATAGACAGTGTGGTTGAATTGACTGAATTCATTAAATCTACTTCTTCTCTCTACGGATTGGTCCTGATGTGGTTACCACAATGTGGGTTGGCCACAAAGCAGGAGTGCTGTCTTAGACTAGTAGAGAATAGACCTGAGCGGAATTGCAGAATGGATGAAAAGTCGGCAACTATATTAGGAAAGTCTACTGCAGGAACAACGGTATACGTGTGATGAATTTTTGAGCAGTGATTGTGAAATTAGTTGATAGGAAATGGGCTCTGACTTCTGATGAGTTCTGAGTAATATATAACTACTAGTAAGAAAAGAGAAAGGCGTTTGCTTTTGATGAACATGACATTTCAGAATTTAGAGAGCGACATCATCCGGACTCCTAGAGCAGAAGAAACGGATGGCCGGAGGAGACCATTTCACTTCTTCGAATAATTGGTTCACGCATTGGAGATTTGAGAGAATAAGGTAGGTACTCCGTATCGGATGACTCATTACAATAGCATCTATATTCAACGGTGAGTGCTGGACTGCCCCGCGGAGGTGTTGGATGGATTGTACACACCTCCACGGTGCTTGCTAACCGGCGCTTGCAAAACCGGCGCTTGTCAACAGTCAATTGCCGTGAAGCTCATCCTAGACTTCATCTGCTCATCCTGCAGCAAGTGTCATCGTCGCGGAAACTAAAACGCACCACTACGACCAAAGAGGTAACCACCGACGCCCCCCCCACTACCACGGGACCCAAGTGAGTAGTAATATTACGGCCGCACTGGCACCCCGCTTGCCGCTGGATTTACAAATGCTTATCTCTTGCTCTTGTCCACTCCGGTGTCGCCAAGGGATTTGAATTGATATTTCATCTGTCAGTGATCTGTGAAACGGGAGATCAGACGGTGACGAAGGAACCAGCTCCTTGATATTCCCATCCGAAGTCCCTTGTGAAGTGTGGTCAACCAATTCAGTCATGGCAGCTACTTCACTTCTCATCCTCGGGGCAATGGCTTCCACAGCATTGGGAGAGACGGTGCTGGGCTCCGTCGTCTTCTCCAGACATGGAGATCGTTCTGCAAAGCACTACTCCGGATATCAGCTCACGGAATTGGGCTCCCAACAGTGCTTCCAGGTTGGCAGCAGCTATCGCGAGCGCTACCTTTCATCCGACTCCCCTCAACGCATCCTTGGGATCTCCGAAGATAGCTATGTCCCCTCACAAATCTGGGCCAGTGCTCCAGACCAAGCCGTCCTCTTGAATACGGCTACGGCGTTCTTGCAGGGCTTCTATCCGCCTCTTGCAGGGCTCAACCCTGAGCTGGCAAGCTCGACTTTGAACAATGGCTCGTTCTCGCAGAGACCGTTGGATGGGTACCAATACGTTACGCTACACGGCGAGGATGACCAGTCTCCCGACACCATTTGGATCAAGGGTGATGACGGATGTCTGGCGCAGAACGAAGCCAGTGACTCGTTCAAGGATAGCGCTGAGTTCCAGCAGCGTGTGGAATCCACCCGATCCTTCTACGCCGGGTTCTGGGATATCCTGGACAATGTGTATGATTACGAGAAAGCCAACCTGACATACGCTAAGGCATACGATATCTTCGATTTGATCAATGTCGCCGGGATCCACAACGCCTCGAGCGTGGGCAATGTCACCGACGAAGAACTCTTCCAACTCCGGACGCTTGCCGACAGTCACGAGTTCGGGCTCAATTTCAACGCCTCGCAACCAGAGCGATCCATCGGTGGACAGACCCTGTTGGGTGGAATCTTCAGCCAATTGAACCAAACGGTGTCGTCCAAGGGGAAGCTTAAGTTTTCATTGCTCGCAGGAAGTTACGACACGTTCTTGCAGACCTTCGGGTTGACCAACCTGATCGATGGCTTCTCCGACTTCTATGGCCTCCCGGAGTATGCTTCCACCATGGCCTTTGAGCTGTTCACACCCGAGGACTCCACGTCGTTCCCCTCCGACGCTGACGCCATCAACGTGCGATTCCTCTTCCGCAACGGTACGGCCGGCAGCTTGACGCAGTTCCCATTGTTCGGGCGCCCGGACGACTCGATGACCTGGTCCGAGTTCTCGAGCGAGATGCAAAAGCGGACGATCAGCAGCGTGTCTCAATGGTGCCAGCTGTGCAGCAGCACGGAATCGTTCTGCGGAAGCGCCGCGACGGCGGCCGGAACCGAAAGTGTGGGTAGCGGGAGCGGGAGCGGAATGTCGAACGCTGTAGCGGGCGTCATCGGTGCCTTCGTGACTCTGGGAGTCTTGTTGGTTGTCGGAGGGCTCGTGTTTGTCGTCTTCAGGCGTCGCGGTCGTGGATCGACTGGTTCAACTGGTCCAACTGGTCCAACTGGCATAGCGATGGAGAAAAGCAGTCAGCATTCTGTCAGCGAAAATCAGAGCGTTTGAGGCAGTTCATGGACCGCAGCTTCAACAGTGAGAAAGCCTGATGAGCAAATCATGGAGGATAAAAACCGAAGTAGCAGCAGCTTCAGACCAGGACAGGTTGAGAGAATGAGTCGTGTCCATGTCCGAGAACAAATACGGAATAGTGAGCACCAACTTTGACAGGCATATCAGATCCATCCAAACATGCAGCAAACAAATGTCTTGCATCATACCCTACTTATTATTCCTTACTGTCCTTATCGAAGTCACTCGACTCTCACATGTTCAAGATGGAACACCTCTTTACGATAATGACATTTCTACCCCACAGTTCTATGCATTCCACCATTGTGATCTAGATATAAGCGCACCCTCCTTTCCTGCTGTTGTCCCTTCCGGTTGACGTCAAATCGCTTCACCCAAGAATAAATACGTATGGCGGTATAACGGTATGACGGTGTTGCTAGATCGATTCTCCTCCCTGCCCTTAGTACATAGCTCTCCCGGTAACTATCGACCAATGATAGCGACTGTATTGTGTCAGCAGGCCATCCTTCGAAGTAGCCTTTGGGATCGATTAGGTTAGAAGGGGACGAGACAAGGCAATTCTGCTCATTTATGATTCCGGTCTGCAGTAGAGGGGCTTGGAGACATCCCACGCCGCCCTTTCCAGTGGTTGCTAAGAGTGTAGGCAGGGAGGCGAGTTACGGGATACAAATAAGACCCCTCATCTCCCTCGATCTTACGCCCTCCGACCTGATCCTCTTTACCAATCTTCCAAGTTTCCAACCACGACCGTGTTACTTTACAGTTCATCCAAACCAGAGTGGAAATCAAAGTCGATATCCTTACCTAAAGATATCCTCGCCTAAATCTACCATGGCTCACGAATCTCACTGCCCCAAGTGCGGAGCCCAATTTGAAGGCGAGAGCAAGAGCTGCAACGCTTGTGGCAGCGTAAGTGACCCTACTCCGTGGGATCAACTGGAGACTGATCTTCCATGATTCTCAGAGTTGCCCCGTCTAATCCACCTCTTCGATGCCTCAAGTCCTTGGAATTATGGAAACGATCAAGTGAATGGACGGACGCTCAGGTGGATGGCTCGTCATGGAAAGAAGAGGGATTTTAAAGTGACGCTTGATAATTCCCTTGAATCCAAGACAAAAGGAGCTTCACAAATACAAGTACATTTATACACTTGCCTGACAGCAAAAAATCGTTCCGTGAGGACCCTTTGTAAAGGTAGATCACTCTTTACTGGTCGCCTCGTATCGCTTCCCTCGGAATGCCCAGGTTCCCCAATTCCCCGCGCTGACATCCTGGGGATCCACGTCATTCAAATCCCACCGCAAGCTCCTGAACCGGTTCTCTCCCGGCTCCAACAGCATGTCCACTTCACCGCCCATTCGCTGCGTGAGCCACTCCCAGTCCCGTCGCATATCCCACTCGGTATAGCCCGTCGCGATCACCGGGACCTTGGTCTCCAGGAGCTGGGGGATCGTCTCTTCCCATTCGTGGGCCGACGCGGGATGTCCCAAGCCCGGGTGGAAGAGAACGAATGCGTCGAAGTACGGGTCGAACGGCCCAAATATACCGGCCTTGTGGAGGGTGTGGAAGTATTCAACATAGGTCGTGATGCGGAGATTCGGTGCGGGTCGGTCTTCGATGATGGCGCCGAACGGATTCGAGGCGGTGCGAGGAGGGAGAGGGAATTCGTCATCTCGGTTAAGCATGCTCTCGGGGCCGATGAAGATCAGGTGGAAAGAGGCTCGTGGGTAGAGGTGGGTGATCTGTGCCCAGACCTCCCTTGGTAGTGAGGACTCGGCACGAGCCCCGAGAATGAATAGCCGGATTGAAGGTGCGGTAGGACGGAGACCTTTGATATCTTGTCCAGAACCAGACTTGGGAGGGTGAAGCATGTATCGCAGAGCTAAAAGCTGTCAGCATGCCTCAAAATATGCGAGATTGTAGACAAACGTACCGCTAAAGCTCTTCAGTCCTTCTACCGTCAGCCGACCACCAGACCGAATTCCATACGGGCTCAGCTCGTGAAGAATGCTGCCAACCGTGATGGGGTATGTAAGCAACCGAGTGGCTTGCCGGAGGCTGCGCTCCTCGTTGATTGCCGAAAAATCCCTGGTATATAGGAACGTATCCCAATTCGTGAAGTTGATCAATGATTCATCCATTTGAGGACCCGGATACTCGAACTCTTGGAAGAACCTGCCCGACCGCAGATCGTGGTCATCCTCATTGATTTCCCTTAGTGTATCGCAAACCTGCAAGTGTTCCTCGTAGGCATCGGCGTAATGGTCTTCGCAGCAATAGACGGGAATCCCACAGTCCGGACACTCGTAACGAACATGTTCCGGCGGGACTCCTCCCGTCGCGGGTTTGAGGGCTTCGGAGTCATACGGTGATTCGGGAGCTCTTGTCTGGCGATGGGATGGGTGCGGACAATATGCATGCTGCTTGATGAAGGCTGCCCGCCGTCGTATATCGGCCGAGGGGGACGAGGAGAAGGGATGGAAGAGATTGTCGGGCTGGAGCACGACCTGGCTTTGCGCATCTGGTAGCGGGACGGAGGCGAGTCCAGGTGGACTGACGTATTGCGGAGGCTCGGCCGCGGACGTCTGAAGTCGTTTCTGATGATATTGCGAGCTCGGGAGGTGCTTCTGTCGGCTTTTGGTGGAGTGCTGCCGCGCCGTCTGCGTGGATACTGGAAGATGAGATCGAATGACACCCGCAGTCAGCGAGCGCGAGGTTTGACAGCGGATGGTGGAGCGAATGGATCGCAAACATGAGCTGCAGATGCTTGCTGAAGCCATTGTAAAAGGAAAAGTCGCAACTGCAACTACCAGTCGCTGTCGAATGACAATTCAATGGGCTTGAATAGACGTAGACGAAGCAAAATATCTCTGCTCACCTCGCTGGAAGCTTCAATTCGTTCGGAGTTCCAGAGCTTGCTATCAGTCACGTGCATATATAGTGCTCTGTGGCTTGAACAGCTGCGCCACAGTTTCCAGCTCAGATCACTTGGTCCAAGCTCCCCTCTCGATCTCAATTTTATATCGCAGCTTCATCCTCGTCTACTTTTCACTTGGTCAAACCACCATACAGCCAGCAATTACTTACACGAACCATTTCAGACCGTGCTCTACTCGGTATCATCCATGGGATCAGCATTTCAACGATTCCTGGGAGTAATACTGGCTGGGTGAGGCCCTCGACTCGTGCGGCGTACGCCGCGAATTCGACAAGATGGCGACGACTTCGTCCATGTTCATGTATGCTTTGACGATTCAGCCACCGACCTCGATAACGCAAGCGATGCTTGGGCAATTTTCTGGAACCAAGGAGCAGCAAATTCTCACAGCATGTGGCTCACGGCTGACGCTTTACCGCCCCGATTCCACACAGGGGAAGCTATATACGATTCTCGCACACGATGTCTTCGGCATTATTCGGTCTCTCTCAGCGTTTCGCTTAGCGGGAAGCAATAAGGGTAAGTCTCGAAATACCTCCTTTGAATATACCAGGCGCCATTTAGTGATTATTGGAAGCTTGCTGCAGCCGTTCCGACATGCGATGAAATGATGCATTCTGAACGCGCCTCGTTTAAGCATCCGTTCGATGTGTGGTGCAGATTACTTGTTCTAGAGAATGTTTTCGCTGACTCCTGTATAGACTACATTATCATCGCATCGGATTCGGGAAGAATCACCATCATCGAATATTTGCCCGCGAAGAATAAATTCCACCGAATACATCTCGAGACCTTCGGGAAGTCTGGAGTGCGGAGGGTTATTCCGGGACAGTACCTTGCCAGCGACCCGAAAGGCAGAGCCTGTATCATCGCCTCAGTGGAAAAGAACAAGCTCGTCTACGTTCTCAATCGCAATGCGCAAGCGGAGCTGACGATTTCCTCCCCACTGGAAGCACACAAACCACAAACGTTGGTGTTTGCTCTAATAGGCCTGGATGTCGGATATGACAATCCGGTCTTTGCTGCGCTGGAAATCGACTATTCCGATTCGGATCAAGACCCGACTGGTCAAGCTTTTGAAGATGTGGAAAAGCAACTGATCTACTATGAACTCGACCTTGGCCTCAATCATGTCGTCAGGAAGTGGGCGGACACAGTTGACCGGACGGCATCTATGCTTTTCCAAGTTCCTGGGGGTGCCGATGGACCTAGCGGAGTTTTGGTGTGCGGTGAGGAGAACATTACCTATAGACATTCTACCCAAGACGCCTTCCGGGTGGCGATTCCAAGGCGAAAAGCCATGACAGAAGACCCAGACAGAAAGCGATATATCACTGCCGGCGTAATGCATCGGATGAGGGGAGCATTCTTTTTCCTTCTTCAGACCGAAGACGGCGACCTTTTCAAGGTCACCATTGACATGGTCGAGGACGAGGAGGAGAATGCAACGGGCGAAGTCAGGGCCCTGAAAATCAAGTATTTCGACACGGTGCCCGTGGCCACCAATCTGCTCATCCTCAAGAGCGGGTTTCTGTTTGTCGCTTCGGAGAACGGCGACCACCACTTCTACCAGTTCGAAAAGTTGGGCGATGACGACAATGAGACGGAGTTTACGAGCGACCAATTTCCAGCGGACCCAATGGAATCATATCAGCCGGTATACTTCCATCCGCGATCCTACGAGAACGTGGCATTGGTCGAGAGCATCGATTCCATGAACCCCATTATGGAAAGCAAGGTTCTCAACTTAACTGACGAGGATGCTCCGCAAATCTATGCCGTATGCGGAACTGGCGCTCGTAGCTCCTTCAAAACCCTTCGGCATGGTCTCGAGGTCTCTGAGATCGTTGAGTCCGAACTCCCTTCCGTTCCATCCGCGGTATGGACGACGAAGATCAAGCGCTCCGATGAGTATGATTCGTATATCATATTATCATTCGCCAACGGGACCCTTGTCCTCTCCATTGGTGAGACCGTCGAAGAGGTGACGGACACCGGGTTTCTCTCGTCTGCGCCAACGCTTGCCGTCCAGCAGTTGGGCGAAGATGCCCTCATTCAAGTCCATCCCAAAGGAATCAGGCACATCCAGGCAGGCGGACGTGTCAACGAATGGCCTGCACCGCAGCATCGGTCCATCGTTGCCGCAACCACCAACGAGCGCCAGGTTGCAATCGCGCTGAGTTCCGGCGAGATCGTATACTTCGAAATGGATTCAGATGGATCGTTGGCGGAGTATGACGAAAAGCGAGAGATGAGTGGTACTGTCACTTGCCTTAGTCTCGGCGAGATCCCTGAGGGAAGAGTACGCAGCTCATTCTTGGCGGTTGGATGTGACGATTCTACCGTGCGGATTCTCAGCCTCGACCCCGATTCCACCCTGGAGAACAAGTCAGTGCAAGCCTTGACATCCGCACCGTCAGCCTTGCGGATCATGGCTATGCCGGATTCGTCATCCGGCGGGAAGACACTGTACTTGCACATTGGACTTTACTCCGGTGTTTACCTTCGAACGGTTCTGGATGATCTCACAGGCGATTTGTCCGATACTCGGACCCGTTTCTTAGGCCCCAAGCCAGTGAGGCTATTCACTGTCTCAGTCAAGGGCGAAGTAGCCGTGCTGGCATTAAGTAGTCGACCGTGGCTTGGATATGCGGACGCTGTGACGAAGGCGTTCACTCTTACTCCTCTCAACTATGTGCCTCTTGAGTGGGGTTGGAGCTTTTCGAGCGAACAGTGCGTCGAAGGCATGGTTGGGATCCAAGGGCAAAATTTACGGTACGCACCCCATTTTCATTCAAGTTTGTATTCAATGATGACACAAGGACATCCGACAACACATGACGAACATTAGTCTTTTTATTATCCAATTGTTCCTTCTGATGAATACCTTATCAAGCAAATTTTCACATATGGTGCTAAGCGCTGCTAACCATCTGCATAGGATATTCACGATCGAGAAACTCACGAACAACCTGCTGCAGGAATCCATACCTCTCACTTACACGCCGAGGAGTTTCCTCCGGCATCCTGAAGAACCGCTTTTCTATGTCATCGAATCGGACAGTAAAGTTCTTCCCCCAGCCGTCCAGCAGCAGCTTCAAGATAAGCCTGGCGTTGTCAATGGCGATTCGACTGTCCTCCCGCCCGAGCAATTCGGGCATCCTCATGGGACGCAGTACTGGTCATCTTGCATTCAGATCGTAGACCCTGTTACCGAAAAGGCGGTGGTTTTCTCACTACAACTCGAGGATAACGAAGCTGCCGTTTCCATGGCCACCGTCCCATTCACAAGTCAAGATGACGAGACGTTTCTCCTCGTTGGCACAGGGAAAGATATGGTCGTCAATCCGCGGTCAAGCACATGTGGCTTCATTCACGTCTACCGATTCCAAGATGGCGGCAAAACCCTAGAATTCATCCATAAGACCAAGATGGAACTACCACCCTTAGCTTTGCGTGCTTTCCAGGGCCGACTGCTAGCAGGCATTGGCACCGAACTTCGGGTCTATGACCTTGGGATGCGTCAGCTGCTCCGAAAGACACAAGCCAATGTGGTCCCCAATCTCCTAATTAGCCTTCAAACGCAGGGGTCGCGAATCATTTGCGGTGATGTCCAGGAGTCCGTGACATATGCTGTTTACAAATTCAGTGAAAATCGGATCATTCCATTTGCAGATGATGCGATGGCCCGATGGACGACAAGCACTGCCATGGTTGATTATGAAACGGTTGCTGGAGGCGATAAATTTGGCAACTTGTGGTTGGTGCGGTGTCCGCAAAAGGTGTCCGAAGAAGCCGATGAAGAGGGTGCTGCGCATCTTATTCATGAACGCTCATACCTGCAAGGAGCTCCGAACCGGTTAGAGCCTATGATCCATTACTATTGTCAGGACATTGTGACATCGATCCAGAAGACGAGCCTTGTTGCTGGTGGCCGTGATGTCCTCTTTTGGTCTGGACTCCAGGGTACGCTTGGGATGCTCGTCCCGTTCATGAGTCGCGAGGATGTGGATTTCTTCCAAAATCTGGAACATCACCTCCGAAATGATGATGCGCCGCTTGCAGGACGGGATCACTTGATTTTTAGGAGTTATTACGTCCCGGTGAAGGGCGTCATTGACGGGGATCTCTGCGAGCGGTTCCTGGTGTTGGATCGACCGGCCAAGGAAAAGATTGCTGGGGAGTTGGACCGAAGTGTGCGTGAGGTTGAGCGAAAGATTTCGGTAAGGTTTACCCACACAAAAAGCTTGACATAACACCTCGCTAACAACAGTAGGACATGCGAACTCGTGTAGCATACTAGTTTTCCTTGGTGTCGTCTATAAACCGGCGAAGCGAATCGTATGCCGCTCCATTGGTGCCTACCTAGTGGCCGATTCCCTTATGTTAAACATTGCGATCCTAGAAGGGATTAAGGAACGAGGGCTGATGGTGCTGGTTTGCCCTATCCTCGGCAGCCAGGTGCCGTGGCCGGGGATCGAAACATGGATGGGCGTATTCTGGGGTATGTGCCCTAAACTGGCCAAAGCTTATGGACAACATCAGCGGCGCCTTCAGAGTTCAGCACCTTCAGCATCAGGCGTATCACGCACGCCGAAATCGAAGCCATGATCAATGAATATCCAGGCAGGATCGACATACGGCTATGGCGCCAGTAAAATTAGGAGAAACAAGTAAGCTAAAGGCTAGTTCACTCCATGATCACTTGGCAAACCCTTCCATGATGCGCCACTCTGACGCTTTGAGACTTGGGGGGCAAGGGTCTGTTTTTGATCCGAGGCAACTGTTCTCCAACAATCTATTTGCGACAGTGGATTTGGAAGCCAGCAACTCTATTCCCAGTCCTTATGCCTCACTTCATCAACTTATAGGTAGCTATAAAGCTTTAATTAGCTTTATCAGATTAATTGCGAATAAAGAATGGGGTGAGGGCATCAGGTGCCTGTTCCTGAACACCCCAGACTATTTTTGCATGAGCGCTTCCTCCCACGTTGGACCTCTAGTCGGGAACAACGGTTTCACATTTACTGGACATCAAGTGAAAACGCGCAGTATTTGGTGGCCTACACCCAAAGATCCAAGCGTCTGGACTAGGCTCATTGGCTCTTAACTGCTAGATCGGCCGTATTTGGTTCATCATCGAAGTTACAACCTCATTTACCGATTCTACGCCCATCGCTAACCATCTGCGAGGCTTCCGACGCTCACAGACCCTTCAAATCCAAGCGGCACAACAGTTCTAGAGGCCACTCGCCCCTAGATGCGAGTGGCTGGGGATATCAGTACTCAGAGAGTATCTCTCACGGGAGTCCTTCATCGTATCTCGTAACCTCTGCAACCCCATAGCACCCATTCCTCCATCATGTACCCACGAAAACCACACCAGAAGACACGCACGGGATGCGTGACGTGCAAGCGACGAAGGATCAAGGTATGGAATGCGATCTCATGAAGCAGTACATGTCCTGCCTGCTTAAACCCATCGATATTGTCTTGCTCTGTAATCCACGATGTCATACTTTGCATCTGTTCCCTTTGACCTTGTCTTTGCTCATTATTGCTACTATCATCAACCTTTGTTCTTCTACTAATAGAACCAATTTAGTGCGATGAAACGAAACCATGCTGTTTAAATTGCACGAAAATGGGACTAGACTGTGCCTACCAGCCAGTCCCCCCTTCTTCAGCCGCTTCAAGAAGTCAATCACGAGCGTTGACAAGGCGGAGGCCGACACTGGACACATCCTCCTGTTCACCACCGCCGATTTTGGGTCCACAAGGTATTATGTTTGCCAAAGCATACGATGCATTTAGCCGGGACGATTTACATCTTTTCCACCACTTCTCACACTTCACCTCTCAAACCATCACCGACCAGATACCGCTGCAAAAGCTCTGGCAGTTCGAGATCCCGATTATCGCCCTGAAACACGACTTCCTTTTAAACGGGTTATTGGCGGTCTCGGCACTTCATATCGCTCATGTGAAGACGCAAAAGAACGATCTTTCTGGAAGAGACGAGCTGTACAAAGCTGCGGCCCATTGGCAAGGCCAGGCTCTTAGCCTCTACCGGGTGAACATGGAGTCTATCACAATCGCGAATTGCCATGCGCTATTCGCCTTCTCTCTCTTACTTATCTGTCAGGTCTTCGCTGTCCCAAGGAAGGAGGGTGGTATTTTCCATGCGAATACGCAGGCCGATCTAAGAAATAGGTCTCCGCTCACTCCTAGCTCCCCCGGGCAATCAGCCCAAACCCAGGGTACGTTCCAAACTTCGCCACAATTTGGACCAGATGCATCAGCACGAATACAACCATCGAGTCTCGTAGCGCAACCCGAATGGATTCGCCTTGTGCGTGGTGCCAGGCTTGTAATACATCCCGCGATCCCTTGGATCGCTCAAGGGCCTTTGAAGGACTTTTTATACGTGAATGCACGTACCTGGACCACAACCGCTCGACCAGAAACAGATAAGGCGATTGAATGGGACCGCCGGCTTAGCGAACTGGAAGATTTATGGCGACAAGAAGGAGAAACTCGTCGCCAACCAGAGCAGCTAACCATTGAGAATCGCTTGAGTCATTTGGTGGCAGTTCCGAAAACCGGGACCACATCATACGAGGGCACCGAAGCATTGTCTGACAGTTCCCCATTGTCAGTAACGGTCTCTGAACCCGACGGTTATGGGAATCATCACGAATCGCCGACCCTTGGCTCTGGGATCTTAAGACCGGTCGGGACGATATCCGTTGAGAACAGATTAGACCCTTCACGCGGAATCTCACCTTTTACGTGGATGATATCCCCCGAAAGACTGGTAGACCGAGAAGCGGAAATCCTGACCTACAATCGAGCGCTCATGGAGCTACGAATCACCTTCGCCCGCCTCAGTCACCCGGCCCCGAAAACCAAAGACCCCAAATTTGCTCCCAAAGTCCCGATCATGTCTGTCGTCTTCATGTGGTTGTTTTCATTACCAGAAGCGTACGTAGACTTGTTGGAGACGCAGCAAATGCCGGCACTTATTTTGATGGCACACTATGCGATGCTGCTCTATCGGCTTGACGAGGTTTGGATGTTCGAAGGTATTGGCAGAGATCTCGTGCTGTCAATATGTGAAATGGTTGAGCATGCCGATGGGGGAAAATGGAATAAATGGCTCGAGTGGCCGAAGGAGTGTATTGGCATGAAGTAGGAAGTGTCCGGGATTTGGTGGACTGGACAGATTTACGGTCTTTCAATTTAGGGGAACATGACGATCATGAACGAATATCTATGAATATCGAGACAGCAATGGGCGGGTTTGGGTCTATACGGTCTATATCATCCTTCACGGGTATGGTGTGGAGCCCTCTAGGGTTCTGTGGTGTCGATATTTTAGCTCAGGTTAAGCCGGTGAAAGGCCTTCCGCTCTATTGTCCGTCTATTATCCTTAGGCTTTCGGCTTGATGAACTCCCCCGCGTTACCATTCTTTGAAACCTCAGTGAAGTCGGGTCTGGGAAGCTCGATTCCTTCCGTAACCCTCGAATAACCGATTCCTCCCAGTCGACCCATCGGCCTCAAAATCGCCGGATCGATCATATTCTTGTCCTCATTGATGGCGTCCTGGCGCGCATGGAACCTGATACCTTCGACGATGGCTAGTACTCCGCTCTTCTTTCCAGGCATAGATCTACTTTCAAACTCCTTCGTCTCCACCAACTTCGCCTCAATGGAGAATATGGCTTCTTTGACCCGGGATGGTTTCACCTCGGAGCAAGGGGCAGGGTGTAAGCCGGCGACTCCCCATTCCGAGATGCCGTGTGGAGTGTTGATAGAAGTGAAGTTCGCGGCTTCGATGTAATGTTCCGAGATGATGTTGATGCAGCCTGAGTAGAGGTTATCAGCGGCACCGAGACTGACACAACCCAGGGAGGTAGCATACATTCTCCAGTATCGACTAAGTTGCGACAGCTGTCTTTAGCCCGATCGAAGCCTCCTGAAAATCCAAAAACGAACAGGGGCGGATCATGGTTGATGACATTGAAGAAACTAAACGGCGCCAGATTCGGACTTGTCCCTGATATGCTTTAGTCATCTTGTGAGGATCACTGCCAGAGGCTTTGTGAAGGATCAAATGAGATACTCAAGGCTACTCACCGTCTTTCGAGACCGTTGAGCAGAATCCAATGGGCCGTGGGACGATGGCACTGATCAAAAGTTTATAATTGAACACAGCTGGTCGTCCCGGCTCATAGGGGTCTATTTCGACATGTCCTTTCTTCAAGCCCTCCCCGCCATCATTGGCTCCTTGCCCAACCTTCCAGTCAGGATTTGGAGTTCGAGTGTACTTGAAGGTTGCTTCTGACCATAGCGGTCTTGACGACTCCACAGTCTTGAAGTCTGGATGTGGGTTTCTCTTCACCGTGGATTCCACATCGACTTTGTTTTCCTGGTTTTCATTGGTGCCACCCATATCTGACGGTGACGTGACGTATATTGACGGGGTCGGGTTGAGTAGCGTGGTTGGAATAGGAAGCTCGTGTTCCTTTGTTGGTACGGGTAGTCGCTGTAGAGATTCTGTTTTGCGGAACACCCAAGGGCAATATGTGCTGGACTGCTGTTAATTAGGCAGGCTGTCACTGGGAGAATACTATGAATGGTATCTGAGAAGTAAGGTCCTATTATCGACTTTACCGTATTCTGTGCCGAAAGGCCCGACGTGAGTCGATCCCCCGCCTCCGGAACAGTGCATGGGGATGTTAAATTTGTTGATGCGTAAGATTCGATCAACGCATTTGACCAACACCATTGCCCAATCAAAGTTCTTTGAAGCTTACTTTGGAGTTCGGTCCCTAAGTGATACCATAAGGCTCAACAAAGGAAGGGAAACGCGAAATTATGGTGTCAACACGAGTCGAAAGAAGAGTTTGAGAGGAATATCATATTTTCATTTTGATGTATTGGGCAACTTGCTCTTGGATCATAATATCTTCCAACTCCGAAGAATTGTTAGTCCCGAGAATGCCAGCTTGAAAGTTAAAAAGGCAGCAATGTGCGATCGCCCAGCCAAACTGGATACTGGTTAATGAATAGTGCAGCACTGCAATCCACGAAGCATCGATTAGAATGGATCGTCATCTCGTTGCATTAAAAGCAGTCTATGTACGAGGTAAAGTACGTAGTAGTTGAAACCGAGGAGATATCCTCTAATTAAAAGCAAGACCGCTAGGAATCAGAAATCGTGTGCGGAAGTGAAAGTCAACCCCCGAAAGGATATATGGACATAGCCGTCCCCCAATTTATGCGACAGAGAGGTAGTGCATCTCATCATACAAGAGCGAGTCAGCCCAGTCTGGAGTAACCAAAGAAATGAGATCAAATCAAACCGCTTTCAATCGGGCAAATAACATCATTCCGTCATTGGTAGCTACCCTTGGTCTGCATATAGGGATAACTGTTAGATTTCGAATGCTCGAACGCTGGACTTGCGTTCGCATATCCAGAGGCTCCGTTTGAAGTTCCGTAACCACTCCCAGCGTCCGTGCCAGTTTGCACATATCCTGCGTAGGCGTCTCCCGGTCCGCAGTGGGAATTTATATTGTATCCATTCGCGCTTGTTGTTGTAGTGTATCCCGTTGCGGGCAGGTATCCTGTCATTTGGCCCTGAGGAGATGGGGATGAGAATGATCTGGCGAAGTCATCGTTGCAGTCTAGGTCGAGGCCGGAGTCCAGGTCCATATCCATATCTAGGTAAGGGCCTTCCGAGGCGGTTGAATCGTAATAGCTAGGCATGCGGCAGGCTTCGAGGGGATGAGCGGACGATGGCCATGTGGGATTTGATGCAGCGTTTCCATAGTGTCTCGACTGCGAAGACAGAGTGCGTCCGGCCACGGGCTCGGCCCCCTGGTTCTGGTAGAAGGATGTCATCTGGCGCTGCATCGAAGCATCGAGTGGATTTGAGGAACTCCGAGAGGAGTGACTGCTAGCGTTGTGAGGGCCGGCAGTCCGCGGTTCGCAGACCATTCGGCGCGCCTTGCAACGCGAGCACGTGGGGATCTGTTGCCCGTCAGTCGATGCTTGATGACCCGGGCCATGTCCACTGACTAGTTTGTCGCATTTGGTTTTGGCGCGAGAGCATGCCGTGCATGCGATGGGCCGACTCGGTGAAGACATGTTTCGGGGTTAGAGCTGGCAGTCCGTAGCGGAGTATGGGCTGGTTGAAGGAGAGAGATCAATGAATAGCCTGAATCAAACTAGGAGGAGCTGGATTTAACACAATAAATAGGAGAATTAAGGCAAGTGCAAGGGTAATATATGATGATATCAAGCGGCATAGAGAAGGTTGGGATTCCAAGGAAAGTTGTTTTCCGGTCAGGTCATACAGTTAGCATTGCGGTTAAAACAAATACAATACAGTGACTACCAATTTGAGACCCCAGATATATCATCAGCGGCCAAAAGCGGCACCCCCGACAGACACCAGTGCGTGGTAGGAAATTGAGTAATGAAAGAAGCCGCGTGATGGGGCTCTCAGCCTTGGAATGGACCATGCACGCTTAAATGCGACCTTGCCCCCCTAAACCTGTGTGCTAATACGAGCCAGCCCATACCGTAAGAGGAACAACTCTGGTTAGGCGTCTAGCAAAAGGGTTCACCAACTGGCTCGCTGATGTGGGGTTACCGCCCCTCGGATCGTTAGTATCAGTATGATTCAACTAGATGTTGGGCATTGATGGGGCAAAGAGGAGCGTGTGATACGGGAGGAGAAACCCAACCAGCGAATGAACGGGGTCAGGCACCTGTGTAGAACCAATAGCGCGCACTACTGTGACTTTCAGACGAGAATAATGAATCGATTGAATGGCATGAAGAAGGCAATAACAACCATCTTAAGCATAGGAAAGTACGCCCACCTCGAAATAGCCGGGTATAGCCACCTTGATGGAGGTATGAGATAGGTAGATTCAATAATGCCAAGTTCGGCTAGACGTCCAATGCGGCAAGCTCTCAGCTGAGTGGACAACGTCTTCTTCCGGTATACTTCTAGAACTGTACCAGAACGGGTCACAAAGGCCATGTTTTTGGTCTCTGGTGGAGGCTGGAATTGGGCCGTGTGACCGATGAACATCATCACAACGCAAAGCGAACGAGTGAAGGGTGCGTTGGCCTCGAAATCGCTTGGATGAAAACGGCTTCAGCACCTGTGAAATGTCACGGCCAGAAAAAGGCTGATCGGCGGGAAATGCTGTTGCAGCACTTGCATGATGTGGGTGCCCGAGCTGGTGCAATGAAAGGGGAGGGTGCTGCGAGCTGTCACGGACAGGTTGTACAAATGCGACCATTCAAGGACACCAGCGACATTCCTCGCTCTTGCTGACGTGGGAATAGGTTCAGATGGTGTGGGTGTTCACGGTGACGATCCTGCAAAGCGGTCCACCTCCGATCTTTGTGAACCGCGAGGTATTAGAGGTATATTCCGTACTGGCGTGGAAAGAGACTCATAACAGAGCGCGTCGACTAGGCTAGTATTGTTTACTGGAGATTCGTTAGCATACAAGAAAGGAGAACCACGATGTCATCACGGTGTATCTAGGGCGTCATAGCATCTCTCACACCCATTTTATAAGGGATTCAATAGCGGCAAGTTAAGTATTGTTGTGCGCGTACAGAGTATTGATGTTGAATTGACAGAAATTGACAGAAATTGACAGAAATTGACAGGAATTGACAGGAATTGACAGGAATTGACAGGAATTGACAGGAATTGGTAGGAATTGACCGGAATTGACTCGAGGAGCGAGCTGAGGATCAGAGGATCTCAATGGCTGGAGCACGGCTCAGCACGCTCCACTCTCCAGCGCCACAGCACGTGCCCACCCACTCCCACCGAAGTCGCCGATTATTGATAAGTCTCATCGTCTGGTGCTACAAGTTTGTCACGAAGCCAGTAGGATATTGCTTCGAATTTAACTATTTCTCTTATTTCCTTAGACCAGCGGGTGTAATGGCTGAGTGCATATTTATTAGAAAGAGCTAGGGGTTCTAGGGGTTCCGTGTGCTGCCAACAGGGTCTTGTCCCCGTTCGCATGTCGAGAAACATGCGTCGAGTCTTCCATCCCACAATCCATCTCGGAGATGCCAAGGGATCGGGAGCCACAAGACCATCTGGAGTTAAGCTGTTGCTGCTAAACCAGCCGATCTATCGGCCAGATCTTCTCTTCCAACTTTGGGAGAACAGCCTAGCACGCGTCTGTGCTGATGGAGCCGCCAATCGATTGTTTGATGCCTTCGCTCCGGACCAGTCGGAGACGCGGAGGACATATGTGAGCCGCATTCTGTCCACTGTTGACCTCACTGACGCAACGAGCAGTTACCGGACGAGATTGTGGGCGACTTAGACTCCATTCGGGATGACGTCAAGTCTTACTACGCACGGGAGCAGGTTCAGGTCACTTTCGTTGACGACCAAGAAAGCACGGATTTTGGCAAGGCTATGCGATCATTGAAATCTAGCACTTATCAAGCTACTACAGATATCATGGTTTTTGGTGGTATCGGTGGACGGATCGACCAAGGGATCGGCCTGCTACACGAGATCCTTCGTGAGCACCATCACGACCCTCAGACGCGGCTGTGGTTGATCTCGGAGTCGAGCATCTCATTCTTGCTTCTGCCAGGAGAGAACATTATCGAGACCAAATTCTCACAGGGCTACTTCACTCACCAGGCGGGGGTCTTGCCTATCTACGGTCCCGCAACCATCACCACCCAAGGGTTCGAATGGGATGTGAACAACTGGTTTACGTCCATGGGCGGACGGGTAAGTACAAGCAACCATATTGTCCAAGACACCGTGTGTGTCACAACAGACAAGATGGTTTTGTTCACGGTCGAGATAGCCCACGACCTCCCAAAAATGGGCTGAGGGCTGATGAATGCAGTCCGAGAGAAGACTGCATATGCCATTCGCGGTCGGGAGTGCTCACAGCCTCCCGAAAATGGGCTGATGAGTGCAGTCCGGGGGAAGACTGCATATGACTTCCCTCAATCGCACTTGGTACCTCATCCCATCAAGCAGTGATTGCAACAGGTGGCTAGACGGGAATGGATATACATAAGGTGGATGCAGAGTGGCAGATGATCCCGTTTAAGCACGTCGCACGCCTCGACGTCGTACCAGGGGTGTGGTTGCGGACCTTGCATCCAAGGACTTCAAGATTCGGAGTTTCATTCCGTCATTCGGAGAGTTTGCATGGGCTGTCCGTAGGGCGGCGGAGCTGAGAGTTCAGAGCGGGGCGGAATAGCATACGGAGGATCATGCACTCAGGAGAAGTGTGGACATGGGATCAGTGGGCCATCGGCCGTGAAATTGCCGGCCTTTCCTGTCAATAATACCACCCAAGACTAAGAGACAACCACAACATTGGTGTGCAACCCTGTCTCGTGTCCTTATCAGTTCACCATGAGTTTATGACGCAGCAGCATTAACCAGGTGGTCGTCCAGTGCCTATTCCTAGCGAACGATTACGGTCATGGTGGTTTGTTTCTGTTTTTGAACACTGCCCTCCCATGATGGCGTCATCCCACCGTTCGCAGCTGAAAAAGAGACTATTTTGTGTTGTCAAAACACTGAAGAGGCTAAAGAGGCGAAAGAGATTGGGTCTGATTGATTAGTGATAGTGGTTGCTTGAGCCCTGGGAGAACTGAAGTGGAACCGTGGATGAAACATCACGATGGGATCCGGGCCGCTTCGACCGCTTCGACCACTGCGACCGTATCGCGCTCGTGATCGGTCCAACAAAGAGCCCAACCGACTGGGACATGTTGAAAAGGGCCCTCGTTCGGGGTTACACTATGATGCGCATTTCGTCGCACGATGGCGGCACAAAATAGGGGAAATAGGTGGATATAAGATGGATAAGGACAGCGCCAACCGGCACGCGGGCATGGTTCCGAAAATCCGCGCCTGGATCCGGACTTTAGGACTCGCTATGCAGGTGTGCAGGTAACTATGCACCGTGTGCAGGTCTGCAGGAGGCACTGTGATGGGACCCTCGTCACCGTACAATGGGCAGGACCAGTACTGTGGGCATCGTGGGAGAGTTTAGAGTTGAGCCGCCGGTTGTCCAACGGCAAATGTCATCCGGATATGGCCATATTCCTATAAACTCATCAATGTGGCCTGACTCTGAGAAGGGAGATGGGTTCTGACTTCTGACTTCTGAGATGTTGCGAAGGTTGTCCAGGGCAGGGGCATCGGAGGATAGCCCGAGCCTGCAACAGCCAATCAATCAGGGGCCGGGGGAGCGGCATTGGTTCTGTTGAGAGGACACGGCAGGTTTGTTGGCGAAGATATGCTGAAAATTCCGTGGATTCTTTGTTGTTGTCTGTAGTACCTCCGTGTACTTGCTATATTATAGAAGTCAATCCTCTGGTACAGAGTAATTAGTGAGTGAGGTCTGCAGTCTGCAGGGAGTAATTCTTCTATTATGGAGGATGGCAGTGGTGATTACATACGTGCTTGCATTTACATACAATAGGGAAGAATGAGGCCTTACCACCTTAGGAGCTCTTCATGCTTCACCTTTCCAGACTTCTCGCGACTTTGTAGTTCTTTTGTGCCACTTTCATATTCCCGTCCATCATTCAACATGCCATCCAAGCATGTCACCACAGCTTAGATTCAGCATGGAGTAGTTACAATGACAATTCCCAACTGACTTCCTCTCATTTCCTTTCATTTGTTTCTTTTCCTTCTTCTACTTCTTCTCCTTTCTCCGTTTCGCAGGCTCTCTGTTGTCGTCAAACTTGCACGTTCGTTTTCCTATTCTAGCCACTGGCTGATTTGTTCCCATCTGGTCGACTGCATTTCTCACATCCCACTACATTTACCCTTTCCTCGTCCCGGTATCCCACTAATACCGAATACACCCTCGTTGTGCCTTCACCAAACCGGCTTGTATCCGTGAGGCCTGCTCTGCCCATCAAGTCGACCCTTCCCTGTAACGACCTCGATCCGTTCGCCGAAGGTCCTGCTCCGTCTAATAGCCATATAATAACTAGATTCTTTGCTTCGACTCTTCTACTCCGACGTATACGCGTCCGCCAGTAGCACAGCCTTGTTGATAACACGTCATGGACATATCAAAACTCTTGCCTCGTCTGCCTCGCTCTTGACACCATTCCGTTGCCTCAGAGCTTCTGTTCCTCCTGCACGAGGAAGGAACGTGTATGGCGGCACCCTTGAGTAAGACCGTGTCGCGGACTTCCTCCGCTGGGGACTCCATCGCACCTGGCGACGATGACATCCCACAGCAAGCAGGTCGATCGCCGTCTGGCCTCGCTGCCCAAGCCGCAGCAACCGCTGTGCATCAATCCGACAAATCTCCTCCTGCACCTCATGGCCTCGATTCTCCGAGTATTCCTCCAAGTATGTCAAGCAAGGATTCGAAAGGCACGCTGAGAAAAGCGCCGTCCCCTTCCTCCATGCATTCGCCTACAACTCGAGCGAACTATGTGCCACTCGTTTCGTCCCCCCTCAATCCTCAGTCCCCAACTGGGTCGACACACAGCCACGAGAGCCATGATAAGGCTATTTCAAAGGAACAGCAAGACTATTTCCTTCTACCAACTGCCGGACTAGCAGATCCTTCTCGGCATTCCACTCCTGGTCGGACTCAAACCCCGTCATGGCCAAAGACTCTCACTCACAAACGCCTAGGGAGATCACGAGGGCTGGAGTCAAGCCAGTCTGACCAGACAAATGATCGGCGGCCGATACCCATGACCTTGCACGAGCTGGGTTCCGATTATTCGAGATACTTCAACCCGTTCTCGGACTGCCGCCGGAGCTCTTTCCTGTCTACCCCCGGCGTCCCGGCTCCCTCCGCTCTTCTATCTAGCGACGAGTCGATCCGGACAGCAGCATTACCAGGAGCATCTACCACCAAGTTGCCTACTGACCCCGAAATGGAAAAGTTCTTCCCGCTCGACGACCGATTGTCTGCCCCGTACGCTGTTAGAGGGATGTACAGTTTTCCTCTCTTTCTCGACGAGAAGGAGCCGGACGACGATATGCATATGCCATATCCGGACGACGATGTTCGATTCAGACCGAGATTGAGAGATCACTTCTCCAGGGCAAACATCTGCTCCACCATTGGGCTGATTATGATGATATCCGGAATCTTGTTCCTTTTTGTGGTGTTCCCCGTCCTCAGCTATACCAGTGTGGTTCACTTCAGCGGGAGCTACGACACGCCAATTGACGAAATGCCTGACCAGGTCCCTGAACCGCAACCATGGGCAACGGTCAACGACCGCCACCATCCTCTTCTCAGATATATGCGGAGGGGTCTAATTGACCCCGACACGCCCTCGCACGCGAAGACGCGGAAATCCGTCGATGGCAGCGATCTCATCCTCGTATTCAGCGACGAGTTCAACGATAATAACCGCACTTTTTATCCTGGCGATGATCCTTACTTCTTCGCGCCCGATTTTTGGTATGGGGCAACGCAGGATCTGGAATGGTATGATCCTGACGCCGTGACTACGTGGGATGGGGTGCTGGAACTTCGGCTGGATCAGTTCGACAACCACAACCTCAAATTCCGCTCTGGGATGTTGAACACCTGGAATCAGGCTTGTTTCAAGGGCGGAGTGTTCGAGGTTTCAATTTCTTTGCCCGGTCCAGCCGGTGTCATGGGCTTGTGGCCCGGGGCATGGACAATGGGCAATCTTGGACGACCGGGCTACTTGGCGACGACCGAAGGCATGTGGCCCTACACGTATGACGAATGGTGAGTCGCAACCTGGAATGCCTTCTTATATTGCCGTTGACACGATGAGCGATAGCGATGTGGGCATTACACCAAATCAGTCCATGACCGATGGAACCTCCCGTCTCCCCGGTCAACGTCTTCCAGCTTGCACTTGCCCCGGCGCGGACCACCCCACTCCGGGAAGAGGTCGTGGAGCTCCAGAAATTGACATCATTGAAGCCAGCGCAGATTGGTCGGGTATTCCCGTTGCTACACAATCTTATCAGGTCGCCCCTTTCGACATATGGGTATGCTTGTCCTTTGTCCTCCAAGTCCCTTTGTCAATCATTATTTCTAATGGACTTGCAGTACTATCCGGATTATGAATTTACTGCTTGTCCGAACCCTGCAGTCTCTCTGACGAACAGTTATACTGGCGGCCCATTCCAGCAAGCGGTCTCGACCACCACGTCACTGAATAAGCGGTGGTTTGACGGCCAAGCTTACCAAAAATACGCCTTTGAGTACACGCCTGGGACCGGTGCTAAGGGAAAAATCTCTTGGTTTGTCGGTGAGGAAATGGTGTACCAGGTCGATGGAAGGGCAATCGGACCCAACGGCAACGTTGGTAGTCGAGTCGTGAGCGAGGAACCCATGTCCATCGTCCTAAATCTTGGCATCAGCAATTCGTGGGTCAATATCGACTGGGCAAAATTGAAATTCCCTACGATTATGCGGATTGATTATGTTCGATGGTATCAGCCAAAGGGGAAAACGATGGTGACGTGCGACCCACCGGGGTTCGAGACGACTGAGTACATCAAGAACCATCCAGAGCCCTATAACAATCAAAACTTGACGGTAAGTGAAGACCACAAACCGGTCATGAGGAGTAGACGTGTTCTAATGATCGAATAGAAATGGAATCAGACCGGTTATGGGTGGCCGAAGAACACTTTGATGCATGGGTGCTAAGCTCTGTTGCACTCGATATTTCAAACACCTCAGAGACGCAATAGTTGATGGTGACGGGAGGTCATGTCACCGTCTCGTGCAACTTCGGTGGGGCTGGACTTGTGCATGTACGACCAAGCACGAGTGGTCCTGAACATTGCGCTGAAACTCTCGAACCGACACTCGATTACCTCATCTGGATGGGCTGGTGCGATAAAAGTTCCCTTCGACCGATCGTTTCAGAGCGCGGTGAGTTTCCCTCGATGTGCATCCAGAGCAAATCAGGGTGTCCGGTGTTTCCCGTTGGATCTGAAAATCTTTTCCTTTCAGGGCTACACGTTTTTCAACAGCATTTGCTATCACAGGGTCATTGACGTATTGCATTAGAAGGCGCTTGTTCACCAGGGTCTTTTCAGGTAAGGGCAGCATGCCACAGTTACGATAAACGGCTTCAGTCGCAATCGATACGTGGAGGGGTGGACTGGCAGGATTCTCATGGCGTACAACTTACCCCATCTTTGGATTGGCGAAGGCATTTGGGACTGACATGCGAATACTCTTGCATTTCTCGGGTGACACATGAGCTTACGACCGATTCTGGCTCATCTACAGCTTTTGGGGTAGGGGTTTTTCATGAGCAACTCAGGGGGGCCTCGTGATTCTAGCGGTGGAAATGGCGTCGACAGGGAGTGCGTTAAAGCTGTCAACTGGGACGCACGATGTAGAAGGCACCCTTAATGATAATTTTGGAGATCTACCTTTGCTGCCTTCGACTGTGATTGCTGATTGACCGTTAGTGCAGGGACAGCGGCAGAAGAAGAGCCGCCTATGGCTTTGGGACGAAAACAACGCTTGTGTTGGGGATCGGAATTGGCTTACATTAGCTAAAGTCACATCCAACATCCACATATGTGTTGGTCCATGTCCTAAATCCTTCGTAGGACAGTAGTATCGAGACCTCTAATCCCCGATTCCCAACTTGGGATGTCTGGTGGCTTGCAGGCCTACAGCTTCTTTCCCCGCTCGACGTCACATCACATCATGATCAGTCTTGGAATTGCCTTGAAAGTCGATTTTCCTTAATTCGATTTGTACTTGTTGAGTTTCCCAACCAAAATTCGTAATTACTCGATCAATACATCATTTTCTCAGCGTTTGTTTGGAAACAAAGTTTAGACTGGGCTCCTACAGTATCCATCCATCGCGGTAGCTTTAAACCGTTGCATACCTGCCTCTGTACATTCCGTTCCGGGCACTATTAGTCTATTACTCCATTTCAAACTGCAGAATTACAAAACCTCCAATTCCAGAAGTTCTTCAGATCAGTCTCCTTTAGTCCAAGTCCGTCCACCAGACCTAACTCTGCAACCCTTATAAGTTATAACCCACTGTCATGACCACCGAACCTCCACCAACCCCTTACGGCGCGAAAACCCCCAGCGATGACCCCTATTCATACCCGCGCTCCTCAGTCCTCGCCACGCGAGCCCTCCTCTCCGAACCCTCCTCCACTGCTGAGCAGAATATCCCCTCCCTCTCGAACCCCCGCAGCACCCCTGATACCAGCTCCTCCGGGATAATACCATCCTCTGGCGCCAGAGACCCACTCACGGTACTCACGACGCAGCGGAATGAGGGCCACAATGGCGCACCAGATACAGACAAGGCACCTGGCGTGAACGGCCCACCGTCCGCTGACCCATGGCCGGACAGTACACGGCCTCCGCTGCCGAAACGGACCAGCTGGAACTACGAGATTGCGGTGGCGGAGCGGGTGGCATCGTCTCCCAAGACGCCGAAATCCGCGGTAAGTGGTGGCGGAGGCTACTTCCAGGCTGTGGCGGAGAGAGCGGGTGGCGCGATTCCGGAGCGGGGAAAATATGCGGATGAGGGGGGAGGGGAGGGGAGAGATCGGGAACCAGGGGTTGGGAGGCGGATGAGTTGGGCCGAGCAGGATCGGAGGAGGGAGATGATGGTGGCTGTGATGGAGAGTCCCGGAGCAGGGTCGAGCGAGGAGAAAGCGGGGATGGAATGGGGGTATGAGAGTTGTGGGGAGTGAGCAGGATAGTGTGCTGGACACCTGACTGTCACCGGACGATGGAAACACGAGCAGTTCACGGAGAAGTGACAAAAGGAGGAAGTGCGGGTGGCATGAGGCCCATTTGCGGCTGTTTATTCCGGTACGGAACTACCTTGTGCTTTGAAAAGAGTCGGAGTCATGGATATTGGGGTATACACTTCTGATTAACGAATGTACTAGTATGGAATCCTTTGTTTCCTAAGGAGTGGCGACTATGAAACACGAATGAACGGCTTTTCCTCCACTCTCTACTCCGGGTTGTGATTCGGCCACTCTGCTTCTGGACACCGTGTTTTCCTTTGGAATATCTCCGCCCTCCGCTTCCTGCCGGCTTTCCACAAGGGCAGGTGCAGTCATCAGTGGCACCGATTCGCATCATCCTGTCCCCTGGGAGCCGCTAGGCGGTGGCTTGTGACCATCTCGACGCAGCGGCGTCGAATGTGGACTCGTCTAGGATCAAAATGTCCAGCACATGCGCTTGATGCACCTTGAGCATCGATCTAGCAGTACGCAGAGGAGCGTTTCGCTTTGTTGGGGTCCAATATTTGGGGAAGTTGATTCAGAAACAAAGACAGAATCACTCAAGTCCTGAGCAAGTTAAGTATCCATATCAGGGTTTCCGGGCTGCAGCCAATGGAATAGATGCATACCAGTCAACATCGCTCAATTGCAACTTTCTCGAACGCTGAGTATTTCGCGTGCTTGCGGATTTGTCCATGCGGGTTTGGTGGTGGGCGTACGGATTTTGAAGGCGGGTTTCGATGTCTGCGATAAGGATGTCTCAGTAAACGTGTTCTGGGTGGTTGGTGGGTTGAGCTGAGTAAACGGAAACGTAGGCGCAACGAATAGGACCAGCTTAGACGACAACAGCTCTGAACTCCGCGGCAGTGATACCCGGGGGCCTATCGGGCCGCGGACCATCATGAAGATGTGCGACTACGGGGAGTCCGGTTCTCGTCCCCAGCACTCGGCACACCACCACGTCCGGCACCGACGCGTTTCACTCCACGGGCGCTGGAGCGCCACTGAGCGGGTTCAGGCCGGCTTCGTTTCCGGTTCAAGTTAGGGGGAAGATGGGGAATAGAAAGGGCGTCTTCACCATCAGTGTCGTCATTGCGGAGATCATAGTTGAGCACAAGGTTCTTGATGCGCTGCTGTTCTTCCCGCTCGGCCTGCTGCTGGGTACGCATGGCGACGGCAAAGCTGGAGTCGGACGGAAGGTCGATGGCTTTGGTCTGGAGGGATAATCAGCACCCGCGAAGAAACCAATCCCCGAAATTCTGAAAATGCTGGGATCGCGGGAGTGGATGTGTGCTATAGACAATACCTGTTGCTTATTGCCCCTCTTGCTCAATAGCGAGAACTTCACCATAGTGGACTGCTCCACGTGAACCTCAGGTTTCTCGGACGCCCCTTCATCCAAAGCAGTGGATGGATCACGTTGTTGGCTGCGTCGAATAGGCAACGGAACATCGAATACCGGCTTCCGGTCGGCTTTGCGAGAATCTAAGCTTTCAGCCATCATTTTGGCCAGCTCTCGGTCGAAGTCCGCCTCGAGTTCAGGATCACGCTCGTCCTCCGGTCGAGTGACAACGATGTTTTCTTCTTCATCCTCATCGTCTTCATCTTCGGACTCGTCGTGCTCCTCCCGTACCTCTTCCTCGACTTCGTTCTGTCATTGGTCAGCAAAGAATTGGGTAGTGTGTTTCTAATGAAGCTGACTCCGTCTTCGCCCTCAGACGAGTTGTCATCGTCGATATCTTCAACATCCAGTCGGTCATCATCCACGCCGTCCTCAGAAGCAGAAGAGTCTTCGGCTTCATCTGCCTCTGTGGGTTTCTCTGGGCCTGTGGATTGGTAGTTTTGCTTGACGGCATCGGCAAACTCTTTGGATGCTTGCTCAATCGATGTGGCTAGCTTCCATTGCGGACGTGTCGCAGCGTAACCGTCTTGCACGACAAATTCAATATCCATTGGCATGGGTGCTTTCGTGTGGATGTAGTACTAGGAATGTTAGCATCCAACTTCGGAATCGCTCAGGCCGGCATACCTGAAAGAAGGTCAGGAAGAAGTCGAGTTTCTTCTTCGCTGCTCCTTTGCTGTAATACACGCCACATGTTTCGAGCACATTGCATACCAGACGGATTCTGAAGAAGTCATCCTGCTGATCCAGAGGGCTGTACTTGCCCGGATTCGGAATACCATCCTCTGCTTCACATCAGCACATGATACATCCATGCAGACAAGCCAGACTTACCATGCCCGTAGGTGACGATCTTGTAAAGGGTATCGAAGATCACCGGCGAATCTACCATTCGGTAAATGTAGAGCTCTCCCAAATATTTCACTTCGGCAATCCGTCGCTGATTGAATTTGAAGTCATTTAGCTCCAGCCCGAATATGATAGACTCGAGCAGATCATCGACCACGGAGATGGCAAAGTCCTGATGGTATCGATTCAACATGCCTAGCATGACGGCGAGCAGATGGATGTTGCTGTACTTTAGCTTTCCCGGTCTGGAGAAGATCTTTCGCAAAACTGCAACCACCTGTGTTTGTCAGTGAATGAGGCTTGCCATACCCAAACAATCCCACGAACCTCAGGCTCTTCCCAGTGCATTTTCCGAATCTGTTTGCCAACTTTGTCCAATGTGCCTCGCTTCAATTCTAAGTAGATCAATTTCCGGAGGAACAACTCGATGGGCGTCCTTTCTTTTTGCTCAATCGCCGCTCGCTCAGGTGGGTTGACGTAGTAGCACGCATTCTCGATCAACATCCGCTCTTGTTGCCCGAGGTGTTGGGCCGATTTCTTCCGTTGCACGGTCTCCAGGAACGATGACATCCGAACGGACGTGTCGGGGTTTCTGATCAGGTATCGTCCGCAATTCTCCATCAAAGTGCTCATGATCTCGATGTTCATGCGAGAGAAGTCATCCAGGCAGACACGAAGGCAATGGAATATGATGTGTTCGGGAACGACGCCGAACTTGGTCAGCTCGGCAAGGTACCGAACGTTCATCATTCGCACTTGACCAAGGAACTCCTTCTGCTTGCGGCGCTGAAGACTTTTGAACTCTTCATCCAGATGGCTCACGATCCCCTGAGAGATGTCGGGCATGTATTTCGCAAGTGTAGCAACGAGCCTCGAGTAGAGCGGTAGGAGGTCGGTACGGCCCTTGGGAATATCCTGGACCGCTTTGATCATCCGGTTTCGGGAGGCTTTGGAGTTCAAGAAGCAGAACTGAATGGCGATCTCGTCAACCATGTCCTTGTTGGTCATTTCCGGCAACTGAGCCAACAGGATGTCGACCTGAGCGCCTACAGATTTGTTCGCGATCGCCGTGGACTGGTCTTCCGTATCGGCCGCTGATTTGGCATCTTCGCTCTCACCGGTGGGTTTCTGATCAGCGTCTTCACTATCCTTGCCCTCCGCTTTCTTTCCGACTGGTTCGTCGACATCGGTTTTCTTCTTTTTCGTCTCGAGAAGAATGGCCGGGACACGATCTTTGAGGTCAATCAGATTTTCGTAGAAGCGCCGCTCCTCCTCGTCCTCCCAAATCCCAGCGCCATCTCCCTGGCCTCGCAAATAATCACCTGCTTTGACAAGGCCGATCGAGCCGTCCCCGAGTTGCTGGGACGCATCCCTCTCTTTCAGATCTGGTATCTCACCACCAACCGCTTCTGCCAGGATTTGAGCGTTCGAGATCAGCTTTTCTTGTGCTTTTACCATCTTCTCGTAGTTAGCCTGTCGATCTTCAAAGACCTCCCCGGACTTGACATAGGCCTCCGCATTTCGACGGCTTTGTTGATTGAGGTGCCTCTGGTCGCGGACAATATGCGACTTGACGTCTTCAAAGTACCGGTTGAGGATGTTGCAGAACCGCTCTCGAAGTTCTGGAGAAGTCATAGGCGGGTCCTGGGATGTTATGTCATCCTCGCCAGAAGATGCTGAGTCCTCACCCTTCGCCGTGGTCCCTGCCACTATAACACCATCCTCGTTAACCGTCTTTCGACCGTCGGCCGAAGAAATTTTGGCGCCTAGGATATCCCACGAAAAGGACTTCACGAACAATACCACAAGTGGCAAGTTAACATGGTCTCGATCATGACCTAGCATATCCTTGAGAACCTCGAGTGGGAACGGTTCCGCATCGAGTTGTCCATGAGCCTTTGCACCGTTTGGAATTGACTTCTTCCCACCGAGGCTCTCCCCGGGCAACGGTCCGTCTTTGCCCTTACCCGCCGAAGCGGCAGCCGCCTCTTCCGGCCTGGCCACATCCTCCAAACTCCTGAGCACGCCAACCAGCCATAGCTCCGTAACGACCCTCAGCAGCACGCGCTGCCTGGCAAGTCGTTCCTTTTCTTCCTTTTCCCTGACATCTGGCGCCAACGCCTTCAGAACCGTCCTCTCTGGTGTCGCGAGCCCTCGTCCTAGAAACCAGCCAAGGTATTTGGTGAAGTCGTCGGGGCCGAAACGTTGATGCAACGCGGAGACGATCTCCACAGCAGCGGCGATGTCGGCGGGGTTTTTGAGCTTGCAGAGTCCTTCATAACAGGCGGAGAGGATCTCAGAGAGGTATTTGGTGAGTGACAGCGAGGAGACCTCGGAAAGGAAGGTGGACTGCGTTGAGGCAGTGATTGAAGTGCGTAGCCGTTTGATGAAGGTGGTGTTTTTCTTCATGGAAGAGTCGAGGGTCGCATGTACGGGATAGAGATCTGGTGGTGAGAGGTAAACTTAGCATTCTGAACTCCAGAAGATCTCTCGAGAGCGCTGGAATACCAACCTTTCTCTCCTGTCCATGCTCCGGCATTGAGGTCGCGCAATTCGCCTGAAAAGATCCGAGTTAGCTATGAGACCGATCTACAAATATGTAACAGAGACATACGCTTTCTTGGCTTCTCCATAGTCCTATCCACGCGGAGGGGTTGAAGAAGAGGGAAAAAGGTGCGAACCAGTTATGGGTCGACCATGTGTATGACTCCGGGATGTAATAGGCAGATGAGAGAGTCATTAGAAATTCTCCCAAATGCTCTAGAAATCCCGCGTTAGAGGAGAGCGAAAGTAATGTGATTTCTCCAGTCACTGAGCATGTCTTCCCGTGTCATCATGTACCCGGACCATGAAGTCAAAGATCACCGCCACGGTTTGGTGGGGCATACTGCGCCACAACCGATATCGATATCAAAACCGAAGGATGCCTCAGTTCACACCTGGCAGCAACTTCTATTCGCATCTTGAAAACACTTGAAAATTCTAGGTCATCAGGATGTTTATCTTTCATCATGTTACTATATCCCTTTAAGCAGCTCCAGTCACATTGTGGATTCACAATATGTCTTGCTAGTACTTCGATGAGCAACCATGAAAATGCTTATTATATCCCGCGTTAAATACGGACCACTGTATTCACAACGTTATGCTCTTGTCGTCCCAGGCTAGGTAGTCAACCTTCTTGTACTCAGACATTTTTTAGTTTCGCGGCTCTCAATCAGGAACATACGTTGTCCAAGTCCATGCCTTCCTATCCATATCGTTCACCTACCTTGGTTGTCGAATCAGATTGGTCTCCCGGCCGACTACGCATCAAAAGCTTGCTCCTGATTTCTTGCTTAGAATCAGATAATACACCACAGGTGGAGGCGGTCATGAATTTCCAAGTCACGATGTCCCAGTGCTGTTCAATGTTCCTTGACCAGGACCGGAGCGCTTAACCAAAGCGCCGCCTCTTGAGCCTATGCCAATGTTATGTCGAACCACAATCATCTAGGTATTGATATAAGGCCGGGCCATTTCAAAACTAGCGATGACCAACTTGATGGACTTTGGCCACGGCACTAGTCTGGGCTGGAGAGTTTGGGAATATGGATTCTGAATTCTGAATTCCTGATGCGAACCGTTAAGCGAACGATCAGGACACTTGATGCGACGCAGGGGACTCCTGGGAGAGGCGAATCCCCTGTATTGGCGAGCTGAACAGCGCAATGAGAGAAGCCATTTCGCTAGGGGAATTGGAATTCAGTTTCCTTGCTCAATGAAAGTACATCCATTGATGGCGTAGCTTGTGGTATGAGTAAGTATATTGTGCTATTGGAGAACCTCAGCTGACGCCCTATGGATGTGGCTGGCCACCTGTCGTCATGATATGTGGACAGCCGAACGGAGGCAGGATGTGGAGATCTGGATGTAGCTTGGGCTTCTAGGCCTTCTACGCAGTAGCTCCAATAGTCCAATTTTACGCGAGGCGTGGAGAGAGGGCATAAAAATTCTTCTTCAAGAGAAATACAGCGTCCGAATATCGATATTACCCATGTTTTGTTCATCATGGAATTGGGGGAAGGCCCCTAACGACTTAATAAGGGGACGATAGGAATCGTTCCTGGCTACAGCAGTGACTACAAGACACGCATCGATGAATTGGTAGCACTGCGGTTCGGGGAGCGACTGAGGGGTCCCTACTGACGGTTTGGTCAGGGACACGCTGTTCAAATGGAACTCGACCAGCGGGATGTTGAGGAGATCAAACAGCAGAGAAGATGTCTTGGAAAGGTTCGAGGAGGCGCTGGGGATTCGCCACTCCGCCAGGGCGGCCAGGCACCAATACCAGCACTGACGCGGTGTATGGTCCCGTCAGTCCATCTGCCATGATGCCATCACAAATTCACAATTGGAAATTTCGGAAGTGGCGGCTTCAGGAGATTCTGTGCTCAATGAAAGGTGGCAGTTAGGGTTAACCGCAACCAATCACCACCTCCCGCCTCGGAAGCTTTCTCAGGGACAATGCAAGGGACAAGACCGATTTCCGGCTCAGAGGAGACAAGAATAAAGATCTATTCTTGGTACACACTACATCACGTGTAACAGACAAGGAAATGGAAGAAGTAAGAACAAATAGCTGTCCTCTGCTCCCTCTTTAGGAGTATATACGCACCCTGTGGACGTCTGACGAGATGACTTTTCAGTTTTCAATTTTCACTGAAGTAATGTTAAGGTGCTGACAGCCAGCACACTGGACCAGCGGAAAATCCGGGGAGGGAAAGCCAATGGAAAAGCCACCACCTACAAGGGGTTAAGGGGAAGAGGAATGCAGGCACGGACCGGCATGAGCACGAATCACATGAGGTTACATTGTGTGATGTTTCAAGGAGAGAGGGATAGTGCCTTGTGCCCTTGTCACTTTGTCAGTGACTGTCAATCAGCACCGTGGCCCTGGGCGTCTTCCCGGAATCGTGCCCACCTTTTCCTGCATCAGGAAATCTCGAGCCGCCCCCTGCCGCTGGCCTAGGACCCATTCTGTCACTTGTCCCGCATCGGGCAAAGCGACGTCGGCAGTGGACAGTTTGCACATGACGATTTTTGACTTGATAATAATGTAGCCTGGAAGAATAGAAGCATGAGTAACTGAGGTAAGGACCCAGCATCTTTCTTCGTTCTTGATGGCTGGGCCTTGATTAAAACTTTAAAAGTCAACATGAATCCCCCGCCGCTGATCATCTCTTAGGAAAACGGGATGCCGTCAGGGATGTGGCATCTCCGGCGCATCCCATTGGGTTGCCGATCCGCGACTCCATGAAAGATGTGTCAAATTGCGTGGCATCCCGCGCACTGAAATCGAGATGCGGAGCATAGCAGTAGCAGAGGTTTTCGAATTTCGATCCTGCTTGTAGCCTTGTACCCACAAGGTATCCATACATGAGATACACGAGAGCTCAGAGTTGAGCCTGAGAAAGATAGGGGATGTACATCAGAATTCTTCGTAAATGGGGGAACTTTGAAGTTCAATCAGCCGGTTGGGCATAAGATCACGGACTTGTCTATCACACCACAGCATGTGGAATAATACCGATATCATGTAACACAACTGTCAATAGGCATCGAGAAAAATGGAACCATAGATCGGATATTAATATTTTCTATTTTGGGCTTCCGAGACCGCCAATAATGGACCGAAATCAGGAAGTGTCGCTTGAAAACCCAACAATACGAGAGGGGCGAAAACCATCGACCGTCGGGAGTCTGGATGCCTGGGCTCCGTCCGTTAGTGCCGGACTGCAGCCGGCCTCCACCATAAAAAAGTTTCGTTAGCCAAGAAAATGCAATTGTGCAAGTGCATTCCGGAGGCTCAACAGTGAACCATGAACGCCATTCGGCCAAAGTGCAAATGGCAACAAGGTTTCAGGAGAAGCGGGCGCACGGATCCAATATGTGCCGCATCATTCATTTTTCTTGCATTTCGATTTGAAGACCAAGGGCCAATCCTTGGTCAATCCCTGGCAATTGGCGCCTTCCCTGCCCCATCCCTAGCCGCCCCCCGGATCCCTGTCGTCGATATTTTCTTCCATGTTTCCAAACCGAAACTCACCCAATATCAACATCCTGAAAGCTTGGGTTGTGTCTGGTCCCGTGTTTGCTCCAGACTCCTGTAGACGTTCCTTTACGCTTTAGGGAGTTTAGGTCCTTCGTTTGGCGGCCAACTCTCTACTCTCTCGTTTGGCGGCCAACTCTCTACTCTCCGCTGCCTACCGATCTCCTTGGCTCGGATGCTCCACTGGTTACACCCCAATACAAGGCCCAACTGACGGTTACCCGCGTTTCTGCGGTCCCAATACCTGTGCTTTACGTGCCCTGCTCCGGTGATACTACATACGGCGTCGTTCTGGAAACACGTTTGCTCCCAATAGGAAACCGCCAGCGCTTTAAGGGGGATTCACTGTGACCAGTGGTGGCCAACTCTCCTCCGCGTCTCGCCCATGCTCCATTGCTGGACCCTAGCCGAATGGCCGAGATGGGTCGTCCGAATGGTCGCTTAGCCTGATTCAATGGCCAAAGTATCTCGCCATTAACCTGTAGCCGAAGTTGTGCCCAAGCAAATAGTTGGCTGTGTTCCATGGACCATGCCCCATAGTATAGTTTGAGGCCCTTCCATGCTCCCGCCTCCTTGGTGGAGACATCTGGTTTCCGCTCGGGCTTGCTTCATCGCCTTGGAGTCTGAAACCATTGACTGAATGGGACTTCACCATCGGAACAAACCCGCCTTCGCCGTTTTTCCTTCCCTTCTCCCCTCCCAGATCCTTAGTTTTCCTTGCATCGTTCGTTCCAGAGCCTCAATTGTGCTTCTGCTGTTTGTCTCACTCGTTCTTTGTGTGCTGTGCTCCGTTACCTCTACCCGTCCACGTCCATCGCTCTGGCGTGGAAAATCCGTTAATTCGCCTTTCATCAAAGTCGGGCCGCTTTTCGTCGAATCTCAAACCCCTCGTGATAGCATCGGGAACTGCAATATAATTATGCCCATAAGCATCCAGTACCGGTAGCGCTCGAACTCAACCGTCCTGTCCGGAGCCATCCCACCGCCAGAGCAACCACTGCTCGGCTTCAGAATAGCAAAAGTGGAACACGGTACGCTGGATCACCAATCACTTCTGAAGTTCTGATCGACTTGTCACTCGCGAAAGAGAAACAAGACAAACCTCAGTCAAGACCTAAGGATGTACCTTTGACATCAGGATCCAGATCGCTTCGACTCTCGCTTCTACCTTCAACGTTCGTTTCCATTACCACCGTCCATGCAACGACTCAATTAGCAATATACCTGTAACTGCACCTCTACTCGAACTTCCCTCCTGAGTTCACTTGCACTCGTAGCAGAGTAACCACAAGTCTCGCTCGCAGTCTCGCGACGCCACTGCGGTATCTCTAGACACAATGTGGGGCGAACTTCTCGCTCGCGCCAGTGAAGATGGCAGTATCCCAGCGATCACTGAGCCATGGCCGGTCAAAGATGTGAGTTCTCGACGTGGATGTCAAGATAGAGCGAAACACTGACCGTGGTCCACAGATTGTCTACGTTGCCATTGTCGGCACCCTCATGGTCGCAGCATTACTCGAATGGTTTCTGTGGCTGGCCGCGTTTCTTTACTGCCTAGTCAAGGTATTCCAAAAGGCGGAGAATATAGCGACACGGTTTATGGCGATAATAATGATGGTCCTTTTCACCGGGTTTAGGTATGCGCTTCCCTTGGGTATCTCATCCCCGCCTCCCGACTAATGCGTCACAGAGGCATTTTCCTTCCGATTATGGTGGTCACCTTGCCACTCCCGTCGCAGGTTACCCAGCACTTCCCTATCATGATGGTCACGTTCCTGCAATGGTTCGCTTTCTGGTCCTTTGCCGGTCTCCTCACCATCCCGTGGCTCTTCTGCGTCTACCAACTGGTCACCCACTCACTTGGCCGCACAAGCCGCATCAAGCACGTCCTCGACGAGCAATCGGCACCGAAGGTGGTGATCGTCATGCCATGCTACCAGGAAATCCCGGAAGTGCTCATTCGAACCGTCGATTCGATCGTCGATTGCGAATACCCCCCGTCGTGCATGCACGTCTTCCTATCCTTCGACGGCGACCAAGAGGATGAATTGTATCTGAACACGATCGAGAAATGCGGGGTACCACTTACCCTCGACACGTATCCGAAGAGTATCGATGTCGTCTACCGGAACACGCGCATCACCATCTCCCGGTTCCCGCACGGCGGCAAGCGACATTGCCAGAAGCGGACGTTCCGACTCATCGACCGAATTTACACCGAATACCTGAAGCGAAATGACAATCTGTTCATCCTCTTCATCGACTCCGACTGCATCCTGGACAAGAACTGCATTCAGAACTTCATGTACGAGATGGAGTTGAAACCCGGAAGCAAGAAGAACATGTTGGCCATGACGGGGGTCATCACGTCGACCACCGAGAAGAACTCGCTAATCACGCTGCTGCAAGACATGGAATATATCCATGGCCAGCTATTCGAGCGATCCGTGGAATCGGGATGCGGTGCCGTCACTTGCTTGCCCGGTGCCTTGACCATCCTACGATTCTCCGCCTTCCGACGAATGTCGAAGTTCTATTTCGCCGACAAAGCCGAACAGTGCGACGACCTGTTCGACTACGGAAAATGTCACTTGGGCGAAGATCGATGGTTGACCCACTTGTTCATGATCGGGGCGAAGGAGCGATATCAGATCCAGATGAACACCGGTGCCTTCTGCAAAACCGAGGCCGTGCAAACCTACGCCAGTTTGTTGAAGCAACGACGACGATGGTTCTTGGGCTTCATCACTAACGAAGTGTGCATGTTGACGGACGTTCGACTTTGGCGACGGTATCCCATTCTCTGTATCGTGCGATTCATGCAGAACACTATTCGAACGACCGCGCTGCTATTCTTCATCATGGTTATCTCGTTGCTGACCACCTCGCAACGTATCGATCAGCTCCCTGTCGGCTTCATCGCCGTGTCCCTCGGTCTTAACTGGATTCTCATGCTCTACTTCGGCGCCCGCCTCGGCCGTTACAAGATCATGCTGTACCCGGTCATGTTTCTCATCAACCCCTTCTTCAATTGGGTCTACATGGTCTACGGCATTTTCACCGCCGGTCAGCGGACCTGGGGTGGCCCTCGGGCTGATGCTGGCAAGGCCGACCCCAACACGACGCCACAACAGGCCATCGAGCACGCTGAAGCGACCGGCGACGACCTCAACATCATTCCGGAGACGTTCAAACCGGCCAACGCGGAGACCGCCGAAGTTGGAGATAAACCGGCGCACCATCGCCCGGCGCAAATGGCTCTCCAGCCGTCCGACAGGATCGTGGGTCGCTTCGACGCCGCGCAACCGGTGGCCGGTGGCTGGTACCATCATCCGAACGATTCGGGTCTCACCATCCCCGACCATTTCAATCGAAACCAAGGCGTTCCCCGGATCCCGCTGCATCCCCGCACGTCGATCGATTCCCTGGCATCGGCCACCTCGGCCGGCAACTCCATCTACATCCCCCGCCGCGTCGAGTCCTTCCTTCCCCCGGAAGATGCCCGATTATACCACAGCCGCCAGGCGGAGCAACGTCCCGCCGGTGGCGCCTTTTACGAGAGCGACCATACCACCCGACCCTACGGCGGTGGTAACCATCCGGGCAACAAAGGCAGCCATCCCTACGGCGGCGCCCCGAAGACCGAGTTCAGCGATAGCATTGAATCTCTCAACTCGCCCGAGTCTCCCACCATGGGCATCTCTTTCGACGACAAGCATGGCCCCCCCTCTCGACCCCAACCCCGATCATCCTCGCCAACCGCACCACACTCCGCGCAACCCCGCCACAATGCCTCTCCTCGATCACAATCCCCCGTCCAGTACAGCAACCAGCGACCTCGGTCGCGCTCCCCTGCGCGCTCCCTCGCCGCACGACAAGCCCTCGGCCAGTCCGGCCTCAACCCCGACGCCAACCTCGGCGTCCCGTCGAACTCCGCTAGCAACCGCTCCAGCCGCAGCCCGCTGGCTCGCCAGAGCTTCATGCACACGGCGCCGGGCGGCGAAACCGAGGGCGCGCCCGCACCGCGCATGGTAGCGATTGAAATGGACGAGAACCCGGCGCATCCGCACGCGCCACCGACCTTCGCTCCCACGCGAGACGACGCCTCGACGCACTCTCGTGAGGGAAGTCGGAGTCGGAATCGGGCGGGCGGGTACGAGAGCGACGGATCGGTGACAGAGATGGCGGCGCCGCGGCGGCCGTTCGCGGAGGCGGCGGAGCGGAGGGGGAGTAGTGGGGGTGGGAGTGTGGGCGGGGCTACGGAGAGCGGAGGGGAGGGGAGCGGGGAGAAGAGGAGGAGAAAGCGGTTGACGAAGCAGTATCCCGGTGGGGGAAGTCGGGGGTCGTAGAGGCTGTCGCCTAGCGCGTTGACGATGATGAGAAATATGCTGAAATTTGGGACGGATCGGTTTTGCGTGTAGCGAAGGAAAGGACAACCACCGAATATCTTGCTGTTTAATGTTTATTTGAGCGTTTTTCGTAGCTGGGTCGGCGGTATCGTCGGCTCATGGATATATAATCTGGCGCGATCGGGCCTGGGGTGGAATATAAACAAGATTCATGAATCACCTTTTCGACTTGGTCGGAGTCCTTTTCCCACGGTATAGTGGAGGTGAGAGTCGTATTGCGATCGTCACTGCTATCGTCACTTCTAACCGTTTCGTTGTTCGCGCAGTATTAATATATTACTGAATGATACCAAGGCCAATGACAGCAACTGAGCAGACGACCCAGAGCGGAACTAGGCAAGTGAAGGATCTGTGGATGTTCAAAGTTGTCTCTATAGTTCCTTCGTTCGGCATTTTTCGTCCTCAGCTAAAGCTCGGCTATTGACCCTCAATCACTGTCCGTCTTAGAGCTGTCCCCTTTCTTGTTGATTCTATTTCTCCCTCATGTCGACAGTGGAAATCCCCTGTTGTCCATAATGCAGCTGCAACAACTCCCGCATCCGCTTCTGCTCTTGGTTGGAAATCATGTTTTCCTCCGTCTTAGTCTACCCTTCGTGCCTATCGCAGCATGGAGTATATATGTCTGTCGGAGGCAATTCGAGCATGTATGCCGGTACTCATCTAGAGTCACGCGAGGAATTCATTCTTGGAAGACGGTTAGAACTGCGGAAGCGGCATGGAGTTGCTGACCTCGCCTGTGTACGAGGCTTTGCAGACTATTGGCCCGGTATACTGCTGAGGCGGCGGGAAAGTTTATAAAGCCATTCAAGGTGATTCATTGTTCAAATTAGAGCTCAGCTATATTAAGAAAAGGAGGCCCTAACTTCAACTGTGGAAATATGCAGGGCAGTTTACTACATTACGTCGAAATTGTGTCGAGGGTGTGGGGCAAAGACTCAGTGGTCTGACGGTATTCGTAAAGGAGACGAGCTGAGAATTATACCTATATGTTTGAGGAAGGGACACTTGAGTTACGTTGTCCCCATTCAATAAGGCAACTATAATTCCCATTTCTACCATTGCTATTATTAAGGGGCCTATAGTTCAGTGCATGTCAGTGGTGCAGCTGACTCCTATGATTCTGAAGAGCGATTGTATCGATAGTTGAGCGTAAATCACAATCACCAGGGTCCCTCACATGGCACGAAATGGAGTGGCTATACTGTTAGTCCTGAAAGATATATAAGAACCCAGATCGAGTTGCCCGGCTAATCGTTATATAGGTTCTTGTGAATTCCGGCTCTAATAGTCTACAGAGACGGTTTGATATTTGTACAGGAACAGTCACTCCGAACTCAAACCCGGCCGGCCAAATGATACTTATCTTTTCCATGCCATCTCCCGGGGCGCTTCCAAACAAGCCGAAGTGACGAAGTATCATGGATTGGTGATATGACTCCTAAGAGTTAGAACTGTGACCGAAGAATTCGTCTGAGAAAGTATCCCCTGCTCCGAAACAGCACAGAATTTACTTGTTCCCGAGCATTTTACGCACCAATAGCGAGATTGCTCCTTTCTCTAAGCAGCATACAGGTTTCATTCGACATCACAGAATTCCCCAGTCCCCATCATCCCTGTTCCTTGCATCCAGCGCAATGTCAGCGAAGATCTGCGGGATGCCCCCAATTATCAACAACTCCTTCTTCTCCGCCAGTTGTCCTTCATTCTCTTTGTACATATCATATGCATACTTCGCCTGCACATACTCGTCTTCTAGGATCGTGATCTCAGCCTTGACTTTCTTTGCCTCGTCATGTTGCTTCTCGTCGCACAAATCGGAGGCCAGGTCTTGACGACGGCCGATCATTCGATCGAGGATGAGTAGAATGTCTTTGTATAGCTCAAATTTCAGCTCTCGCATGGAGCGATCGTACAGGGAAAGCATCTTCTCGAAATCTTGGTTGTCGCTGGACTTTTCTTCATCAATTTGGGCGGCTTGCCTCCGCGCCGATCCTCGAGTGAACGGGCGCTCGACGTGGTAAGGAGTGGCAGATACTGCTCGAGCTCTAGTCAGCAATGTGTTAATATTTAATGGATGGGATCTGCCTACCGTCACTCTGGACGTCGGTCCTTCGCTTCTTTCGTGGTCTCTCACTTCCCATCGTCATGTTGAGGTGTCAGCTTTCTGGATTTGATAGAGGCTTTGTACTATCCACAGTCTAGACACAGTTATTTGGTTTGACTTAAGGGTTCCTGACCATGGGCCTGCAGCTGTGAGACTGCTTTGGAAATAAATGGAGTAAAGCTGGTGGTGGAACTTTATCGTCGGTGACTGATTTCTCGAAGGTAGGCATATTTCACTATCTATTACTGAAAATTCGAATTCACAAACGGCATTCACGGCCCTTCCAAAGAATCTGAGGCATCCTTATCACTTCATTAGTCGTTCATTCACTTAACATTATCTTAATATACTCTAGCTTGATAGAACCTGGCGGACTTCTTTGACCCCTATGTTCCAAGGTGAACAAGCAGACCAAGCAGATCACCGAAGAAATAAGTCCTTACTTGCACTTACATCAGCTTGATACAATAGAGCGTAACAAAATATTGCATAAAGTACGATACTGAAACAGTGGCCTATCCTCTCCCTCCATGAGACCGGGCTCCGGGAGCAATATCGGTCAACCAGCATCTAAGTCGATAATATCACAACACAGGACAACGGCAGTATCTACCGCTCGGGATAAATCAGTGGACTTGGTTCTCATTTGATATTGAAAATACTCTCATGGGTTATTGCCATTCGGCGACAGCGGTACTGAGGGTTTTCAGTCCCTTCCGTTCGCGACTGACCTTCTACAGCCCGGTTCTTAGAAAACTGGCGGTGTTCGTACCCTTCTTGCTAGTGAAGAATATCAGAGTCGAAACTTAAAGCTCCTGAAGTCTGGCTAGATACATTGTAGTCAAGTCCTGCCGGACTAAATAGTTCATACCGGCTTCAGCATTTGTTACCCGAGTTCGAATGACAGGATCTATGTCTACTATTAATTACATCGACACTCTCGGCATACTGCGTATCTAGGTCCACGAGATGCATCAATGAGGCAAATTACATCCTAATGCACTTTTTAGAGCCATGTGGCTATAAAGTACAGTTGCAATTTGTGTCCCATTCCCTTCATCCGCCCGTGCCAACAATACTCATGATCAGGCTCGACATAGCTGGTGGGATACCGTCTGATCCTTTTTCAACAGGCTTTCTGGTCAACCTTAAAACCTGCACGAGTAGTCGATCGGCGGAGCCTCGTACTCAGGATGCCCAACAGCTGTGGCCGCTCTCGAAACCTCCTCTTCATAGGTCTTTCTAAAATTTATTTGAAGCTGGCGGCCTACCGCAGCCATCCTCTCCTTTGATAACCTGACGTAGAATGCGCACGCATCCTTCTCTTCCTCGGCTTTCTTCAATCCTGGGTGTCCTGCAAGTTGCCTAGCTAAATGCTAATGTTGCTCACGTTTTTTGGCCAGCATAAGCGCTCTCGCCTCTTCATGCTTGGCCACCGCATTCTTATAGTACTATTCTGCCGCTTCGTATTCAACTGCCAATTGCCGTGTACGTGCCTGGTAAGCTTCCTGGCTTGGCAATCGATTGGCTTCACGGCGCACACTCTCTCGACGCTGTTGCGCCTCTCGTTCATAATTCACCTGTTCTTTGATGGCCTTCTCCATATTGACTCGATGGGTCGCAATCATCTCCATGTCCTCGTTTGAAATCGAGTTGATGGGAGCAGTAGCAGAGCTGGGGGCAGTAGCGGAGCTAGGTTGCGTGGCCAGGAAAGTTGGATTGGCCTGCAGAATCACATGGTTAGAACGAATGGAAATAGCTTTCACTACGAGATGTTACTTACCTCTCATGTCAACATCTTCGTCGTCCCAATTGAAGAATGGGACATCGTCTTCCTGAGCACTACCTTGAGTCATGGGCAGGTGGAGAGCACCTTGACGCACTCCCGCTGGAGTAGGAACGGAATCACCCTGAACATCTCTGGGTGCTTGACCACGAGAATTATCGGGAAGATCGGAATCCTTGGTGGTTGGTGGTTCTTCTTCCGGCTCGTCCCAAGAGACAAAGGGAATCTCGTGCATGTCAGTCTCGATTAGGTGGTCAATGAGTGAATGTATATGGGGTAATTAGCCCTCCCATGTCGATCCGCTTCACAAACGCAAGCAGTCGTTCATTGATTTCAGCTTCGGATTGACGGTCTGTAGCTCGGTCAGTGATGTTCTTTCAAATTATCAAATGGAGCTCCAGACCTAAAGCACGCCTATGAAATTCGGGTGCAGGGCGTAATAACTACACGGCTGACGGAAGACCGTCACTAACTGTCAAGGATGGTGTAGACGTCTCGGAAGGAGTTGGCCACTAGGAGGTCCGATGACATCGAATGGTAGAAGAAAAAACAAAAAAGGTTATTTGAGTGTAATAATTGGAAACGAAAGAAATGAAGGGCCCGTAATAGCGGACCCGGAGACGGCTAAAATATGCCCGTTGCTAAAGTGATATCAAACAAGCCATGGTGCATCGCGAAGCGGAATCAAAACAAGCAGATAGTTGTATCTGGCACAATAAAAGGGAGTGACGGTGTGGTATGGGCGAAGAGGATCTAGCAACGTAGAATAGGAGGCTTCTGTCCGGGCGAAATCATAGGGTGTGCTGATTTCAGCCATAAGTGCTAGAATGGAGGAATTTTAATCGATGACTTGTCACTTACTGAGATGGTATTAGTTCAGTCAACCTTCTCAATCAGGCGGGGTGTAAGTTATGATTGCGCGAGAGAGAAAACAAGAGTGAGAGTCGGTCGAATTTAGTGAGAAACGTATTAAGAACACGGGTACACGCAGAATCTCAGAATCGAGTGGAATCTGGAAGGGTTGCCGCGTGTGAGGAAAGCAAAACAACCCAATGGATGAACTCATGGCTGTCCCGTGAAAGAAAAGCACATGGGAATCAACAGCAAGGACCAAACAAGAGCCATCGATATACCTAAGGATCATGATTCATGAAGGAATTTCAGTTTCATACGATACCGAACTGGATTGGTATGGATTGAGTTATCATCTCAACATGGCATCCAAATCCTCCCCGAGGATCCCTGAAGTCATCTTGATCCACCGAACCGTCTCCTTCTCAACCGTCTCATTGTCATCCTCCTGCAGTTCACTGATCACCGGCAACAGCTCAGCCAGCAACAACAGCCACTCCTCTCCTAGCCTTTCAGTCAGTGCTTGCTCGCACTTGACCGCCGCAAGTCTCGGAACGATCAGGATTGACCGCAGATGCTGGATCAGACGGGAGTTGATCTCTTTATGATGGTCCGGAGAGGCCGCCGTAACAGCCAACTCAACAACAGTAGGAATGACATCCTCGTTCAAAATGCTCGGTGGTGCCCGGGTGAAAAGATCGAGAAGCGGATTCATGAGCTCTTTGAAATGGGCGGGCGCTTGCCAGAAGTCATCCTGGTCATGTTCCAGATTCCTTTGGAGAGCTTGCATCACGGCCTTGACCAAAGTGGCTCCTTCATCCGTGTTTATCGGGGCAATCTCTAAAAGCTTGGATACCGGTTCGAGAATATAGCTTGCGTAAGAGGTCATGAGACTCTTCAAACTCGCGAAGAGGGTCTCAATGAATCGGAAGACCGTTGTCCACCGTGCAATCCGAACCTCGTCGCCCTCGAGCGGGGCATTGCCCCATTCGATCATCTGTGAGAAGAACGGACGGAATGTCGAATCATTGACTTTCATGGTCATGTCCATAGCCACGTCGACAGCCAGATTTTCAAGCTTCTGGATCTCCGCGGGACGGGTGTTTCTAGAACGACTAGCGCGAAGGTTGAATGCCTTCAGAAGAATGCTGAAGAGCACAGCGCTATTCTTGATAGCTATCGCATTTGGATGATGCTGTAAAGTCGTCTGAAGCAGACCCAACTGCAGTGTCGTTGCCTAAATTCGTCAGCAGGGAACTACCAGTGTCAAATAAACGAAAACTTACCTCCAGATTTGAGCTCATGGCGTCATTCATTGTGCGATCTATCGCTTGGAACAGTTCTCTTGCATCCACACGCTGAGACAAGACTTCCAAGAAATGCTGCCGCATATCGACCTCTTCTTTCGTAAGTGACGCAGCGGACGAGGCATGAACCAGACCCAAGATTTTGTCAAGGATACTGCCGGCAAACAAGAAGGCAGCGTGCTCGCAAAGAGAGATAAGAAGCATGTAGCCCGGAACAAACAGCGAGTTTGGCTCGTTGCCATCCGCTTTCAAATACTGATGTAATGCCGACAGGACCTCGGGCGCCAAAGAGATGAAGTCATCACGGAGAACCTCAACGCACGAGGACAGGCACAAAAGAGCAGCTGTTCGTACTTTGGGATTCGCAAGTCCCAGTGCATCCTTTCCAGCAATCACCTGAGCAGCACTGGCGACAGCGTCTGGGCTCATCTTGCCGAACCTTCGAATGATCTGATCGATGCAAGCAATGGCGTACGTCTTTGACTGCACGGATTCCATGGAGATAATTGTCGCGATCTTCGGCACGAAGGCCACCAGCGAGCGACTTGAGCTGCGATCGGATTGGTTCAGCCGCCTCACTTGCGCATCGATGCTACGGAAGAGGATCGGCAGAATTTCAGCACCGTCGCTATCTTCCTTGGCCCTCTGCAGCAACATGTCAGCAGACTTGATGAGGTCACCGGTTGGCAGAAGTCGGAAAACTCCTGCGAGCGCTTTGCTGCAAGCCGTGGACACATCTGTGCTGCGTCGACATGCCTGGTTGAGCTTGATTGCATCCGTAATGAGATCAGAGAAAATCTCATGCTGGCCGGACACTGGTTTGCCGCTCTTTTTCAGACGAGCACGGAAGCTCTCATTGTCGACCAGAGCACTCAGCATATGGAGTAGGCCAACAAGGGTAGAGTCGAACTCTTCATTCGTCTTTCCTTTGATGGCCAGAATCGCCTCCAAGTCTCCGGGCTGATGCATAGCAGCGTCACAAAGCAGCTTTGTGTAGCGTCCAATCGTCTGCAGTATGTTAGCTTGTACTTTACCATACAGGTGTCTATGCAAATTACTCACCTCCAATGCTTGATATGGACCAACGCGTGCTAGAAGTGAAGAACAGAATGAATACACTGTTTCATCTTGTGGATACTTCTCTGCAAGCATTGCAATGATTGCATGGAGTGATTCGGCGGGACCAAGATTCAAGGCTAGATTTTGAAACAGATCTAGGCGTCTATGCAATGGAATATGCTCGAATGCTGCTGTAAAGCTGTGCAAAAGGCTCGAGGCGCCCTGCACGATCCCCACGTTAGATCTCTGGAGAGAGATGACCAACGGTGGAACGATCTGACGCAGAATCTGCTTGATGACGTGAGCAGAGAACTCGTCGCTTTGTCTCAAGATCGTATGTCCCATGAACGTGAATATGGGCATGACGTTTTGCAGGACCACCTCTGGATTCCATGACGCAAGATGGGTAACAAGAACAAGTGCATTCGTTTGCACCTGCGGGTTGGACGATTTTCGCAAGCAATTGACAAGCGTGTCCATTCGCACGGAGCTTGGATCGTCCAGCTTGAACTTCCGATCCGAAAGCCGCTCGACAATCCCCTTGAGACTGTCCATGGTCAGGACCTGTAGGAAGACGAGATCGGAGTGGACAGTGGATGATAACGCTAAGAGCTCATCCAACACGGAAAACAAAGCTTTGAGTAGACCTAGGAGCTCGGTGGTGGAAGCTTCCATATTGGCCAACGAGCTATGTAAGTATTCGAGGACAAAGCTAAACTTCCTCAACACAGTGCTGGTCTCGGAGTGAGACTGTCGGGCACCATCACCGTCGCTAAGCCGAGCTCTCTTCCTTCGATGTTGGCCAGATGGAGTCTCTGAATGACGTAGTAAACTCTCCACAAGGTCCAATATCACGACGGTGGGGATGGACAGCGATTGGAACTTCTCGTAAGCATGGGCTGGCAACTCTGGAGTCTGCACATCCTCGGTAATGATCAACTCGAACATTGCATTTGCGAATCCACCTTTCACCGAATCGGACATCTCTCTCCAAAGAGTCTTGATGCGCTCGAAAACGGCCGCTGCTGTGTCTGGCCGCAGTCGAGACGTTGGCCGGATGAGCTCCAGAAGGAAAGCTAGCGCAGTCGGGTCTCGGAATGGCACCGTAGCAAAATAGGCGTCGGAAAGCTCTGGGACGCTCGACCCCTGTTCTTCTTCCACGGCACTCACGGCGGAGGGGGCGAGCTCAACCCATTGCCTCAAAGCCGGTTGGATAACGGACTTATGAGCGGTTATGCCCGGCTTACCCGGGTTTCGCAGGAATTGGAGAAGCTTTGTCCGAATGTGTAGGAGTGGCGTCGCAACCGCGTGGCTGCTGAGGAAGTTATATGTGGCGGCGAGATGTGCAGGCTTGAGCCTCGGACTATGGCTCGGCTCGGATTGCCTTCCAAAGATAGAGATCAGAGCGTTCGAAATAAGATCCCGATCTAGGATGCATTCCTCAAGCATTGGTACGAGTTGGTCGTTAAGGAGCTTCGAAGCTTCTTCCGTAGAAAGCGACGACCAAGCTGATTGGGACCGACTATACACTGCATCAAACGTCCAAGGGGCAACCATTGTTGATGCCTTGGCCGACGACAAATAAGTGTATGTATCGGCCAGGTCCTTAAGAAATGCAGCAGCGGCTTCTCGAACAATCCTGGACGAATCGGTGAGTGCGAGTAGCAGATACGGAACCACGATCTGCACAGAGTTTCCGAGATGTGCAGAACTAGACAGCCACAACTTCCCGACCGCAAGGGCAGCTTGCTTGCAAGACGGATGCATTTTTCCAGTCCATATCCGGATAAGGAAGGTGATGAACAGCATGTTGTTCAATTCGTCATTGGGCCAAAACAACGGGGCCTCACAGAGTTGCTGAAGCCGATCGCTATCCGTGTAGACCTGTTGAAAGAGTGCCTCAAAGGTATCGAGCGTTTCCGAGCTGTAGGTTGACAGGAATGATCGGGTGTTCGCCTCTGGGACGCTTGCAAGCCTTTCAGAGAGTTCATCGCTGGGTAGTGCGGCTTGGGCCTCAATGGGTAAGGGGTCAACCTCCATCTCAACGACTTCGGCAGCATCGCCGAGAATTTGCGTGAGTGTAGCCTGCTCGATCTCCCCGACGCTCAGACCTTGTGACTCCGCGCAATTCCTGATCATTTCGACCCCCGAAGGTTCTTGCGCTATGTGGCGCATGCTCTGTCCGACCTGCTGGCAAAGCTCGGTGTTCCCATCTGGTCTTCCAGATGTCCTCACAGCGTTGATAAGGAGAGAAAGGCTGTTCTTGACAGCGCGGGGTGATATTGAATGCGACTCCACCAACTCCTGGAAGAAAGGAACAACTCGGTTTATCCAGCGTCCGTCGGGATTTGCAAGGGCGGTGGTGATGCAGGCATGCACAAACTTGTCAACGCTAGCTTGCTCCGAAATCCGGTGAATGCTCTGCAAAGGCGCATCTGTTTCGAGTATGAACTTCATTACCGATTTCGGTACTTTCTCCGACTCAATTTCTTCTGCAAGGACCACCAAGCACATCAAACTCTCATCTAGCACATCTTCGGTACTTGCTCCGACAACGGCAGACATCAGCGGCTTGATGACTTTGTCTCCAGGCGCCGATTTGGAGGCTAGGACGGTTGTAATCATAATGCACGCCAGGATCATGTCGGGCGCGTGAGTCAACGCGAAGCCTTCGTTCAACACCGGTATAATTTCAAGAAGGGCGTCCTCCTGCTTCTGTCGGCGAACATTCTCGACCCCAGCTCTTGCGGATTCGAGTCTTCCATCAATCCCGTGGACTATGACGCAGGTCCAGAAAGAGAGCAGTGTGGGGAAGTGATATCCGGTCTTGACGACCTCCAACACATAGTTATTCAGTGTTCTGAAGAAAGAGCGGTTATTTGCAGCTGTGTATTGGATCGCAGTCATACGGGGATTTTCTCGGGCTTGGATGTATGGATAGAGGAATCGTACGGGCTCGGATAAATTCCTTTCGGGTATTATAGATAGGACCAGGGGAAATATGGGAGATTCGAAGTAGGGGAGAAATGCGAACAGTAACCGTTCAGTGTTGTACTCGTGGACCCTATTGCATGTTAGCGCCATATTATACAAATAACCAGTATGCTGTACCTGAATCGCCTCACGAGCCACTCGACGCATTTTAGACCTGGCTTGAGTAACAGCTTTGATGATATCCGGATCAAAAATGTCGCCAAGGTCTCATTCAATTGAGACTGTTCTTCCGCATTCATTTGTGTTCGATCCTCGACCTTGCTTTGTTCGCTAAAGAGGGTCTCCCGGTACTCTCCAAAAGTCCTGTCCAGGGCGCATATCTCTTCGAAGCCTTCTATGCATATTTGGAAGATAGTGTTGAAGTCCTGTTTCGCGGCGACTTTCGGCTCGAACAGGAAAGATTTGGAATGGCCAACTTTCTGAGCCTTTAGGTCAAGTTGGCGGGTAGAGTTCTGCGCAATTTGCGCGAGCTGCTGTTGGAGTGAGCTCGGCATATTGGGCCAATTCAAGGATTCTGCGGTGGTTGAACGAGAGGCTCAACGCGAATCTTTCGGTAGCAGTCGAATGACAACTACAACTATCCAAGAATATACATCAGGGCAAACGCTCAGAACCGAGGTAACAGCGTGTACAAGAAATAGTGTTGTGGCCGTAGGTTATAGTTATGACGGACAAGACAGAAATTTTGGAGCATCGCCATCTCAAAATTTCGAGATTTCGAGATTTCGCGATGTCACAGAAACCGCGAAATCTTGGCGTTGCAGGGATCCGGTCGTGCCTTCCGTTTCGTCGGGTCCCTCCAGCCACTTTTTATTCTCCAGCCACAGGAGCCACACCCAAACCCCTGTCGGAACTAAACCTCACTGGAGTCATCAGTGACTCCGAGTGTTTCGTTTCTCCAGCTCCTGTCAATGTCGCGTCAGTTAGTTATATTTCAATATTCGATGGCTTCAAAAGTGGCAGACTATTTATGGTAATGCGCGCTTCATGGCCGGTGTTGATAGGTCTGTTTTCGTGTGTGGTTGATCCTTCTTTCTTATCTCGAATCGACGTCTTCTTCATTCTTTAGAAGAGCTAGATTAACGATGGAATCACGTCTATCACGAGTAGCCAGACAATGGCTGTGGAGGCCAACATCAAAGGTTGCCCAGCTTAAGGGTTTCTCATACTGCTCTCGTTTCATCGCACAGTTCCACCGGCATGCGTCCTCAAGAGCATACAGTTCGGCCACGCAAAGGCCATTTCGAGCAGCCATCATTGGCTCGGGCCCGGCAGGCTTCTATACTGCTTATCGGGTGATGCAGAGAATTGAGTCTTCTGTCATTGATATGTATGAACATCTTCCGGTGCCATTTGGTCTGGTCCGATATGGCGTTGCACCAGACCACCCAGAAGTCAAGAATTGCCAGGACAAATTTGAAGAAGTGGCCGATTCGGCCCGGTTCAACTTCATCGGCAACGTAGATGTTGGCCATCAGATCTCCCTATCAGCTTTAGCACCACACTATGATGCCATCGTCTTTGCTTATGGGGCTGCGAAAGACAATAAGCTCGACATCCCGGGAGAGCACCTGAATGGGATCTATTCTGCCCGCGAATTCGTCGGTTGGTATAATGGCCTCCCGGAGTTCGCTGACCTGAATCCACGGCTTGACAATGGCGAACAAGCGGTGGTGATAGGTCAGGGTAATGTCGCTCTGGACGTGGCCAGGGTATTGCTCACCCCCCCAGATCAGTTACGAGGGACTGATATGGCGGAAAACGCCATTGACACGTTATCACGGAGTCGGATAAGAAGCGTGAAAGTTGTCGGCAGACGAGGCCCAATGCAGGTACGTCCGTTACGCCTATGACCCGGCACCGAATCCCATGTTAACAATATATCCAAAGGCGTCATTCACAATTAAAGAACTCCGCGAACTCCTTCAGCTGCCTTCGGTATCGTTCACTTCTATACCACCGCATCTATTGCCCCAGGATCCAGCTAGACTTCCTCGCCAATCGAAACGTCTTATGCAGCTCCTTGCGAAAGGCTCGACGAATCATGTATCCTCAAAGAATTGGGACCTTGACTTTCTCATGTCTCCAACTTCGTTTCATCCGAGTCCAGGAAATGCAGAACAGCTAGCCAGTGTATCTTTCATGAAAAATGAGTTCAGATCAGGCGCTGATCCCCTCGACAAGAGTGCTCGTGTTCAAGCATTAGTTCCCGGTGATGACATTCCTGCGTCGGCAGCTTTCAGGTCGGTTGGGTACAAGTCTCTGCCATTGCCGGGAATGGACCATCTTGGTGTTTCATTTGATCTGGGAAGAGGAATCATCATCAATGACGGCCTTGGCCGTGCAATTCGAGAATCTGCCAGCGATCACGAAGCCTTTACAGCCATCCGCGGGGTGTACTGTGCTGGTTGGGTCAAACGAGGACCTGTCGGTGTTATTGCTAGCACCATGCAAGATGCATTCGCCACAGCCGACTCGATAGTCGAGGACTGGAACCAAGGCTTGCTGGAGGATCCAAGTCCAAACGGCGCAAGGACAGGATGGGAAGCCGTTCGGGAGGCGGCCGAAAAGGCAGCCTGCAGACCAGTCAGCTGGTCTGAATGGAGGAAGATTGATCAAGTTGAGAAAGAGCGAGGCCAGAAGTCGGGAAAACCTAGGGAGAAGTTGACAAGCGTAAAAGAAATGCTCGAAGTGCTAGACGGATAACTAGAGCAATTTGAGGGGCCAACCGTTCGCTTCCTTCGCAGAACTGATCGGGTATGCCAAGGCAATGGGGAAGATATGCTGCAATGCTGCGCATACGTGGATAATGATGAAAGATTGGAAAATGGCCCCTCCCTGCGCCTGCGGAACGCCTCTGTCCTGCCACAAATACCTTTTCTCTACTGGAGCGAAATAGCGAGGCCTTGACGAACTTGCTCTCATCGCCCAACCTGTACTCAAATTAAACTACATCTAGCACAGTTGCCGCTCGAAGTTGGCGGCAACACGGCACTGCATCAAGTTCTATGATAAAGTCTCTAAACACTAGTTTCAAGAGTTTAAGGTCAGAAAAGGCTTTTGTGAGCACACTTTCCTCTCCGACCGTGGACTACGGGGCAGTCGATCCTGCCGTTGGCGATGTTGGTTGTCACAAGCCACATATCCGATTAGCACCTTGACACCTCCAAGAGCTTTATTACAGTGTGCAGGTACGCTTCAAGGCATCGCCGAGGTGTGTCGCATCCATTTTGCTCCATCCATTCAAGTTTCAATGGTTACCTGTCCGCTCCAGCCTAGCTCTCCATACTCTCCCACTCTCCTGAATAGAGATTCCATCAATCTCTCTTGGGAAATCATCCTGGATGACCTATTTGCAATGGGGCTGTTCCTAATGAGGCATCAAATGAGGATCTAGTGGAAAGATCCACCGCCGTCCAAGCGGAAGACTTGCGTTACCGGTCACGATGATGAGTCCCCGGAATGAACCCCCTATGCTGGGGGAAGAAATGGAGGTTCAATGTCGTTTAAGAGGAACCCTTTGCCCCGTGGTCAAGGAAGCGAGGCAAGGGAAGAGCAGTCTTCCGCAAGGATCGTACATTCCCAAATTATTAATCTATATACCATAAGTATGTCCATGAAAACGAGCCTTTATGATTGGTGCTTTTGTGCAGTAGACTGCGTACAATATAGCGCAGATATTGTGTCATAATAATTGGATTACAATCCAGCAATCATTATTAACATCCACTTGCGCTGTTCCTATGCCCGCCTTGCGCTAAAGACACCGGTCTCCGGCCTTCCAGTCTCGCGTCGTTTAAAACAAGAGACATGCCACAATCGCACCAGCCACAAGAGCACCCGCAGCTTGGTGTGCAGGCGGAGCACCGTCTTGGGCAAGTGAGGTTGCCGCACGCTTCCCTGGCTCAATATGAGCGTTGGTAGTTTTTGGAGTAGAGTCCTCTGAGTTATCGAGGGTTCCCGAGGGCTGTTCTTGATCACGAGGGGTGTTGGAAGATGGCAAAGCAGAATCTTCCCGGCCAGGCTTGGTTTCCTCACGCTTCCTTAAGCGAGGAATAGTGCTATTAAATGCCGGCTGTGTGGTGTTCGATGCCGGAATGGTGTCATTAGATATCGGAGGAACACCCTGTGGGCACGAGATTCTCTGGCGCTTCCCTAGTTGGGGTTGATTGGTGTCAGATGCCTGGGCACCTGGGCACCGAGTGGAGGTTTCCGGACGCTTCCCTGGCCAAGAATAGGTGGCATTGGACGGCGGAGGGGCGACTGGGGGAGTTTCCGCCGCGGGCGTTTCCACCGGATGTGGCTCCACGGCCGATTCCACTGGATGTGACTCCACGGCCGATTCCTCTGGGGAGACTGGCGGCTGGAGCGGTGAAGACTGTGTTTCGTTGGCCGGTGGACGAGAGGAGACCTCTGGCGGGCGAGAGGAGACCACCGGAGGACGAGAAGAGATATCTGGCGGGCGAGAGGAGACCACTTGCGGACGAGAGGAGATCTCTGGCGGGCGAGAGGAGACCACTTGCGGACGAGAGGAGTCCACCGGTGGACGAGAGGAAAGCAGCGGATTTGAGGAGAGCGGCTGGGGACGAGACTCTATAGCCTGTCCAAAAACCTCGCCTGTTAGAGCGAGGAGGACGAATGCGAACTTCATATTCAATATAACGTTGCCGATGTCTGGCTTGAAAGGAAATACGTCTATACGCGACGGATACAATAGACTCGTAAAGACGGAGTCTCTGTTGGATAGGCAAAGTAGGAACTGAAAGAGACGCGTTTGGACTGGGGGGGAAGCTGGGAGTAAATAGCATAAAGTGTGAGGAAGTGTGAGGAAAAGGGATAGTTACACCTACAAGACATGGAGCGAAGCTCATGACCGAATCAAGCTCTCATACAAACTGGATTGAGTGGTACCATGACGAACCCACAAATTACCAGTGTATCCAGTATGTGTACCACTGACTGGATCGTCTAGCCCTGTCTGAACATCTTCCAGCGACTAAGCAACCCAATGCTACCTGAAGCATGCCAACTGAGACTTAACCGGAGAGAGAACAGGTGAAGTGAACCGTATGGCTGCGGATAGTTGAGGCCTTGCCATGGGTATCATCGGGTACGGATTGATGGGCAATATGACCTTATAGATTTCGCAGTCCACAGCGGCGAGTAAGTGCCCGCGGGACAAGCTCCTGAAGGGTAGTAGGAGTGTATGACGTCGTGTCGACTTGTCGACTTGTTGAGATGTTGAGATGTCGAGATGCCCCAGAACCATAACCATAACGCAGCGTTTGATGTCGAAACAGGAAAGAACATAGCTAGGTTGGAGTAACTACCGGAAATAAATGGTTTCCACATGTTACGCCCCCTATGGTAAGTTAACTTATGGCTCTGCTCACGCACAGCTTTGTTCCAACCTTCCAACATCTCTCCTTTTGAAAATCATTGCTGTACTACATTCACCACAACATGAAGAGCTTGAGGGCACCCCCTTCCGCCTTTGATGTCCGTAGGAAAAGTAAGATTCGTGGTCGACGAGACTCTCCGTACTCGTCGATCGGGCATCTGACTTCTTTGCAAGCCTCCTCAAAATGCGACCGTTGCGTCGCCGCCATGCTCTTTCAAGACCAAAATTGTCTCCTCTGATCGTAGTTAACGGCATAGGGAACATCTCCCGCTGGCTTGTGCGGGTGCCGTTCGCGTCATGGATGATCCGTTCGGGAAGTGGACGATACGTGGGCCTCCATGTCTCATCTCATCTCCGCAGATACGGCCTAGATTGGGGGATCAGGTATCCAGCTCCATATTAATTATGTTCCTGGATTACCAAATGTTTCCGAAATGAGTTTAGAAGTTCGAAGTTTGTCGTGTTGACAAGTTGACATGGGAAAGCTGAAGTTTAGTTTGCCGGCTGAAAGCAAAATGTGGGGCCTGGTGACATCGCGAATTCGTGATCGACTGGAGCATGTTGACAGCGTTATTACCAGTTCATGTCGCCCTTTGTAATACTTACCAGTTGGCAGTTGCTTCGATGCATGGTGATCGTTGATATAAGCTTACAGACACCTCGAATTTCGAGAAACATGGCAACGACGGTAACCAGGCGGGGACTTGGAGAGCCAGGAGCAGGTAATGCCAGACAGCCGAACAAGGCGGACGTGTCCATGGAACATTCGGGCATGGAATAAACATTGCGCGGGCACACAGTGCAGCTATGATAAGCCTTGGATTCTTTTGGTGGCGGTGCAAAATACCTGCATGATTCGGACGACATCTCTGTGCTATCCTGGACACAGCACGCGACACCATTCCAATTGACACCGAAGAGTGAAGGGGGAGCAATGTTGATGCCTTTTGACAGGCCTCCTATTGTGGCATTGAACGCATTGAGTACATACAGCCTGTGAGCAAAAGATACCGGTTGTCGACTTGTCAGTCATCGTCTTCATCGCTGTCCGCCTCCCAACCTTCCACATATTCTTCCCGAAGACCTTCCAAGCCGTTCGAGAGCGTCTCACGTTCAGATAGCTCCGCTGCTCTTCGGGCAAGGATGGAGAGTGACCGAAGCCTCGTGGCAACTTCGTCCGTCACGGACAATGACGTCTTCACTGCGAGACTTCGCTGGTCTGCTAATTCCTGCTCGAAGATGGTTGGATAGCTGTCGAGGATAGGGAATGGGACTGAGCTCATATGTCTGTAAGCAAAAATCAGCATGTGTAAGTCTCGGGTGTCCGTGTTGTCTGTCGCCCATGATAGTCAAAGCCCCCCTGAAGTGGTGTCCCGTCGGTAATATAGACTAGAGGAAGGAGGACTTACCGAACAACATTCCCATTACCATGTCCGTTGGCCACATCTAGGGTCTTATCTTCCCAGTCGCCGCGGATGCACTCAACCTTGCCAAAGACATGCTCCGTTTTGTGGCCTACCCTTTGTCTAGCGGTGACCGCCAAGGGAATTTGGTCTCCCCAAAGTGTTATATCGGCCCCTTCATGAGTGCTGAACGCCAATTTAGCAGCCTTTCGTCTTCCACTCCAATCTAACTGCGTTTCCATGTCAACCATCAATGCTTGTCCGCTTGATCTCTCCCCTAGTCTTGTAGGCAAGGAGAACGATTCGATAGCAGCGGCTTCAAGCGCTGCAACCCGCCAAGGGTGAAGGCCGATTCCGAATCCTGCATGCTGTGCAGAGACAGGAACAAACATAGACACGTGTGGGCCCATTTCGAACATGCAGCGTGCTGTATTCAACGCAGACTGAGTCCGAGCTGCCGCTGTAGCATCTATCCTCTCCTCGAGTCCCCAAAGCCATAAGGATGTTTTGGAGCCAATTTCATCTCGAATTCTTTCGACCGCTTTGATTGAAACGTTCCCCCAGGCATCATTAATCGATGTAAAGACTTGGATGCCCTGAGGCAAATCACATTCTTCCAGGAATGAACGGAGGGCTTCCCCCTCGAACCCATCCGGAGAGCTATCTAGCTCTGCCCAGATATCTTCCCCAGACGACCAAAGGGAGGTTTTCTCTTGCGTCGATCGCCCCAGGTCACCCAACGCGGAATTCGAAAAAAGACCAGGAAGTCGACCACCGGGAGATTGATTGGGGCCGCGGAAACCTGGGATGGTAATTTGATGTAGTGTGCGGGGATGAAAGTATACACGAAGATAGTCAGACCAATACCGGACGGTTGAATCAGTTAAAAGGGAAGGGGTAGTAGTCCCTTGGTCAAGGGCTTGGGAATATGGCGATGGCGAGATCGACGGTGCCGTAGATTGTGTCGCCGTGGAACCATGCCTGTGTCAGGTTAGCAAGATTGCTATACTTAGTTCAATACCCGGCGGAGTTTCCAAGAACGGGCCGTTGAGGAATGGCACATAGCACTACTGTCTCTGTGTTCCATAACCTCTCCTATGGTACTACTCACCAAAGCTGCAGTCTGTTGCCGGCCTGCGATGGATTTTCGACTTCATAAAGCGCATTTACTTGCTTCAAAGATCCGAAGTTGTCTTTCAGATCGTAGATGAGCGCACGGGGGAGATAGGTATCCGACCCATCCGCACCAACTCCAGCCTGGAGCAACCTTCAGTAAGTTAGAGTAATCATCTGAACACGAGTGTGTGACCATACCCGAAATGATATATCGTGATCTACTGCAGGCTTCTCATTTCCGTCGTTGGCCTCGTACGTGAAATACGACTCCTGAGAAGAAATTAGTTCTGGTTTTGCACATCCAAGGACGAACCTACTTGGGTATTCCAGTAATGAGCACCGAGATGATTGCTTGCAGAGCCTAACTGGACCGTCAAAATCTCGTGCATCGCGACAATTCTGCGATATCAACACGCGTTGAACGGAATTTATTTCAGTTCCCGGTGTTGAGTGTACTTGATATCAACCGAACTGGGAGTTAAGAGAAGCCTCGTCATGGCCAGTGATCTCAAGCTGGCACATTTGATTGGTTACCAAAAACCACCAGTACCGTTGATCAGGTACTCAACGTCAACGTCAATTTGGACCGCAGTGGAACATAGTAACGTAAAATAGACTTTACTTGGTGTAGACTATAAGAAAAAGGCTAAATTCGATTGGAACAGCGAGCTTGCAACTCCGGCAATGATACTGTAAACTATACAGTCTTTTCGGTTGACTCCCGCTCCATGTCTGTGGACCGCACCTGGGAGCACTCTCCACATACAAGTACCGGTAAGTCTCTATCTAACGTGGTATTCATTTTCTAACTTCGAAAACATTGCCCCTATAACTTCTCCTTCTTCGGTGCTGGTCTCAGAATGCACTGTTGTGTCATATTGGCCACTAACTTCGTCCCTGTCTCATCAAAGAGCCTCGACTCGGTGTACGTCCTCGCATGATCGGCAACCATCGTTCGCCATTCCCTGAGGTGCCACTTACTGAGGTCGATTTTAGTGACGTATAGTCTTAAGGCGAAGTCCAGCGTCGAGCAAGGACCGGTTTCATCGAACCACATGCCGCTATGCGCCAACGGGATGAACGACAGCGCCCCGTCCATCATGAATGATAGTCCGCACACGTTCTCGGCTTGGGTTTGGGTCGTTCCAATGTGTCGAAAATAGTCGGCCGATGTCTTCTCTGTAACATCCAAATCATCCTGGCTAGTCTTCAACCACTTCGCCGCCGCCCCAAAGTTCTGGCCCATGACTCCTTCTGGCGCGGCGCGCTGTTCGAATTCCAGTTTCTTGATCAACCCGAATCCCTTCTTCAGTCCTTCTGATACTCCCGGTGGGAGTAATCCCTTCTCTTCCATCTCCAGAGCGGTTTGATCATTGGGCTTGCATATCTCGACCGGAGAATATTGCCTGAAAGGCTTAACGGAATACTGGAGCATCGTCTCCGGTTCAGGGGTTTGGAAATCCGCAATCATGATCATCACCTTCCGCTCATTCTTCTCCGGCTTTTCCTTCGCGGCCCTCGCGAGGGTTTCGTAGGGGAGAGCCTCGGTGCTTTGGCTCAAGTCGATGACGCGAGTTGCAAATGATCTCGTGTCGCGCACGCGTCGGACTCGCGCAATGAACGGCCGATCAATCAATGAAGGGCCCAAGAAGCTTCCAGTTGCAGAATAGAGGGCGTAATTTGGGCCGACGGTTTGGAAGGCGGCGTGAAGCGAGGCGGAAATGGTACAGCCGCCGTACGCGATGCTCTTTGAGTTGCCCATCTGATCCGGAGGAATCACACTGATGAACTGATCATCTCCAATCGGCCGGAAAGCCAATTGGGTGCTCAGCGATTTTGGTGCCGGTTCCACGCTTTGGGCAGCCATCTTGATGAGGGATTCGAGATGGATTCGATAAGGACAGAGCGAAATTAGTCCAAAACTACCGGATCGATAAAAAAACTTCCCCGTGACTTGGAAATATATGTAAAGGTATGTATAACTTGTATGGAAAATGTCAAATATATTAAATTCACGGCTGTATGTCGCGAGTTGCCGTGACTGAAGTTCGGACAGAAAGGTTGCTCGAAGGGGCTGCACCAATTACCCAATGAGAAGCCACTAATGGGCCGAGGGACAAGTTGGAGATGGGCGGCAAGGAGCCCATTCCAACTGTGTTTCGGTTAATATCTCAGCAACTTGAACCTTCTTGATTACTATTCACGCTTCATTTTTCGCACCGTATCGGTTGATGAAATGATGTTAGCCGGCCATGAGAGACGAATCTCGTGCCACAACAGCCGGTCATCTTTTCATGGAGAAGCTGAGCTTCCTCAATCCTCATACAGTTGCAGGGCTGGGGTTACATAACCCCATGGAGTTGGATAGCATACACTGTGCGACCAGGCCTTTTGACCGGGAGTGGTCGGGCTGGTCTACGATGGCCGGCCTGGCGAATAAGTGAACGTCATTACATTGCTATATTCGGTACATATTTCGAAGTTGGGGAAAGAAGTATCGAACATTCTAAAATCTATATCCGCTTCACGGTGGCACCAAGCTCCCTCTTCATCCGCCGCCGATACTGGTCCCTGAACTGTACACGCTTAATAGTTCCGAACCCAACGGCCGCAAGAAAAGCGGCGGTCCATACAAGTGTGATGATGAGACCAGTAGGGAAGATGCCCAGAGTCACGCCTGGCAAGATAAAAGGCGTCGCGGTCGCAGCCAGCGCCGATGCTGAAGCTTGGGCAGCGGGATCGATCGTGCTCGCGCCCTGGTTTGCGAAGACGCCGGACACAAACCCCGCTTCGGTACTGGATAGTGTGGTATTAACTACAGCCTGGGTGACGGGGTTGGTCGCCATTAGAGTGATCTCTGGAACGAGCAAAGGCTGGAGTTCAGGTCTAGATGCTGCATGAGCGATAGTTCTCGAACTAATGGAGTGCGATACTTACAATGTCATCGCTGGGCCCATCAAATTGCGGTTGATCATACCAACATATGTCAGAACCTTCAATTCCGACCCAACAGACCCTCCATCAGATGTCACTTGTCTTGACCGAAGATTCACAGCATTGCCAAGAGCATCCAGAAAGATGACATCCTCTCTCTCCGCTTGTCTCTTTCCCTTGATCTGCCTCATTCCCATCGTACTCTGCACTGTTGCACCTAAATATCGCAACGCAACACTGATGTCTGCGGCCGAGACACCAACCCACTCGTTGACTGGTACGCTAACGTTGAATATTCGGAGCTCGGCCTGAAAGACACCGGTGGCTTGATCCAAGAATGGCACATTGTAACATACGGCCATCCCGGCAGAATTTGATGCTTGACCATCCAGTGCACCAACGGCGTTGGTGCATACCGGCTTCGTCTCTTGATTCCACTTGTCCATGTCGAAATCTGCCGCGGATCCTCCTTGAGATGGAGGTGGTTGGAGAACATCTTCCGAGGTTTGACGCTTTGCTAGAGAGTTGAAGTATTTAAGGACATCGCTTCGTACTCGGCTGCGTTGGCCGGCATGGCGAGGATAGGTGTGAACATCGCCCCAAGTTGCGGCGCTGGAGGCGATGGCGGCGACCGCGGAAGACAGCACTGCGGCAAACACGAGTCTCATAGCTCGCACAGCCGAGATAATGGTTTAGGTATTATGGATTTTGTTCTGGTCCAGCCGGAATTTGGCAATATTTATTTGTAGGCTCAAGGCCGCACAGCAGCTTGATAGCGAAGGTGAGAAGGTAGTGACCGAAGGAACGACTGGCAAGGGAATCTATACAAAAGTCCTCAAAACGCTGAGGGAAAAGGGAGAAGAGTAAACGGAGGTGGGAAACAGCAGGTGGACTTGGTAATCGAGAACGATTGCATGGTGCCATGACCCTCGCGTGACTTCATACTTCTCGCGCTTGAGAACAACCGATGCAGCGATACTGGCGAGGGTTAGATGGCCGGATCTCGAACACTGCATCCCTCAGGAGCCAGACCGTAAGATCAGTGAGATACAACGAGAAGATATCAAACCCATTGGGGTGAAGCGATACGGATATGTGACGTTGTGGACATCAAAGGGGTCGGCATGATGGCCAAAAGACAAGAAAGTCAGCAGCCTCTGACAGTTGCCAAGGCGGCCTGCAATATGCGCAAGGCGGGTGACCAGGGACAGTCCGAGGCTCTTCGCCTACTTCGCATGGCATTTCATAATAAGATCCTTTTTATGGAATGGTGAGACAGGAACAGAAGGAGAATCTGAGTCGATTTGGAAGTTGTGGCGTTTTGGATGAGAGGAGTGGTGCAGAAATGGAAGATATATCGATGACTAAGCGACCTCACAAGTCACAACCCCTATGGATCCGCATCGCCGTCAAGGCCTAACAGCTCAAACCAATCGGTTTCAGAACCGCCAGATGCGACCAACCTGGAGTTTATCCTGTCGCATCGTTGCTGTTGATCTTGCGCTTTCACACTGCCCTGAGACTCGGTCATTATCATAGGACCGCTATTCTATTTCCAGTACCGCCGTCTCCGTCGTCTCCGCCGTTCATCGTCGGTCAGCAGTCTCTCCAAGCGCGAGATAGCGTGGCAGTGACATAGGCGAATCGCCCACGCCCTGGTGTTAAGGCAAAGTATTTCAGAGACTCGGTTTATGTTACGCCCACTGACGCCGTACGTTGGTTGGCGAAGAAGCGGCGCGATTGAACTGCAGAAATCGTCCTGGATATTATCTGGATGATGGCATCCAATTGCTGAGCCATCAACAGACAGCAAGGGACACAAAGGGCTCACTTGGATGTACTCTATTACGCCCTTAATTTGTCGGGTACGTATCGCGGCCTGATGGTCGCCTCATTTCAGCCTCAGAGGCTCCCATTTTGCAACCTCATCTGGCGCCTGCAACGCCAGATGCAATTGTTCGATCTTAGCACAACGTTGTCCATTCACCTGCGGGATATCCGTCATCACAACGGTCCTGGTTCATTAATTTCTAGCGAATCGCACGGCTATTTAAGCCGGTATCCGACATATGGGGTTCACGAGGTTCGCGTTGTCAGATAGTATTATGTTGACTTTTGAGTGAGGACGAGTACTAAACGTCCACATGGCTCTGCAGCCTTAGTCTTCCACTGCTCACCCGCTCGACCGAGGCGATGGGCAACACTGGCTGGTGTCGGCGATGCAGAACGAATGAGGGTTATGGTGCAGATTTGAAGATGCCAACGCATCAACGGCAGACTATGCATCGTGGCTTCCCATTGGCACACCAATTTCGTGAGGGATGCAGCCAGACAGCGGGCCGAACCAGCGTGACGGCCTCATCGTGCAGAGGAGAGTGTATTTGTACTCGGAGGAATTCATCGAGATGGAATGGCATTCGCGAGTCTACTCTTCTTTTCAGCATTTTGAGCCGTTGAACTGCAACCGACCTCACTTCTCGTTTTTTCACTAGTCATCGTGCATTTCTTGTTTCGGCGTTTTGGTCTTGATGAATTTCGAGCTGCAGTGAGATATACTTAACGGTCTGATTCTCCTACAATTTGTTTGAGCTTGAGCCGCTCCGTACGGCAACTGTGTGGGTTCAAACTCGCTCGAGGCGGTGACGATGCAAAACGCTTCGTGGGGATGGCCTCCGACCACTACACCCCCAAGACATCCGTCTTTGCATGCATACTCATCCATGGCCAACCTCAATCTTCATGGCAACGACTCGAAATGGAGGTGGGGTAACCGTCCTTCCTCTCCTGCAGAGTCCTCGGAGTCGTCTTCGACGGCCAGTCGAAGCTCCACACCAAAGCTTGCCTGGTCCAATGCATCGACTACTTCACTTGCTACCCCAATCACTCCGGCGACATCGCATAGTGACGATTTTGAATCGAGGACGTCTACCCCAACTGCGAGTCGCAGTTCTACGCCGATTGCACCAGTGCCAACGAGACCGATGAGGCCGATATTTTCCGTACCCAACGGCTCCTCATCCACCCTGAGTGGTTCCCATGCCAGTTCGTCTTCGATCTCCGGTTCGCCTCCAGGACGCTTCTTCGCGTCTTCAAGCCCAAAGTATCACCACGAGCATTCGATACCGCATGCTCCTCCAACGCCCAATCCTTTCCAGAACCGAGACGCACGCAAATCGAGTGCTGACATCCCCTCACGGGGTACCCCGCGTGATATTCCACAGATAACGGTTACCATCATTACCCCCACCATCATCCAGGAAATGACCAAACTCATTCCATCCATCCTCATGCAGCTTCGTTGGCATCCGCAGTCACGTCGCTTGGCGTATGTTTGGACCATTCAGAACCCAAAGACTGCTCTACTCCTGTGGATGTGTGACGACATGGAAGCTTGGCGACAAGCTGCTTTTTTCGACCTTCATGATGGGCAGCTTCCCTTCACAGAAGACATGCTCTATAATATTGCGAAAGATCCGGACAAAGTTCTAGCGACCCAGTGGCGAGTGATGTGCAAGGACCTCCCAAGAAATGGAGGGCATGTTGAATATCAAACCGGGGAACCGTTGCCTCTGCATTCACTCGGTCCCTTGTACGGCGAGTGCTCGTCGGACCTCCGCCATTCACACCGACAAATACAGAAAACGCTTGATCGCGTCCGATGGCTGTCCGACAACTCGCCACAAACCGACCGAGTTTATGTGCGGAAGAAGTTGATTCTCCCTCCCTCACAAAGCTCTCAGAGGAAAACCATCCTGGCGCAAATTTCCAAGTTCCGCAATGTTCACCACACTAACCTCGACAAGATTTTCTGCTCGTATGCCCAGAACGATGTGATTGGTTTCGTGACGGAATCCGCGCAGTATGATTTAGAAGAATACCTGCGCTTCTCTTCGTCGACCATGACCGTCTCCGGTTCTCATCCTTGGGTGGCAGATCTAGCAGCGGAAGCTTTGCAACGGCAGAACCGCCTGCTGGGCTGGATCAACGACCTTGCACAGGCCCTGGCATTCTTGCACGATAAGAACATCTCCCACCGCTCTATCCGACCCCGAAAGATTCTCATTTCGTCGAACCGCATCTACTTCTCCGTTTTCGGCGTCGGCGACAACCCATACGTTGCAGCGGCCTGGTCGAGGCCCAATGGCATCAATGGAACGGTTGCCGAGTCCGACCGCCAGGCACAGCATGATTCCGAAACATACATCTACGCCGCACCTGAGATTATCCGCTCACATGAGTCGGGAGCCGGTTTTTCGAGTTCACGAGTCGACTCGTTCAGTCTTGGGTGTGTATTCTTATCGATCTTGACGGCGGTTCGGGGTTACGATCAAGCGGATTTCGCCGTCTATCGTGCAACCGAGACAAGGGATTACAGCTTCCATGCCAATCTGAGCCGCGTCGCCCAGTGGATCCGTCATCTTCGGAATTCCCGCTCGAATGCATCAAGCGGCAGCCAGACGCCCACAGCAAACGGCGTCACGGCGGTGGAGAGGGGGTTTAAATCCCTACACAGTGGGATCATCCAGATCAAAGGCATAGCTGAATCGAGTCAGTCCCAGCCGATCATGATAGGAGCGGCAAACTTGGATGCCGACGTCACGGAGGCTCTCGCGTTGGTTAAGCGGATGATGTCTCCAGAACCATCGAAACGGGACAAGATGAAGCGGAGTGCGGCAGCGTTCGCAGAATGGAACATCGAGAGGCAAAGGAGAAGGGAGAGGCGACGGAACAGCATCAGCAACGTGGTTGGCGACGGGAAGAGGTGGAAAGAATTGGCCGAACTGGAAGCATACTATCGTCGAGGATGACGATTGCTAAATTCGGCTTGCCTTTGTTGGCACTGTTCGCCTGTTTGATTTGACTTAGCCGCATTGACGGAGCATCAAGATCTTCTTTTGGTACTACTGGCGTTTTTTTACATTGGCTTCGGGTCGGCCCATTTGATACCCTAGTGCTTTATTTCTTCGATGAGGAAGGTCATTTTAGAGGTGGATTGCAGACTTTGGGTTATTTAGTGCAGATAATTATTATCTCCATGAATATCATTCATTCCTGTCCTGTCTCGTTGGGGCACCGCTGGCAAGGCTCTAACAATAATGGAGCAATCGCGGCCCTATTTCAACTCCCGACTTGATTACTTGGGAGGAAATTCTTCACCGCCTATAGTTCAGGATACCGGATGCATTCCATATCCTAGTCAATCGTGCAATATATACGAGTATCCCACACTAGAAAGTGCAAATAAGCGCAAGGTTCCCGCAATCGGAGTCACAATGCAGAGCACCGTGGATAGCCGTTCAATTGGGGCATCTCATTGGCCAAGTAGGTAATACAACTCACGCCCTTCGATTGCCTCATTGAGTAACGATCTGACGTTGATACGGACAAAGGCCGGAAGAACTAGTGGGACAATATGAGTCGAGGTAGAATTTGGAGTCATAATTGATCTTGGGAGTCATAAAGGGCTAGAATTAATAAAAGGCTTGTAGGTTTGCCACTTGGATCAGTTTTGTCAAGCCGAGGAGTTTCGTTGACAGAAAGTCAAGCTGTTTGAACGAATACCCCGCCGAGTCTTGCAACATGTCGGTGGTAAAACGAGACAATACTGGCTTCGGTCATGAGTTGAAGAAGGATTTTCTGTTCGATGAACGGTTCATCAATCTGAACCATGGTATGGTATCTCGACACTCCTTCTCAACTCTCGATCGCAGTCCGTGCTTTTGGAAATCGACCATACATATACTCTGCAACTGCGCTAACGCCCCCGATTCCAGGCTCATTCGGCGCATTCCCTCGTCAAGTGCAGGATGTTCGTCGCCGCGAGCAAGAATTCTGCGAGGCCCAACCTGACCCGTACATCCGCTATGAGTCCCCGCTGAAGCTGGATCAGTCTCGGGCCGCCCTCGCGAGGCTGCTGAAAGTGCCAGTGGAGACGGTGGTGTTGGTCAAGAACGCGACGACAGGGATTAACACTGTTCTAAGGGCGTTGACCTTCGCCCCGGGCGACCATATAGTCACCTTTTCCACGATATATGGGGCGTGCGGAAACAGCGTGCGGTACATTTGTGAGACCACGCCGGCGGAATCGGTCACGGTTGACTACACGTACCCTGTATCGGACCACTGGCTGGTGGACGAGTTCAAGAGGAGGGTGAAGGAGGTTGCGGCGAAGGGAGGAAGGGTAAGGTTGGCGATTTTCGATACGGTTGTGTCGATGCCCGGACTGAGGGTGCCGTTCGAGCGTCTGACGAAGGCCTGTAAAGAGCTGGGAGTGCTGAGTTGTGTAGACGCCGCACATGGCGTCGGACACGTGGATCTGGATATTAGCAGGTTGGACTGTGATTTCCTCACGAGTAACTGCCATAAGTAAGTCAACCCGCTCGTAAGGCCATGTATCTCACCCTAAGGGGTGGACTTCTTGATTTGTGTTTTTGCTCTTTTCCACTGCGCCGGGTGCGGTTGCTGATGCCGCAATACGCAGATGGCTTTTCGTCCCTAGGGGTTGCGCAATGCTTTACGTCCCGCTACGGAACCAGCACCTCATCCGGTCTACTATACCAACATCCCATGGCCTCATTCCGCTGCTGAAGGAAGGCGAGGAAAAGCCGCGAAGTCCATTGCCGACTCCGGAGCCGACCAAGTCTGCTTTCGAAGTCAATTTCGAGTTCGTGGGCACCACCGACAACACGCCATACGCCTGCATTCCCGCCGCCATCGAGTACCGCCAGTCCCTCGGTGGCGAGGAGAAGATCCGAGAGTATGTCTTCCACCTCGCGAGGAACGGCGGTCGGAAAGCCGCGGAGATTTTGGGGACGGAAGTGCTGGGCGCGGCGATGGATGCGCGAGGGGAGTCGCGGTTGGGGGACTGCGCTTTTGCAAACGTGCGGCTTCCGATGTCAGTGGCTGCGGTTGAGCAGACGGCGGCACGGGTAACGGGTGGGAAGGGGACTAGTCCTGACCTGAAGGGTACTGCTCTGGCTATGAAAGTCCAGGACTGGGTGATGAAGACGATGATTGCAGATTATGACACGTTAATTCCTCTGATCCTTTACGGAGGGGAGTGGTGGGCCCGGTTGAGCGGGCAGATATACTTGGACGAGCATGACTTCGAGTTTGGGGCGGAAGTCCTGAAGCGGTTGTCAGAAAGGGTGTTGCTGGGGGAGATATGGAGGTGAGTGACACAGGATTGGCCGGTTTGACTTCTGCTAACCATCGAGTCTTTTCGATAGTGGTGAGACAGCGCAAGATTTGAAAGCTAAGCCGGTGGTGACGAGGACGAATGGAGAGAGTCCCGCCAAACCCTAAGATCACCAATACAGATTTGGCCGGATGGACGCTTTGCGAGAAAATCGAACGAGGTCGAGTGCCTGATGTTCAATATCGATAATGCTTTACATGAATGGAAGTTAAGTACAAGGTCCTCGTCAAATCCTGTGACAAGCCACGGAGTCGCGCCAGCAGCCTCCTTTCCCCTATGCGACGTCGCACGTCCAGATACCAGTCCATGTTGCACAGGTGGAAGCACTCGAGTCCTGGGCAAAGGCGCAACCGATTTTGGTGTACTTGGAGCTGGACAGAATATCGTAATGTCCGGTCTGTCCCTCCGTGTTGATCCGGGCCGTGCTCAAAACTTTGCTGCAGAAGTCACTGCCCAACGCGCCGTCGCTCGGGACTTCGCAAAGCCAGCTGTAGTACGACAAGCCGAAGCCGCCCAGGTCCAGCGTATCGCGGTTGCAGGAGGCATTGTCCTCAAAGCCAAAGACCATGACCTGGCCTCCGGTTCCCTTGTTCAGCTTGTGAACGAGCGTGGTGCCTTTGGTGCCGGCTCCCGCATCCGCCGCGTTGGAAACCAGGCTCTCATCCCAGGTCATCGTGGGAAGGCCGGCTTTGTTGCGGAAACTGTTGACGGTATCGATATAACTTCCGCCACTGGAAGGCTGAGACGGCTCGGGAGTCGGTTCAGGAGTCGGTTCAGGAGTCGGCTCGGGGGTAGGCTCAGATGTAGGCGCTGGAGCAGGCTCGGAAGACGGTGCAGGAGCAGGCTCGGAAGACGGTGCAGGAGTCGGCTCAAGAGTCGGCTCAGGAGTAGGCTCAGGAGTAGGCTCAGATGAAGGTTCAGGGGTCCACACAGGAGCGGGAATGAAAGATGGTGCCTCCGAGGGCTTAGGATGATGTTCGACGATGACCGAAGAAAACGATGGCTCGGGAGTGGGAGCCGGGAGGGAGATGGCGCTGCCCGTTCCCGTAACCAGCGGAGGACGAGGACCATGGACCGGATTGAAAGGCTTGAGGTTCATCTCTGGCGCAGCCATGTAGGCTGTCAAGAGCCTGATGAGATCGTCTAGCTTCATGTTTGCGAGTGGGGAAAAAGAGTGACTGGACCGTAATGGTCAATGAGTGTGGTGAAAATGAAGGAATTGGGTCAGAACCTGCCGTGAAGAGAAAGAAGACATAGACAGATAGATTGCCAGTCGGGTTTATACATATACTAACAGGGCCGGAAATTGCTAGCCCTGAGAGATAAAAGCAAAAGGCGGCCCTACTGGACCCATCATTCCAACAAAACGCCACATGGCATGGAAACACCGGCTCCCAGCGCAGAACGAGATGAGGCCGTGAGGTTAATACGATATTGATCAACAGCGGGCAGCGCTAAGTCCCCAAGTCCACTCGTTATCAGCCAGGAACCCCGGCCCTGAAATCGGCTTGATGCCGCTAGCGTGGTTATTGGCTAGAGCGGTGCCACTATGTCAGGTACGGACAAATAGCAGGGCTCGAATGTGTGAAATATGTTTCAAGATTGCATGAAGCTGCCAGCATTGTCATCTACCAATTGCCCAGATCCCGCTAGGGTGGGGCAGGGGATCGAGTCCTTCGGTCCTTTGTCATTAAACTTTCCTTGCAATGTGCACCAGCGAGCCCCATCGCGCAAATTAAGTGAACCAGAAATGGGGCAGAGCGAGTCTGGACAGCCCATCGACTTGATATTCTCTGGGGCATCCCCGAAAAACTAGGCTCACGATCGGACACGATCTCACGATAATACCCTGCAGCCCCTCAGCGGGAGAGCAGCGGGACACATCAGGGAAGATCGACTTGAAGAATGGAAACAGAGCGACAGTTGATCGGGGGACAGCAACGACACGAAACCTCAAGATTTGCTCATTTGCAGTAAGCCGGCCTGTTACCTATATTGGGCTTGCATGGCTGACGTCTCGCGATTCTCGCGGCATAAGCGGACGACAATGACGGCTGGACGCTCCACTTTCCTGTCATGCCGTGAAACGGAGATGCCTGCGGGAAAACCAACAAAGGAACTATGGACTCGTTTCCGTGCATTCTCCGAAATGTTGGGACTTGGGCGTCTCGACCCAGCGGTGGACTGCAGTTTCAAACAGGATGGCGTCTGACACGGCATGAGACCGGATGACTCGAGCGCAAACAAGTGGTCCCGGCAGCCGGCGCTCGAAGCCAAACTCACGTTTAAATAGTAATAGATCGTTTCAAGGAAGGTCAACGATCCAGTTCTTTAAAATGATAGGAGGCATTTTCGAGATGGAGTTTGGAACACGGTGGCTTGGTGGGAGAAATGAAGCAGTGAAGAGAGGGACCAGGTGAGCCCAAGCGTCGTCCGGTTCCAAGGAGATGGGACTGGCACTTTTTGGAGGGGAGACAATTGGACTCTTCATTCTTTATCCTGAGTTCCTGACTGGGTTGCACATCGTGAGCACGTGTAAGAGATGTGAGGTCTCAGGCTTAAAGGCTGTAAGGCTGTAAGGCTGTAAGTACAATTTCAGGCACCAACCATTCGTTTCCCCACGTGATGTCTTTGGATTGAATCATTGTCACGTGAACACAAATGACATCGGACCCTGGCGCCGTTCCGGTTTGGAGTTGGGACACGCATTGTGAATTGCTCCAGTCCAGCCCTTTGACGTCAAGAGTTTGGGATCCCGCTATTGCACCTAACAACGCTCCTCAACCATGGCGAACAGAGGCTACGATGTCGTCGTGGACGTGGATCAAGAGGTATGCTGCGTTGGACAGCTCGGGGATGGTAAATCCTGAATACTAATGCTATCTTCAGGGAGAAGACCTGGGAAGAACGGACCTGCAAGAAGACCTGGAGTTCCACTCATCCAGTGCGTATCTGGACATCACCATAAAGCTCATCGTATGGCTAATCCATCCTAGACTTCGACGAACCAACATCGCGTCGAAATAAGATTGCCCCCGATTCCACTCCGCTGACTGGTGGTCCGGCGAGCAAACCCAAGAGCTTCCTCTGGACACTGTCCTTCTACGCCCAGTTCTTCGACGTCGACACCAACGAGGTCCTAAAGCGCTGTTGGGCCACGCTCTATCCCCGCGCCAATTTCCTTGATGTCCTCGAAGGCAACCCGGACCTCTACGGCCCCTTCTGGATCGCCACCACCGTCGTCATGATCCTATTCTTGACCGGCACCATCTCGCGGTACATCGCGCTCCGAGGGGACGGAAACAGAGTCCAGTATGACTTCCGGTTGCTGAGCGGAGCGGCGGGATTGATCTACGGGTATACGGGCGTCATCCCGATCGGGCTGTGGGGGACGCTCAAATGGTTCGGCAGCGAGTCCGCCAACCTTCTGGAATGCTGGGCGCTTTACGGATATGCGAACCTCATTTGGATTCCCGTGGCCGTTATCTCGTGGTCGCCCATCAGCAGTACGTACTGGGACAGCACGGAGGCGACTGATCATGCTAACGATACCTTGCAGGTCTGAACTACATCTTTGTTGCCATCGGATTTGCACTGTCGGTCTTCTTCATCCTTCGAAATTTGTAAGATCCGAGCCTCTCATGATTAGCGGTAGAGACGACCTAACAACGCCCAGATACCCCGTTCTATCCGCAACCGATGTCCGCACCTCGAAGATCCTCCTGATTGTTGTGGCGGCGCTTCACGCTGGTCTCGCTATTGCTATCAAAGTCCTTTTCTTCGCTCACGGCAGCCCATTGAGAAAGGATGCGCCCAGTGGGGGCGATGACACGGCGCCGGAAGATGCTGTGCGGATGCTCTTCGGTTGATCGATGTCCGCTATTGCGCAGATAGATTCTAGCATACGCCGCCGAGTGTAGGATTAATATGGTACCGTCTTAACTTTCTGTGTAATAGCCTCATGAGAATTTAGCGCGCTCCATGGACAACGCAAACACCTTCTAATAATGATGAAAATATGTCCGATCTTGGAACTGTAGTGTGTGTATATTAGGGTACCAGTACCAGTTGGTCGGAATGAGGTGGGATTGTAATCGCTACTCCGTCACATGATAATAATTTTCAATTAACAAGAGTATCCCAAGGAATATGTCATAGTAACAGTCAGAATAATGTACGTGTACGGCAGGTATTCCTGGCGATTGCTTGGAGGGATGTCATTAATATTGATATTCACGGCATCAATCGGAGCAAATGGTGAAAGTCGCCAACTGAATGATGGAGAACCAGAGAACCCCACTAAACCACCCTCCCCCAAAATTGCATTTGTGTTCCCCATTTTCGACAGTCGTCACTCGTTGATTTCGCATCTACGAAGCCATTAATACCGCTTTTCCAGTACTGGGAATCATATTATTACACTCCTCGACATTTGCGAGCCTCACAGTCGGTCGATCACGTGAAGTTTGCCTTCATAATTTCGTCGAGCGGTCCCACTACGACCGGAGGACTAAGATAACTTTCCTCAATTCCATCATACCTACAGGCGAGACGGACTCCATACGCGACCATTACACCACTTCGATATAGTTTGACGATCATCGACACGAGAAAGCAATTTCCAGATACTCTTAGCAATCATGGCTCCGAAAACAAAAGGGAGCAAAGGTGGTGATGATTGGGATGAAGGTCTGGGGGAGGTCGCCGACCCCATTGCTGCAGCCACCCAAGCAGCAAAGGACGAGGAAGCCGCCGGTGATGCCGAAGAGGGTGACAACACTGGAGGAGGTGGATTACTGGCGGCACTGAAGAAGAACCGGGGTAAGAAGCAGAAGAAGGGCAAGGCTGTTGCCGATTTGGATGATCAGGACGAAGATGGGGACGCCACCGGACCCGTGGATCTGGCATCGAAAGCTCCGGTCGAAGCGAGCATGGACGATGAGGATCTCTATTCCCAACCGAAGAAGGGCAAGGGCGGGAAAGCCGGTGGCAAGTACCAGAAAGCCGAACCGGCCGATGACGATGAGGACGATCAACCGGGCGGAAAGATGAAGTCCAAGAAGGAAAAGGAAAAGGAGAAGAAGGAAAGGGAAAAGCAGCGGAAGAAGGAACAGGTACGTCGGGAAATTCATGAATCTCCATTTTGATGGCCTGAAGCGGATACTAACAGCGTGCAGGCTGCAAAGAAGAAGACTGCCGGACCCATACGAACGCCAGCACCACAACCTGCGAAGGCCGAAGAGGCCAAACCCGAACCTAGTGCAACCCCTGATGTAGCGGCTGGGGGCAAAAAGAAGAAGGTCCCCGCTGCACTGGCTGCCCTTCAGAAACAGCAGGAAGAACGACGTTTGAGAGAAGAGCAGCTAGCTAGATTGGAAGCCGAAGAGAAAACCAAGGAAATCGAACGTATGCGCCTGGAAGAAGAAGAGAATAAACGGAAGGAAGAACAGAAGGCGGCGAAGAAGGCCAAGGAGAGGGCCAAGATCGAACAGCTCAAGAAAGAGGGCAAGTTCATGACGAAGGCACAAAAGGAGGCCGCCGAGCGCAATAAGATCCGAATGCAGCAGATGCTGGAAAGCGGAGGCGCGAAGGTCCTTGGACTGGAGGCGGGCGCTGAGAAGAAAAAGCCCGTATACGACAATCGGAAGCGAAAGGGGGGCAAGAAAGGTGTCCAGGAGAAGAAAGAGGAGCCCGTTGATGAAACCGCCAAACAGCTCGAGGAGACACACATTGAGGAACCGGTTCAAGAACCTGAGCCTGTCGAACCAGAGGAGGAAGACGCAGGCTTGGAGGATTGGGAGACCGAGGCAGCCAAGCTGGAGGGTGTTAAGGATAGCTGGGATGCCTCATCCGAAGAGGAAGAAGAACTGAAGCCTGGAGCTCGCGGGAAAGCGGCCGCCGCGAACGGAAAGGCTCTGGCCGAAGAGTCGTCAGAAGAGTCCTCGGAAGAGGAGACAGAAGACGAAGAGAAGCCATCCGTGGCTGCCAAAGTCGTTTCGGCGAGGAAGGCGGAGGCAGAGGAACGGCGAAAGAAGAAGCACGAGGAAGCATTGGCAGCTCGGTCAGCATCCAACCTTCGATCCCCTATTTGCTGTATTCTTGGGCACGTCGACACCGGAAAGACGAAGCTTCTGGACAAGGTCCGACAGACGAACGTCCAAGAAGGCGAGGCTGGTGGTATCACTCAACAGATCGGTGCGACTTACTTCCCCGTGGAGGCCCTGCAGAAGAAGACGGCCGTCGTCAACCAAGATGGCAAATTCGAGTTCAAAGTTCCCGGCCTTCTCGTCATCGATACGCCTGGTCACGAGTCTTTCACCAATCTTCGGTCTCGTGGGTCCTCGCTTTGCAACATCGCCATTCTCGTCGTCGATATCATGCACGGCCTCGAACCTCAGACGCTCGAATCGATGAAACTCCTGCGTGAGCGAAAGACGCCGTTCATCGTGGCGTTGAACAAGATCGATCGTCTGTTCGGATGGAAGCAGATCGCCAACAACGGCTTCCAGAACAGCTTGTCGATGCAGAACAAGGGCTGCCAGGGCGAGTTCCGTGATCGATTGGAGAAGACCAAGCTGGCGTTCGCCGAGCAAGGGTTCAACTCAGAGCTGTTCTACGAGAACCGGTTCATGGCGCGGAACGTCTCTCTTGTCCCGACGTCCGCGCATACCGGCGAAGGTATCCCCGACCTTCTGAAGCTGCTCGTCAATCTTTCACAGGAGCGGATGACCAATTCCCTGATGTATCTGTCGGAGGTGGAGGCGACGGTCCTTGAAGTCAAGGTCATCGAGGGTCTGGGTACCACCATCGATGTCATCCTGTCGAACGGTGTTCTGCGCGAAGGCGACCGAATAGTGCTATGCGGTCTCAACGGAGCCATCACTACCAACATTCGAGCGCTGCTAACGCCGGCGGAGATGAAAGAGCTCCGTGTCAAGTCACAGTACGTTCACAACAAGGAAATCAAAGCTGCCATGGGTATCAAGATATCCGCCGACGGCCTCGACTCCGCCATCGCCGGTTCCCGCCTCCTCGTGGTGGGCGAGGACGACGACGAAGAGGATCTGGAGGAGGAGGTCATGTCCGATCTCGAGAACCTGCTCTCCCGCATCTCCAAGACCGGCAAAGGCGTCAGCGTGCAGGCTTCCACCCTGGGCTCCCTGGAAGCGTTGCTCGAGTTCCTCCGCGTCTCTAAAATCCCAGTGGCCAACATCAGCATCGGGCCCGTGTACAAGCGTGATGTCATGCAAGCCGGCGTCATGCTGGAGCGCGCTCCGGAATACGCCGTGATGCTCTGCTTCGACGTGCGCGTCGACAAGGAGGCGGAGAAATACGCCGCCGACGTCGGGGTCAAGATCTTCACCGCGGACATCATCTACCACCTATTCGACGACTTCACCAACCATCTAAAGCAGCTAGCGGAGCAGCGGAAGGAGGAGAGCAAGATGCTGGCCGTGTTCCCGTGCGTGCTGAAGCCCGTCGCGGTGTTCAACAACAAGGATCCGATCGTGGTGGGCGTCGACGTCATCGATGGCACGCTGAAGATGCACACGCCCATCTGCGCCATCAAGACGAACGCGGAGGGGAAGAAGGAGATCATCGATATGGGCCGAGTGTGAGTCTCCCCATTTCTAACCCGTGATATCACCGCTAACACCGTCCCAGCACCTCCATCGAGCGCGACCACAAGGCCCTCCCGATCTGCAAAAAAGGCCAGCCGTCCGTCGCGGTCAAGATCGAAGGGCCCAACCAGCCGCTGTACGGCCGCCAGCTGGAGGAGAAGGACATCCTGTACTCGAAGATCTCGCGGACGACCATCGACACGCTGAAGGAGTTCTACAAGGAGGACGTCAGCATGGACGAGTGGCACCTGCTCAAGAAGCTGAAGCCGCTGTTCGACATTTCGTGAGCGTGGGCATTGGTCGCGTTGCTTTCTGCTTTCCGTTGCATGGGCTGGGTTTCGCGGAGTGTATTCGTCGCTCAAAAATATCATGATGGGTTTTTACTAAATCGCACTGCTGCAACTCGTTGTCACGCCTTAAAATTCAGATTGTCCGCTCACGGATGTCGTAGATTCTACGCGACCCCGGGGTCGTAGTATTTAGATCAAGTAATCGGATGTAAATTACAGGTTTAAAGAAGATGGAGAGCGCATGATTCCCTCGCCCGTCGGTCGCCGTATCCAAGTATATCGGGTATTCGCTAGAATTGATGCCCGCGGAATGATTATTTTTTTCTCCTAAAAAAACGCTGGTGATATGAAATGCGCACTCAACCCGCATGCTCGACAATCTCCGTGACCAACTTGCCATCCTTGATAAAACTCCGCATCTGCTCCGGCACCGGGCACTCCTTATAGTCGCCGTCATCGCCGTCACCCAGAACATTGACGTTGACGCTGGAGCACTTGCTCGAAAAGATCTCGCTGCCTGCGCTCTCCTTGCTCAGATAGACGGTGGCACCGTCGACCTGGTCGAGCAGGATCGTCGGGATCGACCCGAGCACCTGCACGGCGAAGTTGGGGCACTTGATGACGTCGACGGAGGAGACAAGGGAGTCGAGGATGATCGAAAGCCGTGACGAGGAGTCGGCGGAGATGGCGTTCGCCTTACCGTGGATGCGGATCGTGGTGTTCTTGCAGCGCGTGATGAGGATCGAATGGCTGAGTTCGACCGAGATCTCGACCGGTCCGGCTGGAGAATCGTAATTTTCCTATCAACCCAGAGAGATCAGCAACGAGCGGTCCGAGGGTCGGCGTAGGGGGTACGTACGATAATCCACTTGTTCCCATCCAGCTCCTTTCGCGGCGGCTTCTTCGTCCGCATGCTCTCCGGCTTCGGCTTCTTCCCCGGCGGCGTCGGCGACTTACCCCGTCCTGCCGACGAAGAGCTGTCGCTCCGGGTTGGCACCGCGGCGGCGGCGGCTCGGAGCGACGGGTTTTTGTGCGTTTGTTGCGATGCTTGCACTTTGCGAAGCCCTTGGGTGACCGATTCGCCTTTGCTCAACTCCTGGAACACCGCACCCATGTCGCCCTCCTTGGCGGATGATTTCGAAACGTCGCCCGTGAATGGTGGCGGTGCGGGTGCGGGCGGCGGAGGGGGAGGTGGAGCACCACCAGCAGGTGGTGGAGGGGGGCCAGGAGGACCAGGCGCTTTGGCTCCTGATTTCGAGGCCTTTGCTTGTTTCAAGGCCTCCGACGCTTCGATACCCTTGGGATTCCATGTAATGCCTTTCGGGAAATTGGTCCGGATATACTCTTGCAGCATCTTGAAGAGCTTGTAGAAGGCTTGGACCCATTTGACCTGCGTTTGATCCCTAATGGGATGAATTCAGAACGACTGCGCTTCACAAAAGCATGGAGGGGGACTTACTCGGTCTTGTACTTCTGCAAGATCTTATTTCCGTACATCTGGGCGCCGCCAAATAGCTCGCTGACCAAGTCTTGCGGTTTCGAGTCCACAGTGACCCAACTCAGGCATTGAAGTCCGCCAGCAACCATGGCGAGGTGATCGCGAAACTGCGAACCGTAGTTCTTCGACACCATCTCGTCGACCTTGATGATCTGGGATTGGATCCCCACGAGGCACTCCATATACGTCGCCGAATCTTGACCCGGGTTCTTGGCCTGGGTGGTAAGCAGGATAAAGCTCCGTTGCTCCTGAAAGGCTTTATCCACCCCAGCTGACTGTTCGAGCATCGCATCAGTCCAGTTTCATGCATGACGGGGATGATTCTCGACTCACTTGTTCCTTGACCAGGCCACCTATCTTCTCGCTCAGTTCCATCCACGGCTCGAGGGCTTCGCTCATCAACGAATCCAACAAGGCGACCACATTCGGTATGGAAGGTTCCGATGGTGTTTCGGGCCGTGGAGTCGATGCGGCGGATGGTGGAGGTTGCTTTGCGGAGGAGTCGGGCTTGGAGGTGGCGGCCGCAGGGGCGGTTGTCCCCGGCTGCGAGTCGGCCGGATCATAGCTGGCGGCCGAAGAAGCAATGTCTTCTAACCGCGACGTTGCGGCTTCTAGCCTGTGGAGAAGCTCCGTAAGCGAGGATTCCGAGATGGGACGGGCGAGTTTGGCAGGAGGGTTCGCTTCCATGGTGGAAGCCGGGGGATACGGTAGGGAGTGGTGGAATTGGAGGAGTTGGAGATTCGAATTGAGATGATGAAATAGACGAACCGTTTGATGAGGGTGGTGAGGTTGTTCATGTTAGTCGTCGCCATTGCCGTCACCGTCCGTGGTTATAGAATTGGAGCTAACCCAGAGTTCCGTCGTGGTGGAACTTGCGAATATGTCCAGTGAAGGCAAGGAGGAGCTCGGGAACGCGCAGGTTGACCTTCTCCGTTGCTCAATGTGGTACAGAAATGAAGCACAGAGATGAGGTGGGAAGATTCCAAACGGGACAAAAGGGAATGATATTCCGTCAATTATAGGAGAAGCACTGGAAAGCTAATACGTTGTTCCAACAATAAGCTGTTGTCTAAAGGAACTCGTGGATGATTTCTAGGGAGAACGGAGCTCAGGCAGCGAGGTATCAAGACATCAAGGCAGCGAAGTTTCCCCACTGTTGGTTGGTCAATCAGTGGGCTGCTGTCTCAAGGATCGGACGCCTAATCAGTAATCACTCACGCTGCTCTATCCTGACGCTAGACCCATCCTCTTACAATCAACCAAATCTCAATAGGTCGAATATGGATTCACGTTGAACATACATGTCTACGCAATCATAATACGTCCTCGACGTTGCTGACACTCAATGGGTTCAGACTCAGGCACAAATGACGTCCAGTCAACACGTCAAGATGCCGAGCAGGATATCGACTTCTGTACTCTTGGGATGTTCATAATTGGTACTTGGAGCCACCTATCCCGGCTGAATCCATTCAATGAATGATATCGATCTGATGACACCTTGCTTGAATATCAGATGAGATCCATTTCCCACCCCCCAAGGACCCGGTGTATAACATCCTCGGCGGCGCGGGTTCCTACTCGGCTCTAGGAGCCCGTTTACTATCTCCACCTCCACTCTCACGGTCCGTTGGCTGGATTGTAGACGCTGGATCCGATTTTCCGGTAGAGCTCAGAGAGGAGATCAATCGCTGGCGGACGAGCTGCGTGTTTCGAGAGACGCCGGATCGGCTGACTACAAGAGCATGGAACGGATATATGGAAAACGAGTACAGAGGTGAATTTTTCTGATCTTTTTTTGCTCTTTTGCTTCTAATATGCTTCTGCTCTGGTTGCACCAACATAGGACTAAGAGAGAGCAGCTTTCAAATACTTGACTGAGAAAATACGTCTCGATCACACGTCCCTCTCCCCAAGGCTGCTGAAGTCGAAATCGTTCCACCTCATTTGCTCTCCAGCCCGCTGCATCGATCTCGTTGAGAATATCCTGAAGCTTCGAAACACCAGTGAGGAGCTGCCTCGGCCAATCTTCGTCTGGGAACCCGTCCCAGACCTCTGCCTACCGTCCGAGCTAGAAAACTGCCGCAAAGCTCTGCAGGTGGTCGACGTGGTGAGCCCCAATCACCAGGAGCTAGCCGCGTTTTGGGACAAGAGCGGAAACACGTCGATAGGCGATGTGGATCGGCCTCTTGTGGAAGAACTTACCCAGGATTGGCTTTCGTCTACCATTGGAACGGACCTGGGAGGATCAAGAATAGGAGGCGTAGTAATTCGGGCTGGCAAAGATGGGTGCTATGTGGCGTCGCAGAACACGACCGGGCGGTGGATCCCGCCATACCACCGCTCCGCTGAGAGAGTCGTTGATCCAACGGGGGGAGGGAACACCTTCTTAGGTGGACTCATTGTTGCGCTGACCCGTGGAGAAAGCTTAATCGAAGCCTCGATTATGGCTGGTGTTTCTGCAAGCTTTGCTATCGAGCAAGTGGGTATGCCGACGCTGGCGTATGAGACTGACGGTTCGGAGACCTGGAATGGGATCCGAGTAGCCGACAGACTGACAGAACTCCAGCAGTGGTTAGAACTGTAATTACAAGACATATGAAATATTACCATATGAATACATCTATAAGCGTATAACTACAGAGTCTCTCGTAGAGCTATCCTATGCCTCGCAATATTTCCACAGGACTGACTGGATTCAGTCAAGCCCCTGTTCGTTCTACGCATGCAAATCACGAATGAGATATCCAGGCAACAAGGCGCGAACTTTTATCCTTGCCCATCCGATGGCGCAGCATGCGTAACCAACCCGACCATGAATCAATTCGTAGCAATGAGAGCTCCATACTCCGAAGTCTAAACGTGATTCAACTTCCAACGACCAGACGACTGAGACTTGGGAACTGCACCTACAACGCCGTCAGATTCCCAACGACCATGTCGAATAAAAAAATAGAGCAAAGCGAAATCGAGAAATACTGGGAGATCTTCTCCTCCCTCACCAACGGGGGCTCGCATCTGACTGGCGCTCAAGCCGCACCTGTCCTCAAGAACAGCCAGCTGCGAGATGATCAGCTCGAGAAGGTGTGGGATCTGGCGGATGTGGACAATGATGGGAATCTGGACTTCGAGGAGTTTTGCGTGGCGATGCGTCTGATCTTTGATCTTGTAAATGGGGTATGTCCCCTTTGTGTCTTACAAGACCGCTCCTTATTCCTAGACTTGCGCTTATTCACCGGATTCAGGATCTATTAGATGTGCCGCAAGCGTTACCAGACTGGCTCGTTCCCGAATCGAAGTCCCACCTGGTCCAAGCGAACCGCGCACTCACCGGCCGACAGCCGCAGTTCGAACGGGTCGAGGATGACGAAGACGACACACCAGGCCTAAAAGATGGATTCGACTGGTACATGTCCCCAGCCGACAAGTCAAGATACGAGGAGATCTACGACGCAAACCGAGACGGCCGGGGCGATATCACGTTCCACGCCCTCGAACCTCTCTTCTCTTCTCTAGACGTCCCCGACACCGACGTCCGATCGGCCTGGAACCTGATCAACCCCTCCGCCTCGTCCACCATCGGCAAAGACGCCTCCCTCGCCTTCCTCCACATCCTCGCCCAGCGCCACGAAGGATTCCGCATCCCCCGCAGCGTTCCTGCCAGCCTACGCGCGTCGTTCGAGCGCAATCAGATCGACTACAACGTGGACCGCGTGCAGACGTCCGCGCAACGGTGGGGGACCAAGTCGGACGACAGCACGGTGACGGGCCGTAAAGCCAAATTCGGCGACGCGTATCTCAGTCGACTGGGCGTCGGCGACCGCACCGCCTACCGACCGAAAGGCACGGACTTTAGCGGCACGCACACCACGGAAGACTGGGAAGAGGTACGGCTCAAGAAGCAGCTGAAGGAGCTCGAGGAGAAGATCGAGAGGGTGGAGACGGCGGCGAATAGCCGGTCCGGGTCGCGGCGGGATCAGGGGAAGCCGGTACTGGTCAAGCGGGAGTTGGAGCAGCTGCTGGACTACAAGCGGCGGGAATTGCGGGACCTGGAGCTCGGGGAGGGGACGGCGAAGGAAGCGCAGAGCCTTAAGAGCGTATCAGATGACATTCAGACGGTGCGGGAACAGGTGGAGGGGCTGGAGGGGCATTTAAAGACCAGAGAGGGGGTGCTGGCAGATCTGAAGCGGCAGATTGAAGCTGAACGAGCGGGCCGATGAGATCAATTGTGTTGGATCGGCGTATGACCTGTAAACGGTGCGATGGGCGAGCGGAATTTGATTTCGACATGGACTCTGCGATTGGAGCGTGTATAGTTTGATGAAGCATTTAGCTGGATGCCTATCACCGGGTAATGATAGAATTGGCCTCATATCAGTTGGAGGATGCTTCTCCGCACCCCTCCGTCATCAATGACCAGTGTGGTACGACATACTCCGTATACATACTTGTCGATTCCTGTCTACAAGCTCGAACGCTGGCAGAGGGGGGATCGCAATTGGAGGGCAAGAATCGTGAGAATAAGTAGCAGTACGAGTAAGTACAAGTATCTTCTAATAGAGTATCAACATCTCTTTGATCGGAAATAATATCTATAGGTTAATTGGGTTAAATTGTGTATGTTGAAGACCCGTCCTCGGAATATCTTCAATTGATATCGCCGGCTAATACTGCCGTGGGTGGCAACCCTTTCAGTTCCGTTCGGCTCCACTTGCTTTGCTGACAAAATCTCCAATAACCAACATTTCATCTCGATTGTTTCCGACGCCTCCTTTCTCAATTCCCACTCCACCTCACCCTCGCTTTACGTTCCTTCAAAGATGTTACGGCTTGCGTCGCATCAGCTCGCGAGAGCTTCGTCCCGCTCCGTACAGCCCGCAACCCGCGTGGCCGGTCGTCGATTCGCAAGCTCCGGCGCGGCGAAACCCCGAAGCTGGAAGAACTTCGCGGCTCGCCTCGGCCTGGCTGGCGGCGCAGTCTATCTTTACAACACCAACAGTGCTTTTGCTGAGCAGGCGGAGTGTGAGTTTCGGAATTGCACCGTAGGTCAAATGTATTCCGCTGACGATATCTTAGATGCTGTCACCCCACATCCGATAATCCCTTCCAACACCCAGCCCGAACAGAACGAACCCGAGACATTGCGGTCCGTCGAGGACATCTCAGCGGAGCGACGCAAACGCAATGCTGAAGTTCAGAAAGCAGATGCGCCGCCACCATCAGACTCGGACTCGGAGCGGACAGCAGTCGCTGGAGCAACTGGAGCCGTGGAAGAAGTGGCCGGTGGCATCGAAGGCCTAGAAGAAGAGGCCGGCCAACAAGGGGCGTTTAATGAGGAGACCGGAGAAATCAATTGGGACTGTCCTTGTCTGGGCGGCATGGCCGATGGCCCATGTGGAGAGAATTTCAAAGCGGCATTCAGCTGCTTCGTCTACAGCAACGAAGAGCCCAAGGGTGTGGATTGCATAGACAAGTTCAAGTACGTTCCAATTTCTACATTTCCGCCATCCCCTCGGAACTGACAGACCCAGGAACATGCAGGATTGCTTCCGGCAATACCCCGACATCTACGGCGCCGAACTCGAGGACGATGAGGAGCTAGAGGGGATAGAGATGGGAGAGAAAGAAGCGGCGGCTGCTGGAGCGGCGGTGGAGCCCCCTGAACTCGCCGCGATGGACGTGGCTGGCGGCGTGAAGCCACCAAAGAACGATGCCGATGTTGTTGGAGCAGTTGCAGCGCGAACCGATGCCACGAACGACGTCAACCCTCCACAAGCACCGGCAAGGGAATCAGCGGAGAAGGGGCCGGCGGAATCAGCGAGAGATGAGGATCCAAAGGGTGTTACACCGGGCGAACCTGATGCGACCACCGATGCACAGAAATGATCAAGCAGGATTGTGTATAAAATACTGTATATGTGGCCGGGTTTCCTTACATCTGGGAGCATCCAAACTGCATATTAAGTATCCCTCATGATAGACGGTGACGTTCTCCAATCTTCAATGTACGTTAGGATCAAGCGTTTTTTGAATAGAGCTTGCGGGTTTCGGATAGGGAATGTGGTGACCTAATGATCCACATGTGCGACAGGCACATCTTCTCCTGTATCGCTGTATCACCTACTAGTTCCAGGTATCTGCAGCGATAGTGAGAGAGCTGTCAACGACATGGAAGCTCATGTCCACCCCACCGACATTAATTATTGGTTCCGCGTTTCCGAAAGCGTGAGTGTCGGTATATCGCGCCCGACTTCGCATCCAAGGGTTGGCCATAACGGCACCTGCCATAGTTATCGACCTGATCTCGCGCACATTAGATGACCATGGCGCCATCACGAAATAAATCTCATGGCAACTGCCCCAGCCGGTTGTTACGTACGAACGTACGTACGAGGAACGAGGATGGGTTTGTTTAGTTTGACTTCAGATGTAGGGCTCAGTCTGGAAGTCGGAGGCGGACAGCTGAATTCGCCCGACTTAGCCACCACCATAAAACCTGAATATGGATCTTGAAAGGCTAATTGGACATGTTGTCCATCAAATATCTCGTTACCGCTCCTTAGGATCCCAGTCCATTCGGATTTCCAATTGTCGAGCGCGATTAAGTTGAACCCGGAGGCAAGCCGCGGGCTCTTCCCGCCCTAGTCAGGTTGTTCCATCGCAAGTGCAATCCCAGATTTGCGGCATCGCGCGTGAAACCGAGGCTGCCTTGCCACATGTTCATAGCTTTATCAATTGTCACCGCGGAATCGCATTTAACTTCACGTTCTGCTCGTTGATGCTGTATCAGGCGCGCATACGTTTGTCAATACGATCCAATCTAAATAGTTGGTACGAATCGCCGCGGACATTCCTCAAGCGCTGGATGCTAAGCTGAGGTCAGATCCATTGTAAGGATGAACGGCACCTCCAATAAAATGGAGAGCAACTACTTCGATGTCTTGATCATCGGAGCTGGAGTATCTGGAATCAACTCCGCATATCGAGTACAATCGGAAGTACCTGGGGCAACCTACACGATCCTCGAGACGCGCGAGCACCTTGGAGGCACCTGGGATTTCTGGAAATACCCTGGAATCAGATCGGATTCGGACCTACACACCTTCGGATTCCCATGGCGGCCATGGACGGACAGGAAGCCCATCGCCGATGGGCCCGATATCATGAAGTACCTCACGGAGACCGCAGGTATTCACGGCATCGATAAGCACATTCGATACAAGCATTTTTTCCAGTCGGCCAATTGGTCAACAGAGGAGCAAAAGTGGACAGTGACCACCATTGTTGACGGTGAAGAACGTTACTATACCGGCAACTTTCTCATCCTCAGCACGGGCTACTACGACTACAAGGAGCCCCTTCCAGTCGTCATTCCTGGCATCGAGAACTTTAAGGGTAAGGTCATCCACCCGCAATTCTGGCCCGAAGGTCAGGATTACTCGAACAAACGCATCGTGGTCATCGGCAGCGGTGCGACCGCCGTCACTCTGGTCCCCAACCTGGCGGAAAAGGCCGAACATGTCACCATGCTGCAACGATCGCCGACATATCTCTTCAGCATCCCGAATAGGAAATGGAGCTTGTCCCATATGATCCTTCCGAAATGGCTGGCCTCTCGATTCGACCGCCTCTGGTTCCTGACCGTGCCGTTCCTATTCTTCCGCTTCTGCCGAGCCTACCCTACCGTCGCCCGCTCCATCCTACGGCTCTTGACAACCCGCCAGCTGCCAAAGTCCGTTCCCCACGACCCGCATTTTGTACCCAAATACAACCCTTGGGAGCAAAGACTGTGCGCCTGTCCAGATGGAGACTTCTTCAAAGCCTTGCGGCGAGGCAAAGCGAGCGTAGCGACGGGAGTCATCAAGTCCGTCACCGAGACCGGCATCACACTCGAAAGCGGCCAGGAGCTTCCATGCGACATGATCGTGACCGCCACCGGCCTGAAGATCCAACTCGCCGGCGGTGCGGATCTCCGAGTCGACGGCGCATCCTTCCAGGTGTCCGAGAAGTTCATGTGGAAGGGCATGATGCTGCAGGATCTCCCCAACGCCGCGTTCGTCATCGGCTACACCAACGCGTCCTGGACTCTCGGCGCCGATACGACGGCCCAAGTGATCGTGCGGCTGCTCAACCGGATGAAGAAAGACGGCGCCACGAGCGTCGTTCCGCGGGTGCCGCATCCTGAGAAGATGACCCAGACACCGGTGCTGAACTTGAATAGCACGTACGTGGTGCGGGCGATGGAGCGGTTGCCGAAAGTGGGGAACAGCGGCCCGTGGAAACCGAGGGAGAATTACTTTGTGGACTATTGGAATTCGCGGTACGGAAGCGTGTATGACGGGTTGGAATACGTAAAGCCGGTCACGGCCCAGTTGTAGGGTTGGTCGGGTTGACGAAGGCGTTTTGGGTCGGTTGCTCTGTTGATACACAACTTCTGTTTTAGATACTGTAGATTATTAGGTACCAAGTTTGTAGCGGTGGCTATCATGAAGCAGACTATATATATATGGCATTGTATCTACGGTGGGATCGTCGGACAATATCTCAGGGTTCAATCTCGTGATCCGCCCAACATCTGATATACCCCTATCCGCATGGTTCTATGCGCAGTACACTCCCCCTTGCGTGATGGGACGAATTCGAGGTACTTTGACTTCAAACCAACTCAGAGTCTCTCCACACATTATAATTTTACAGTTCTATATTCCTTGTGCTCTTCAGCCACTTGCCAATACCCGGATTGTGTCTACTTTAAATATTACAAAAGCCTAGCTACTAGTCAGCTAATTTCTGCGGAGTGCATCAGAGTGCACCTTAGACACCGCGACAATATTTCCATGCTACAACGCCACCATCATATTTTTTTTCTTTTTAAAAGGTCATAAAACGGGTCAACCCAAGTCACATAATCTCGTTATGATGCTAGAAAAGCCTTCGCCCAAGTTGTATGTGGTGTTAATTAGAAGCAATTCAGACTCTAATATTGGCCCAGACTAACGAGCGATCATCTATTCCTTCCGACTATGGATAATCAAAGCGGGTGCTTTTCAGCCATAGCAACCCTAGCCGACAGCGTCAGCGTCCTCCTGCTCTCTGCCCTATTCTATTTTGCGAGGGCCTCGTTGTTCTGCCTCCCAATCCGCCAATATATTCGAGGAAGAAATGAAGTCCGTGTGGCTATTACCTAGAACCTGTTCTTGAAGCCATGCAGACTCCACCATTAGACCTATAGCCTCCATATCTCGGCCCTGCGTTTTCCACGTCGACGCCAGGTTGACCATGCCGTTTAGCGTAGAAGGATGGTCGGCTCCGAGCTTCTCCTTACGAGTCTCCATCACTTGTACATCCAGCTCTTCGGCCTCCTTCCATCGGCCTTGATTCCTGTACGTCGACGCCAGGTCGGCCATGCCGTTTAGCGTATAGAGATGGTCGGCTCCGAGCTTCTCCTTGCGAGTCTCCATCACTTGTACCTCTAGCTCTTCGGCCGCCTCCCATCGGCCTTGACTCCGGTACGTCGACGCCAGGTTGGCCATGCT